CGAGCTGGAGCGGCTTGCGATGCCAGACCAGAAAGGCGGTTGCACTGTAGCCGCTGGGCTGGGTTTCAGCGAGGCGCATAGCCGAGCCTGCAGTGTTTTTGCTAAGATTTCATCCTCCGCTCCACCTTGCTTGCGCCCTGGCCTCGCTGCACACGCACGCAGACGCAGGCAGAAGCACGCAGCCAGGAGAGTGTCTCAGTGCGCTGCGCCTCATCATGCAATCTAGCCTTCTCGCACCTGCAATCGGCTCACCCGTCCCTCGCTTGACTGGCCTGCTCCCTCTTTTTTCTTTTTCGTTTCTGCAGCCTCCGCAAGAAAATCACACGATCGGAGCTGATGGAGTAAGATGGGCGGCGGCCCACCGGTGGTGCTGCAGCAGCTGTCAAATGCGCCGTCACTCTCTGGCCCCGCCCCAGCTCCGCCAGTCAAAGAGAGAGCGGGCGTTGGGTTGGGTTGCATGCTGCTAAGCGAAGCTCCACTGACGCTGCTCAGCTGCTGCCGTTGCCATGCTTTGCTCGTCTTTTTCCCCCCGCACTCTTTCACCGCTGCTGGTAGCTCGCTCCAATCCACCACCTCGCGCTCTAGGCTCCTGGTGATGCGCGGTGCTTGGTGCCTGAGCCCCAAGCGCCTGCTTCTGAAACTTTGTCGCAGCCTCTTCCGCGCAAGAGACCCTGCACGCCCGCGGCTGTGAATAGCATTCGGCTCATCCGCCCTGCCCTGACTCAGACGCTCATGAGCCGAGTCGGACGCCATCCGTCTGTCGCCTCGCGCCTCCTCCTCCTCGTTATCCGCCCCTCTTGCTTGCCCTTCCGCACAAAGCCGTCGCTAGTCAGGAACCGACCCCATTCATCCTTGGCCACGGCCTCGTCTCTTCTTGCTCTTTCTACTTAACCACCGACATCCCCGGATTCCCACGCGCGTCAACAGCCATCCGTGTTTCCATCCATATATCCAATCCTTTCCTCTACGTTGCATCATTGGTTGGTGCTTTTTGGTGGCTCTGCACAGCCTCGACGTCTCACTCCGCTTGGACTTGATATTCAGCTAGATTGACTCGACAGCCATGTCTGGCTTCTACAGTCATCAGAAGTCGGCGTCAACGCTCTCGTTCGACAGCAACGAGAGGAGCTTCTCGCTCTCGTCTTCCCGCCCGGCCACCGCCAGCATGGATCGCCCGGGCCCTTCGCGTGGCTTCCACTCGAACTCCTCCTCCGTCTCGCTTGGTAATGGTAACGGCATCGTAAATTCAAATCGCAACGGCGGTGCACCCATGCACGCAATGATGGTGCCCGGCATGGTGGTGCCTTCCACCGATCGCCCCGACCCAGACTCGCCCTTCTCGCAATGGGAGGCCTACATCGTAAAGCAGACGCACGAGTGGTCCGACAAGCGCGCCAAGGCCGTCGCCTCGCCGCCGCCCACGGCCAACAACCCGCGCATCGTCTGGGCCGACCAGATCCGCAAGTCCGCCCCCCAGGTCCAGCCGCTCGCATACACAAAGGCAAGAGACCGCGTGGCCAGCCCACCACCCCAGGGCCCCCCACCGCCCAACCCGCGCGGCATGTTGCGCAAAGCTTCCTTCGACATGTTCCGCAGCATGCCCGACGCCGGCCGCACCACGCCCTCGCCGCCCTCGTCCACCAGGCCGAGCATCTCGTCGCCCATCATGCCCAAGTCGATCCTCACCACGGCGCCCGCTCCCGTCTACGCCTCGCCGGGCTCGCTCTCCGCCTCTGCATTCCTGGACACCTCGATGCGATCGCTGCCGGACCCGAGCGGGGTGCCGCACAACGTCGAGTCGCACGCCTCGTCCATCCGCAGCCTCTCGCCTCTGCCGCTCTCGTTGCCCACCGACGACTTTTCCGCCTCGCTGCTCATCGGCCTCGACAAGCGCGCTTCCACCGCTTCCACCTCGTCGGGCCGTGCACCGGGACCGTCGGACCTCATCGCAGCACCTCTGCCCGAGATCTACAGCCCAGACATGACCGGCCCGCCGTCGATCGCCGACACCTACTCGGTGCACTCGCGCCGCTCGTCGTGGGCCAGCTCGGTCGACCTCGACCCTGCCATCATCTGCACGCCGCCACTGTCGCACGATGGCTGGCAAGACCAGCCGCAACCTGCCCGCCCCACGTTCCTAGCCGAGTACGGCCTGGACCAAGATAGCGACGAGAGCGAGACCGAGTGCAGCGTGTATCCCGACGAAGACCAGGTGACCGCACCGCTGCCCAGCGTCGCAGACGATGGGAAGCAGCACCACCAGCAGCAGGAGATGCCGACGCAACCGGTCTTCCAGCGCCTCGAGGCCGATCTGCCCTTCAGCGCGTACGGAGACGATATCAGCGGAACAACGCGCATCGGACCCAACGGCTCGCCGCTGCCTCGTCTCGAAATCTCGACGCTTCCGCGCGAGAAGGACGAGGTGCAAAAGGCGCGTGCACGCATCATGAGCCCCAGGTCGTTCAGGAAGGCCTTCTCATCCAAGAAGAAGGGCTCCGCTTCGGGTTCGGGCTCGGCTTCGACCGGCTCGCGTGCGAGCGAGTCCTCGCCAAGCCTGCCCAACAGCAGCTCCGAGGACGTCGGCAAGGTCGAGGTGCCTTCGGAGCCCGTCATCGCCGTGTCGCCCGCAGCCGAGCCTTTGCAGCTGCCCGGCCTGGCCAAGGACGACATGACGTCGTGGGCCGCCGCCATCCCTGCGCAAGCACCCCCGCCCACTTCGCCGCAGCTTGAAGAGCCTGCCTCCCGCGTTCCGCAGGCACCTGCGATGGAGGCGACGGCGTCGAGCGATTCGTACCCGCAACTCGAGACGCCGTCGGACGCGACCTTGTCCATGCCGCTCTCGCCCGCCTTCAGCACCATGACGCCCTCGATCTCGTCGGAGCTCTCGCGCGACAACGCGTCGTCGACGCACTCGTTTGGGCAGAACTCGTTCGGCCAGAGGAGGCACCGCATCGTGACGCCCGGCCTGACCAAGGTCGCCTCGTCGCCGACGGTCGAGGCCGGTGCGGCTCCATCGCTGGACCCGCATCTGGCGCGGGCCACGACGCGTGCACGCTCCAGCGGCAGTGTTAGCTCACACACGCCGTCGGTGGCGCTGAGCAACTCGTCGTCGACGCGACGCAACTCGCGCCGAAGCGGGCGCAGCCGCATCACGGACGGCATGCCGAGCTTCGCCAACATGGCCAGCACGCTTGCTGTGCCGATCGCCGACCAGCGCCGGATGTCGAACCGCAGCCTGTCGAGCGAGGGCTCGATCGATAACCACAGCAACGCATCCAACGGCTCAAGCTACGCCAAGGTGGGCGGATCGTCGGACGAGGGTGTTCCCGCGCTGGCCGTGTCGACGGCGACGGCGGTCAAGGGCGTGTTGCGCAAGCGCTCGCCGTCCGAGACGTCGTCGCTGCTGTCGCCGCGCAAGGAGGTGTCGTTCAACCTGCCCGTGGGCGAGTTCGGCGCGGTCGAGGAGCGCGCGAGCGAGGAGGAGGAGCTGCTCGAGCACGAGCAGAAGCAGCGCGCGCACCTCAAGCTGCCGCCCATGAAGCTGCAGCCGTACGCCACGTCCGGCATCGCGGCCGAGGCGGCAGAGACTGCTGTGCTCAGCCAGGACGATGCGGACATTGTCAAGTTCCTCACCACGTTCGGCCGCAATATCACGAGCGTCGAGTCGCTCGAGGTGCTCGATACCGTGAATGCCGGGACGGGCGAGTGGCCGAAGCGCGACGACTGGGACTCGCTGCCGGCGTACCTGCTTGCGTACACCACCACCTTGCTCTCGGCGTACAGCGACGACACGGCGACGATGGTGTATTCGTCCGAGCGTGCGCCCGCTCCTGTGCGCGGCAAGGTCTCAGCGCCCGTGCTCAGCACCAACCCGCTGTACACGGCGGTGGTGCGCAGCGTGCTCGGCATTGCCAGCTGGGAGCGGCCGCTCGTGTCGCTTGGTGCCGCGGGCGTGTACGGCTACAGCTGGACCAAGGACCGCCTGGGTGCGGTCATTCTGGTCGGTATGGCGCTGCTGCTGGCCACGCAGGGCGCAGGTGCGAATGCGGATGCGGGCAAAGATCTCGCCGACGCATACGGCAAGATCGCGCCCGTGCTGCTGGGCGACGAGGCGACGCACGAGCGCGTGCGCAACCTGGTGCTGCGCAGGTCGGCGCGCGCGTCGCTGCGCCTCAGCGGCTTGCTGGTTGTGCTCGCGGCTGCCGCGACTCGCGTTGATAGCAGCGTGGCCATGAGCCTGCCCGGCCTGCTGCTGGGCCTGGCGGTGTTCGTGTGGCTGCCCGTGATCCTGCACCAGCCCAGCTGGGCGCCCAAGTGGATGTGCAGCGTCAACCCGCTCGATGCGGTGCTGTACGACGTGCCCACCGACGCGCAGCATGCCATTTCCACGCTGCGCCGTCGTGCGGCCGGTGGAGACCAGCTGGTGCAGCGCACATCCACGCTCATGCTCTCGCCCACGCACTTTGACCACCGCGTGTCGGCGCACGAGCTCGCGCATGCCGGCGACGTGCTCGACGGCGCCTTCGCCGCCCAGATCGACGGCGACGCGGGCCATCTGTGCGTGCTCGCATCGCGCGTCGTCTTCCGCGCGCTGACGGGGCGCACTGAGCAGCGCAGCGCGAGTCTGGCGCAGGTGCTCGACGAGACGAGCGCATGCAAGATCACGCTCGATGTGCGGCTCGAGAAGCTCGTCGCGCTCGAAAAGGTGCGCAGCGACGGGCTGAGGCTCAAGCTGCGTGGCGGACAGACGTTCGAGATCGTCCAGGTGCACGAGCGCGACCAGGCGTTCAACCGCATCCTTGCGCTTGCGCCGCACAAGTGGCACTGAACCCAACACACTCTTTTTGCAGCTGCTTTGTGCAGAACCACATTCGTTACGGCGCCTGTTGGCTGTCTGTCTGTGTACTAGTCGTAATCCAGGCGTATGCGCCGGTGTATCTCACTGCGCGCGGAGGTGCAAAGTGTGTGGGGGAGCATGGTTGGATTGCACTTGGCTGGATTTACTGTGTTGGGTCGGGCAGACGGAGGAAGGCGCTGAACCACTTGTCGCCTCTGTTTCGCTCTACCTTTTTGCCCTCCTCTGTCGCCGTATAGACCGCCTCTACGCAGGGGTCATCCTTAAGTTCGGGGCCATCTTTGTCGAGACGTTTGAAGAGGGGGTGTTGGCCTAGGTGTTTGTCCATCCAATCGTAGAGTTCGCGTACGTCTGTGATGATGTACACGATGCCTCCGGGACGCAGAACGTAGGCGTATTCAGCAAGGAGAGTGGGGCTGATGATTCTCGCCTTGTGCTTGCGCGACTTGAAGTGCGGGTCGGGGAAGAGGAAGAAGAGTTTGGACAGCTGGTGCTTTGTGAAGAAATTCGGCAAGAACTTCATGCCATTCGCACGGAGGACTCCAACGTTGTCGTACGATCCAGGTGCAAGATGTGCGGCTTCAACGAGCTGGGCGTTTTGTGTGGCCTCGTCCAAGTCTTCATCCGTTGCTTCGGTCGAAGAAGCTTCGGGCTGGGGCTGGGGGTCGGAGTCTTCGATGCGACCGCGTTGGGCAGCTAGACGAAGTGCAACGATCTTATCGTGCACATACTGCGTCACATGCACCCTAATCTCCAATCCCAACATGAGTGTGTCGGGAAACAGTGGTGCCAGTTGCATAAGCAGGCCTCCGAATCCACATCCCACATCGGCAAATTCGACGTTCTTGGTCTCGTGTCCTGCCCGATGCGCACCTGTGGTCGAATCAAAGTAGGTCGGATAGATGGTTCCCCAATTCATCTCGCTTGGCTGCGTGGGATATTCGAGACTGTGATCCGAAAACGGATTGGCATGTGCACGTTGTCGATACCATCTCTTCTGGGGGATGATGATCTTGCCTCCCGAAAGCGAGTTGATGTGCTGTTTGGACTGTTCGAGCTGGATGCGATCGTGCTCGGACTTGGCATCGGATGAGTTGGCAGGCACGTGTGCCAGTGTACTGCGCTTGCGCTTGCCCATCCTTGCGTGTGTGATGTATGAGGAGGAGATGATGGTTAGAAGAAATTTCCGTGTGGAGAAAAAGTTGCCCTCGGTCTTCTTTACTCTAACAGAGCTGCGATTTTTGGGAATCCGGAAGCCGAGAAAGTTGGAATTCGGACCCGAATCCGCAGCGGCCGGGGCGCTGTAGGCTTTGGCAGCATCTCTCCACCATCCCTCCTGCTCACCTCGTCAACACTGCCTCCAACACACACACACGCAAAGATGGACAAGCTTCCCAGTGCCGATGAGATGCGAGGTACGTCCATCCTTCCCCGCAGCATCACTGCTTTAGATTGGAAGACCATTGACTGACTACGTCGCGGTTGGATTGCGGGATGGTAGAGACGCTCGCGCAGCGCGAGGACAAGATCCGCGAGTCGTGGGTGCGCACCATGGAGGCAAGGATCGTGCGCGAGGAGCTGCAAAAGTGCCACAAGGCCGAGGGCGTAAACCACTACCAGGCCTGCGCCGATCTCGCCAAGAAGTACCACTCCTTGTTGGCCGATGCCAAGGTAAGATAGCAATCCGCCCCCCGCGCGTGTCAGTAGACAATCATGCTGACGCTTGTCTTTGCGGCTATAGGTCAAGGGATTCAGAGTCATCGACACTGCGTAAATCTCCGTACGCTGTTTCTGCTCCTTTCAATGCCAATCTGTCTTCGTCGCATGTTTGCGAGTGTGCATCCTTGCATCCATACAGCCGATCGTGCTATCATAGCAGACCGTGGAAAGAGTCTCAACCTACATGCACAGGTCATGCTTGTCATACGGCGGACAAGCGCGTCAAAGCTCAACAGTGGGCGCATGGCGAGGTACAATTACAATGGGCAATGGGTGGCAGACAAGCTATGATGGGGGATCAGCTTGCATATTCGCGCTGGAACTCTTGCAGCTCGGACTCCTTTTGCTTGTACTGCTTGAGGAGCGTTTCGAGGATTTGCTTGAGCTGTACACCGCGTCGACCAACGCAAGTTGTGGCTGTCAGCACGTTGCAACACGAGGTGCGATTGCATGAGAGAATCCGGCAAAACTTACGCCTTCGAGGTTGGTCTGGAGAGCGGGCAGGACCTCCTTGACTGTGCGTTCGACAAGCACGCCACCAATGAGGCGGAAGCACTTGCGCTTGGGATCTGCCTTGGACGCTTCGGTGAGCGTGTCGATGACGAGCCTGGTGCAGCACACGGCACTGTTAGCAGGTAGCATTCACGTTGACGCCGCGAGCAGCATACTCACTTGTGTTCGTCCGCCTCGCCCTCGAGCTCGCCCACCTTGGATGCGATGCCCTGCAGCTCGGATCTGCGCGACTGGAACAGCTGTGCTGCTTCTGTTAATTGATGAAGGATCACTTTCAGGTCAGCTTTACTCGTCCAGCACCTTCGTTGGCATTTGTGGCCGAGGAGAGCGCGCACGCACCTTGTTCGGAAAGCTGCCTCTTCTGCGCCGAGCCGGACGGCTTCTGTGTTGCTACGGAAGCCATTGTGTCGTAAGTAGCGGCGATGGTCAGCTGCGAAGATCGTATGCAATGCAGAAGATGCAGGTGTTGGTGTGTGTCGAGCAAGCTGTCCTCACCGCTTCTCGTGACTTTGGCAATTCAAACCGGTGCAGCAACGTCAATCAAAGTCTAACACGCTGAACTCGTAAAAAATCAAGCACTCTGATGATCCGCTCCAGATCGCTCGACAGTCGGAGAAGCAATTTCGAAAGGGGCATCAGAGCCAGGCAACTCCACTTTGAACGCAAGGCAGTGCGGCAGTGCGGCAGTGCAGCGGCTGAGCCAGAAGAATGGGCGGTGCACACGCCAGCCTGAGACTGAGCCTAAGCCTCAGCCTCGAGTTCCATCCAATCTGCCTCCACTCCAAGAGCGCGTTCCAACCACCAACCCACCATCCCTTCAAACATCCATCGCCGCCTGCTCATTGTTTCAAGCCTTCACCCCGGCCACAACCTGCTCCAACAGCGTGCGAGTCCATCCCCCGCGCATCACTCCGTCAAGATGGAGGCCATCAAGCTTCAGAGAAAGTACCCTGAATTGTAAGTGCTACCAAATCACCCTCCTCGAGTCAACTCGGACCCTCCTACTGACGCTCTTGCTGTTGCTCGCTGCACCACAGCTCGCAAGAGGAGATGATGGGGCTCATCTCGCGTTTCCGCACGCTCGACGTGGAGGAAAAGGGCAGCATCCCAAAACAGGACGTCATCAAGGCCATCCAGGACCAGGGCGACGCTTCCTACGACCAGGTGCGCGAGACGCTCAAAGAGGTCGACCTCGATGCCTCGGGCCGCGTCGAGCTCGACGACTACGTCGACCTGCTCGCAAAGATCCGCGCAGGCCGCAACGCCTCGGCAGGCGTCGTCACCAAGGGCAAGGTCTTCGTCAAGGGCGCCACCTCCTCCACCCAGCACACCATCAACGAGGACGAACGCTCCGAATTCACCCGCCACATCAACTCCAACCTCGCCGGCGACGCCAACATCGGCGCACGCCTCCCCATCCCCACCGACACCTTCCAGCTCTTCGACGAGTGCCGCGACGGCCTCGTCCTCTGCAAGCTCATCAACGACTCGGTGCCAGACACGATCGACGAGCGCGTCCTCAACTTTGGCAAGGCGGGCAAGCCCCCCAACGCCTTCCAGATGACCGAGAACAACAACATCGTCATCACCTCCGCCAAGGCCATCGGATGCTCCGTCGTCAACATCGGCCCGCAGGACATCATCGACGGCAAGGAGCACCTCATCCTCGGCCTCGTATGGCAGATCATCCGCCGCGGCCTCCTCAGCAAGATCGACCTCAAGAATCACCCCGAGCTCTACCGCCTCCTCGACGACGGCGAGACGCTCGACGAGTTCCTGCGTCTGCCGCCCGACCAGATCCTTCTTCGTTGGGTCAACTACCACCTCAAGGCGGCCAACTGGCACCGTCGCGTCGCCAACTTCAGCAAGGATGTCTCGGACGGCGAGAACTACACGGTGCTGCTCAGCCAGCTCAAGCCGGAGCTGTGCGACCGCGCACCTTTGCAGCAGACCGACGTCATGCAGCGTGCCGAGATGGTGCTCCAGCGCGCCGACGCCATCGGCTGCCGCAAGTACCTCACGCCCGGCTCCATGGTCGCGGGCAACCCCAAGCTCAACCTCGCGTTCGTTGCGCATCTCTTCAACACGTGGCCGTGTCTCGAGCCGTTGGACGAGGCGCCGCCCGTCGAAATCGAGGACTTTGACGCCGAGGGCGAGCGCGAGGCGCGCGTCTTTACGCTCTGGCTCAACAGTCTCGACGTCGAGCCGGGGGTGTACAACCTGTTTGAGGATCTCAAGGATGGTACGGTGATTCTGCAGGCGTTTGACCGCGTGATTCCTGGTAGTGTCACGTGGCGCCGCGTAAGCAAGCCCAAGGAGGGCCAGGAGCTGTCGCGCTTCAAGGCGGTGGAGAATACCAACTATGCGGTGGATCTGGCCAAGGCGTCCAACATGCACATTGTGGGCATCCAGGGGGCGGATATCGTCGACGGTACGCGTACGCTTACGCTCGGGCTCGTGTGGCAGCTCATGCGCCTCAACATCACCAAGACGCTCTCGTCGCTCTCCAAGGCCGGCCGCGGCGTGTCGGACGCCGACATGGTCGCGTGGGCAAACAACCTCGTCAAGGCGAGTGGCAAAACAACCCAGATTAGGTCGTTCAAGGATGGACAGCTCAGGACGGCCGTGTTCTTCCTCGATCTGCTCAATGCGCTGCGTCCGGGCATTGTCGACTACTCGCTCGTCAACCAGGGTCGCACCGACGACGAGGCGAGGATGAACGCCAAACTCGCCATCTCGATCGCACGCAAGCTCGGCGCTCTCATCTTCCTCGTGCCCGAAGACATTGTCGAGCTCAGGCAGAGACTCATCCTCACCTTTGTCGGCTCGCTCATGGCGATTCAGTCGTAGACTAGCGTCAGCATTTCGAATCTCTTAGTTTTGACACGGACTCTCGCGGCTTGTGCGGAACGATTCCATTCGGGATGATTGTGAGAGTCGGCTAGAGTTTGGCTTGGGCAGGCGTGTCGAGGAAGTGGGTGATGGCGTTGGACCAAAAGTGGATGTCAAAGTAGTCGTACCAAAAGTGGCCGAATTCGGGGCTGGGTGTCGAAAGTCGCTTTGCGTGCTTGATTCCCTTGAGGATGTAATCGCTTTCGCCGTGTAGAACCATTCTGTCCCTTGCGCCGTGGATGACGAGCACGGGGAGGGAGGCTGGAATGCGGTGGAGGTTTTCCCTCACATCGGCAGCCTGAATCGCCAGAAACTGGAGTGCAATTGTATGCGCAGGTCGCTTGGTCCCACGAACCGTTTCGAGCCTTTGTCTAAACTTGGTCTCCATCTCCTTTCCCTCCCCCAGCACCTCGTCATGATACTGCACCTTCATCATATTGAACGTGATGAAATAGTCCCGCTCCGTCTTATCGGCGATCTTTTCTGCCTCCTTATTGAGCGCATTGAGATTCACATCCCCCCTTGGCAGCTTGGTCATCGTTGCGCTGAGAACCGCCTTTCTCACCGCCACATTCTCCAACTTCACCATGCCGTCTTGAACTTTCGCATCGTCGGACGAAAGCAAAGCCTGGACGATATGGCCACCCATTGAGAAGCCGAGCAGGTCGATGGTGGTGAATCCCAAATGGGCCGCAAGGTGGATGACATCCATCCCCATGCTTTCAAGCGACAGGTCCTGATCCCATTCTTCGCCGACTGTCGATTCGCCAATTCCGCGGTGGTCCGAGATGACCACGGTGCGAGAAGCACCCAGCGCCTGAAAGAGCGGTGTCCAGTCAACCATGACGGCGGAGAGACCGTTGATGAGGAACAGCGGCGTGCGCGCACGTGCCTCGGCGGACGAAGGCGTACACACGCGATACGCCATCCGACACCCCTGCCCATCAGGAAGCGAGAAGAATTGAGTGGTCATCGTAGGTGTAGAAAGCAGATGGTTGCTAAACGCAACCCCGAAAGCAGAGGTGTTTGTGGGGTAAGGTAGCCGGCCCGGAAGGCGGGGGGAAAGCGAAGTTACCGCCCCCCCCAATCCTAGCCGAAGCGGGTGAGAAAGTGCCGGTAACCACCGCCGGAAATTTTGAAATTTGTTAGATCGAGAAGGCTCGGCGCTTCGTCGAAAGTGGAGGACGTGGCGGTCATCAGCTCAACACTTCAACACCACCATCTACATCCTCAGAGTCTTTGGCGCGGCAAGCATGGATGCAGCCGAACTCGAGGCATTCGAGACGCAGCTCGCGGATACTGAAAGTGCACTCCGATCCGATCCTGACAATGCCGACCTGAAGGCGTTGCGCGACGAACTGGTCAATCTCATCCAGCTGTCCAAATCCATCCCCACGGACGATGCCAACGAACCACCACCGCCTCCTCCCGAACCAAGTCCCCCACCTCCTCCCAGTGCTCCGAGTGGGTCACGTATGTATGCTGGGCCATCTCAACGCTTCACCGTCGGCCAACAAGTAAACGCGCTCTACTCGGATCGACGCTGGTACCCTGCACGCATCGTGTCGCTCAGCGGCGATCCTGCCAATCCGCTCTGCACCGTCGTCTACACCGGCTACGGCAACTCGGAAACCCTCCCTTCCTCCTCACTCAAACCCCTCCCCGCTCAACCACAAGATCCCACCCCTCCACCACCACCTCCTCCCTCAGATTCGGCTCTACCACCACCACCTCCTCCACCGGAACCAAGGCCCCCAGGTCCACTCGACGACAAAGCTCGCAAAAAGATGCGCACCGAAAAGAAGATCGCTCGTCGAGAACACCAGTCCGCCATCGCCCAGGCCAAAGCAACCTCGTGGCAGAACTTCTCGGCCAAATCCAAGAGCTTGCCCAAGAATAGCATGTTTCGCACCTCAGACGACCCCTACGCCCGCGTCGGCATCTCCAAATCCCCCAAACCGCCGTAGCATCGTAAAACAGGGTATCATTTCCAATAAAGTCATCGTAAAATCATGCACGGTGGGCAACTGAGAAGCCCGCCGCAATCACCAACGTGCTCGCCGCCGTGTGCGCGAAGGTCAGCGCTGTCGCCGGCTCGCCAATCACCTTGGTGATCTCGCTGTTGAGCTGGCGCTCGGTCGCGTCGGCCGAGTGGTGCGTCTGGATGAGCGCCTTGAGTTCCTCGCGGTGCGTCTGCGTCGGATTCCTCCTGCCGCGACCCACCACCACAATCGCAGGCTGCTTGCTCTCGGCCAGCTGCATCAGCTCGCGCAGCGGCCGCGCCGTGCTCACTGTCTCGATCGTCAGCCGCCCGCCGAACCGGTCCGCCGCCACCTGGTCCTGCACGCGCTGCAGCGCCAGGTCGTCCTCCAGCGTCGCCTCGAGCGCCGACTGCATCGCCACGCCGCCGCCGTAGTGCGTCGGGTAGACCGTGTCCATGTTGCTGCCGCCGCGCAGCACCGACTGGTGCGCATGGCCCAGGCTCATCTCGTGGTGCACCGTCGGCGGCACCGTCGGCAGCTGCTCCTCGCCCGCCTCCTCGGACGAGATGCGCGACATGCGCACCACCAGCACCGACAGGTGGCGATTGTTGGCACACAGCCGCGACACCAGGTCGAGCGCCGCACGGTCGTCCGGCCCGCCCATAAACGCAAACAGGATCGACTGCGAGCCCACGCGCGACAGCATGCCCAGCCCTCCGGCCTGCTGCGCCTTGCGCTCGATCAGCACACCCACGTCCGTCTCGGTCGTCTGGATGATCTTGCGCACCACATTGAAGTGCTGCGCAGAGTACTTGCCCTTGAGCCCTTCCGACGCGTTCGAGGCCCAGCCACCGCCAAACAGGCTCTCGAGCGGGTTCGTCAGCGTCGCAGCCAGCGGCGACAAAGGCCCGGCGGCGCCAGCCTCCTGAGCTCCACCACCGCTGCCCTGCCCCGCACCAGCCTGCGAGAGCGTCATGGGCAGGATGATAAAGTTGCTTCCCGCCGCCTTGCAGCGCCGTGTGACGGCCGGAGCAAACTCCTCTTGCGGTATGACCGACATGGTCGACTGGACGGGCAGGCCGTTGAGATGGGCGAAGGTCTGGAAGACGTTGATGATCGGGTCGGCGCGCATGGTGTCTTCGGACTCGGACACCTTCATCACGGCCGAGGTACGATCGGTGAGCTCGACGAGGCGCAGCGCATCGATGCTGATCTGCGCCTGCGAGCGCGCCGCCATGATCGAGGCGTAGGGCGCCTCGGACGCAAGCGTCGGCGGCTGGTACTGGCCATCGTCGGCGCCGTCGACCGAGTTGACCGAATCATCGCCGGTCTCGGTCGACTTTTCGGCCGCATCACCCTCGGATCCAGCCGAAGCCTGTTTGGAGCGACGTCGGCGGAGGCCGGCCGACGCATCGTTGGCGAGACCGGAAGAAGGGTTGGCGGCGGCAAGTGTTGGCTGCATGAGCTGGACGAGCGTCATAAGGCCGGGCAGGTGCTCGAAGCTGCTGAGCACGACGAGAAGGCGCTTGGGCGACAGGCGCGAGCTCGTGTCGGTATCGTCCTCCTCGTCGCCGGAGATGGTCTTGCCGTGGTGCGAGTGAATGGATGCATCGTCCAGTCGGGTGCGCACGCTCTCGGGATACACCCAGAGCGTGAGCGGCGTGGTGATGACGGTCGACACGACGGCCATGAGCACGAACATGGAGAAGACGCGCGTGTCGAGGATGCCCGCCGAGAGACCGATGTTGAGCACAATGAGCTCGACAAGGCCCTTGCACGACATGAGCGTGCCGACAGCGGCCGACTCTCGCAGATTGAAGCCGAAAGCCTTGGCTGCAGCGGCGCATCCAATGAACTTGGAGAAGAAGGCGATGATGATGATGGCCACGGTATACGCCCACGCCTTGCCCGAGTTGAGATCACCGAGGTTGGTCTTGAGGCCCGAAAGCGCAAAGTAGATGGGCAAGAAGACGACAAGCACGAGATCCTCCATCTTTTCGGTGAGAGCGATAGCGTAGCCGCCCTCGTGGGGCACCATGAGGCCGACGAGGAAGGAACCAAAGATGGGATGTACGCCGATAATGTCGGTGATCCAGGCGCTGACGAGGACGAGGAGGAGGGTGATCATGATCATGACCTGGTTGGGGCCGTTCTCGAAGCTGCCGGTGCGGCGTGCGAGCCAGATGAACGAGGGCTTGATGAGGAAGAAGAGCACGAGGATCCAGCCAATGGCGCAGAGCAGAATATAGAGCGCGGTGAGGCCCGTGTCGGCATTGACGAGGGCGACGGTGAGGGCGAGGAGGATCCAGCCGACGACATCGTTGCCGACACCGGCAGCGAGCACAATGACGCCGACCTTGGTGTACAGAAGCTTTGTCTCGGTGAGAATGCGGGCGAGCACAGGGAACGCGGTGATAGCCATTGCGACACCCGTGAAGAGGATAAAGTGGCCAAAGGAGACTTTTTCCTTGTCGATGAAAGCGTTGTAGATGCCGACCGAGACGGCAGCGCCCATGCCGAATGGGAGGACCATACCTGCGACGCTGATTGCGGTGGACTCCTTGGCGCAGCGGCGGATGACGCGCACATCAACCTCGAGGCCGACGAGGAAGAGGAAGAGGACGAGACCAAGGGTGGAGACAAGGTTGAGGTAGGGGAGCGAGGGCGGTGGGAAGATGTGCTTTGTGAAGCCGGGGATACGACCCATGGCGGTGGGGCCGAGGAGGATGCCGCCGATGACCTCTGCGATGACACGCGGCTGGCGCAGTCTCTGGAGCGCGAAGCCGAGTACGCGTGTGACGATGATGATGATGGCGGCCTGGATGATGAACAGACGCAGCGGATTGGACGTCTCAAAGGCGGTGGGGTCGGAACCGCCGAAGACGCTGTCGCTCTTGGCGGCGCGAGCCACCAGGAATCGCGCCATGGTTGTATGCTGAGCTATGTTCTGCGCGTGAGGAAAGGGGGCGGCGAGCAAGTGTGTCGGATGAGCCGAACAGCGAGCAGAGCGTGGGAGCAAAGCGGAGCAACCGGTGGCCTGGAGGGAAGCCGAATCAAAGATGCGCTGATCCTTTATACAGAAGCAAGCGTGAGCCAGTCAGGCTGCCAAGGCCTGATCGTGAATCGCAGGGAAGAAAGGAGGAGCAAGGGGGGAAGGAGGAGGCGGGATGAAGATGGCTCGCGTGAGGGCAGCCTGTCGAGCGACGAGAAGTGATGCGCCCGTGTTGGTCTTGCGTGGAGCAGCGTTTGCCACGATCGCGGGGTACGTGCGTCAAGGAGGCCAGAGTTGTGTGCTGCTGTCGTGCTGTTGTGCTGTGTGCTGCTCCGAGCAGCCTCGGTAGAGAGGACGTGCTGGTGCTGGGGAGCTCCGACTATGCAGGGGTTGTGGAGATGAGCAAAGAGGTGCGTGGCAACAAGGCTCGCTCAACAGGCCGTCAGGGGCGCGCCCGCTTTGCATTGCGGTTCGCAGTTGCACTGTGCTGTGCTGCGTTGTGCCAAGACCCGCGCGTCTGGCAGGGTGGAGCCCAAAAGGAAAAATCTCGAACCCACGTCTCCTCACCACACTGCATGGACTTGCTGCAGAAGCGAGCCAGGGTCTGAGCGCACTGTGGCGGCGTGGAAACGTGCGTGCATGCATTCGTGCATGCACCCGGTCGCCCAATCCAGGCTAGGACGTGCAGTCGGAACGCCCTGCGCCCTCTCCAGGTTGTCACAGCGCGCAGCAAGACGAGAGGGCTGAAGGCGTGCTGCAACGACTGCTTTTCGCGCTTTCGCACCCCCCTCGGAGACTTGCAAGGGAGGAGCGGGTGACTGTGGCGCCAAGACCTGGGCCGATAGGGGGTGATTTTTTGCATGACCGCCCGCCCCGCTCTCGGCGCCCTCGCCAGCAAGCAGGTGGGAAATTCCCGAGTCGGACTCGGCACTGCCGCCCTTGCTGCTGGTGGCTGCCAAATTCTAGGCTCTCCTACGCCTTGAAGCCTTACCTGACAGCGACCCTGCTTAGCCGCAGGCCCTTTGCCATGTGGGGAAAATCGAGCATCTCGCCTCCTTCGCCTTCTCCTTGAGGCTTGGCCGCAAGCTCCAACACGCAGTAAGCGCATTAGGCGTCGGAAGAGCAGGCGGAAAAGCCACATTGAACGATGTAGGCCGTGAGATCGCCTGTGGCGGAAGTCGTGTCGCCCGGATCGTGTGGGCGAAGACCACGCTTGGCCTAACCAAGATCCCTCCCTGTCGAACTCAATCCTTCGGCGCTCTCGCCGAGTCGTCCTGTTGTGGCGCTCAACGACCCACACTTCTGAGAGGGTCTCGGGGGAGGAAGAGTTCACATTTCATCTAGCTAGACACCGAGGGCTGTTGCCACTCAAACTGGAAAGCTTGCGCACCAGGCGCGGAGGAGCCCGAACCGTTGGGCGGCGTCGAAGCGATCGGCCTCGACGGCAGATAGGCCGCCACCTGGCTCGTCGCGGTCCACATCGGCGGCTTCGTGTCAAAGTAGCCCAGCTCGGCCATACCGGTACACGTGCCGGCCTCGTTGGCCGACGAGCTCGTCTTGGGCGGCGACATGGGCGCGTGGGCCAGGAGCAGGCTCGAGGCGGATCCACCATCGGTCAGCGCATCATTCCCAGCGGCGTGGGAAGGAACCGTGGGTGGCACCATCAGCGCATAGTTCGCATAGCCATGAGACGCTGATCCCGACGACGACGATGCGTTGGACGAAGGAGGCGAAGAGACGATCGGCGAGCTGCTGTTGCCGGCGTTGGCCGCGTTGGTGTCAAGCTCCAGCATGGTTGGTGGGCACTGAGGGTGAGACGCCGCCGCAAGACTCGACAGCTGGAGCAGATTAGGTTCACATGCAGCGTTGGCCGCAGCCTGCTGCCACATCACCGAGTCCTGTCCGGCGTTCATGACGTGCCTCGTAGCCGCCTCGTCTGCACACCACGCCCGATCGTATCCAGGTGCCTTGGTGTAGTGGAAGACGGGAACATGTGGCTGCAGTCCCATTCCACCGGGTCCCGGCGTCTTGTGCTCGATAGTCTCGCCATCCACCACACTAGAGAAAAAAGCCATCCAGAGTCAGCTTGATCTCGGGCTAAGCAACCCTTAAAAAACGACGACAACTTACGAGATGGGCAGGCTGGGTCCGTAGCACGATGTCTGGTGCGGGCCACCGTTGTTGTGCCTCTTGCGGGCACGCTTGGGCGACATGCCGATCGCCAGCTGTCCGAATCCCTCCGAGTCCGGTCGCAGGCACGAGGCCGGGAAGTCGTAGCCAAACAGCGGAACGAGGTGGTCCCGAATGTCCCACGCGATGCGGCGCGACAGCTCCTTGGCAAGATCGTACGGAAGCCAGGTTCCCTGGATGCTCAGATAGCCGCCCTTGAGCTTGGTGATGTGCGGGTCCAGCGCAGGACACGTGCGCACCAGTCGGCCAAAGTTGACTGTAGTTGACAAAGCGTTGAGCAAATGATCGTCGTCAGTCACAGGTCCGATTGAAGCATTGAGTTCACAGCGGGAGGGGATCCGACGTACCTTTGTTCTTGCCCAGAGCTTGCGTGATAGAGGTGCTGAATCGACGCATGGTCACAAGGTCAGCACTGTGTCACACCAACGAACGACGCTGTGCATACGACTTACAATCGAACCAGCGACGTGTCGACGTCGATCATCATCGTGTGTCCGCGCACGTCGTATTCGAACACTGTCGCCACGCATCAGCATCGTAATCAGCGTTAGTACCCCCGTTCTTTTGCTCCTGTGACGGCGAGGTAGACTTACCTGTCATAAAGCCACGGTCGCCACCCGTAGTCGCGTATTTGCCCTTGCGCAGCTCGTGGATGGGCGTCGGGAACAGCTTGGCGGGCCGAGGTCCGCCGATGAAGAAGCCCTCGGCTTGCTCTGCCTTCATCGCATCAGACGGTCGGCGCAGCAGCTCGGCGTCCTTTCGCATGTACGGCGGACCGCGCTTCTGCATCCCGCCCGGTCCCATGTGCATACCGAGACGGCCATCCGTGTTGCTGGCGAGCTCCATCGAGTCAGGAATACTAGCGGTTGTCTTCATCTTGACGAGGAGGCTGGCTGCAAACGCGATGGAATCCAGGTCGAGCTGGGTTTTGAGATACTTGTCGCCGTTGAGGTGTCTTACAGCCTCTGCTTCTTCAGATGAGCTCGATGAGTCGGCCGAGGACTGCCGAGGTGTTTCTTGCTTGATTCGAGGCTGGAACGAGTGAAGGCTCGGGTCAGCTTACTGCAGCAGTCGTTCGCGTCTTGGCTGGGGTGTCTGAGTCGAACGGATGGTCTGGAGGGGAGCGAGGGGCAGGTCATTTATACGCATCGGGAACGGCGAAATCGCAAACACAATTGGACACGCTCCATGCATGCGAGGGGAATCCGGCAACAAGCGCCACCGGGCAGCGGCGAAGCGGCGAGCCGCAAACTGAAGCCTCCAGGTGGGTTTGGGTGCAAGGTCATACTTGGCACTGGAGCTTTGCGCCTATGCCTGCGCTGCACGCTGCCGTAGGTGGACATGCACGCAAGCCGCACCTACCATACCGCGACCTGCACAATGTGGGAACAACCGCGCAACTAAGACGCCGGACATCACTATGGACATGGCCGGTCGCCGACATGAAGCTCACCTCAGCACCGAAGTGCTCCGACCACCCCTGCTCATCGTCACGGGGGAGGGGCGATGGCGCGGCTCGAGAGCAGCGTCTCTATTTGCCGCTCTTCATTCTGCTCTAGCTTGCAAGCCTAATCGTCGCGGCACCATCCAACCGTTGCCACCGCAATGTGCAGTGGGCGAGCCAAAGTGTGTCGACGTGGACACTGGGTTCGGTAGGTTGCGCGTTGCCTTGACGCGTTCGAAGCATGATGAGCAAGAAACCACCCTTTCCCCCCCTCCCCCATCCTCAAAGTCTGAGCCAAAAGCTTGGCTGGGAGCATGAGGCTTAGCCCGAGCCGGAAGAAGCCACCGGAAGCGCCGAGGCAGCACTAGACGCTGAGCGGCGGCAGAACCGCATCGCCTGTGAATCCGGTGGGTACCATTTTGGCTCGACGACGGCGGCGACAGCGGCACCGCCCCACGTCACGCTGCATGGATCATCGAGTGGCGACACGAGATTGCACGCGATGTCCACGCCCGTACCTTAATCTCGCGGCGGCCGTGGTCGTGCTGGGCGTGGTATCGTGCTTATCGAGGCGAACCGGTCAGGCTTCGGCACGAGTGAAGAGACCGGAACGTGTGTGCGGCGTGCATGCCAACACAGCCCTTTTGGATTTCTCGAGCCACCTCCAACGGCAGCAACCAGATGAGCTTCATCATCGATAAAGAAACATAAGCTTTTGCCTGCATCGCGTGCACCGCAAAGGCGAGGCAACCAAACCAATGAATCATGTGAAGGGGAAAAAGGGCATCCGCTTGGATGCAGTTGGATGGGATGAGACGAATAATGGGATCCAGGCGTCTGTGGGCAGCATCGTTGGGTGCAGAGGCAAACCTTGATGTTGCCTTCCAACAGCCGCTGCCATCTCGATGAGGTTGTGCACCCATTGTTTCCAAACCCTCCCGTGCGGGCAGGCAAGGAAGCTGCGGCCGGAAATCGTGGCAACCGCACGCAATGCATCCACATGACCCCGCCCAGATGAACTCTTCTCGGCCCAGCTGCAGCGTCGCATGTTCGGCTGTATTTGCCGGCGAGTAGCGCACATCCTGCACCGGTCATGCCAAGAAGTGAGGCGGCACGGCCACCTTCCAACGCAGCGGCAATGAGCACCAACCATCGCGCGCGATCGGCCAGCCACCCAGCACCGCCGCCCGCCTTGAGTCTGAAACACAATGGCTGATGGAGTCTAAAACGCCACCCTCGCCGTCCTTGGTAGCCGGAGCCGTGGCGACGTGCAATAATCAAACGCCAAGGCCGACGAAGCAGACGCAGGGATCTGAAAGTACGTGGGGGAGAGCCGAGGTGGTACGAGCCATGTTGGTGACTCGTCCACACCTCGGAGCGTGACACACACAGCGCGCCGTAAGCGCTGGTGGGGACTGCGTCGAGCTGACCAAACTCGAACCGGGGGGTGGCGGGATCGAACTTACCGGTGAATGAGCGACATGAGTGTGGGCAAAGTTACGCTCCACGCTCGATCGGACCCGCGCGTACGGGTGGGGGCGAGCAGGCTTTGCCAACGTCGCACGGCTGTGCCACCGCCGAGCGGTGATTGCAGCCCCCACCTCGTCGGACGAGTGATCCGACATGGCATTCGGACCCAACTTAGCCTCCGATGCTGGATTCTGCGCTGCACGGATCCGAAAGGCAGACCTGTCCGAATCAGTATGTCATACTGCTTGGGTCAATACTATCCGTGTCGAATGACGTACCGTGCGATATGAACAGGCACGGCTAGATGCAGTCAAAGTGAATGTGTGCCGTCACAGCTTTGATAGACTGCCTCTGTATGCGGCTGTGAAGGGACGTGGTCGCAGAAGGATGGTGAGGGAGCGAGTCGTAAAGAATGTCGATGCAGGTATGTCGGGCCGCTATTGTCGCTGCGTTCCAGTCTGCTGGTCTTCTTATATCTTGTCTGATCTCACTCTCACAAAGATATGGTCACCCTGGGCTTCCGCTCTCCTAGCCTGCAAGCCTGTAGATCGGATGCTGCTGCGCGCTTGTTTTGTTTCCCGCGCCGCTGCTGGGTGCTTTGCATAGCAGCTTCAATCACATTATAACCTCTACCCGCACACACATCCCGCCGAAGCGGCACGGAGCTGTGGTACTCGACGGTGGCAGTAGAAGCGTGCTTCAACGTGCGTCCATTCGGCCACGGCGAGCCAAGGCGATGAGCATCCTGACACAAACCGCGTCCACATGGTGACAGGTGTCGACTTGTGCTCTGCCCGAGCGCCTCCGAGCCGTACAAATTCAAGCGCAGGAACCACTCCGCACCGAACCGGCACCGCCCTTCCCAACCGCATTGCTCACTGTGCCCACACACACATTCACAGGCGCTTTGTACCTGCGATCAGGCTAGGGACACATTTGTGAGGTTCTGACGATTGCGAGAGTGAAGTGTAATTTACAAGCCGAAACTGAACTGCGCAGACGCGCTCAGTCCTCCATCTCGTCATCGAGCGCCTCCTTGGCCTTGCTGATTGCCTCTGCTCTCAAGTCCTCGGGCACGGCCGTGTGCACACCATTGCTCTCTGGCCCAATCCAGCTGAGCTCGAGCTCAAACTCCTTGTCCTTGGCATCGTCGTGCACCTTGTAGATGATCTTGGCCGCGGCCTCCACGGCGTCCTGCATAGACAGCGTGTCCAGGTCGAGCTTCTCGATCTCGGTCTTGGCGAGCTGCCTGCCCTTGCCCACTGCGCAGCCGTTGTAGCCCCAAAAGACGCCCGACGGCTCAATCATGTAGATCTGCGGGCCCTTGATGTTGTCGATGCCGGCAATGATCGCCGATACGCCAAAAGGACGCACAGACGAGTAGAGCGTGTACGCCTGCACGTAGTACGCCACGCGGTCCGCGAGCGTCTTGACGGGCGCCGCGAAGCGGTAGTTGTCCAGATGCGACACCGCCTCCGAGCGTGCGCGCGACGCGAGGTGCTTGCCGTCAGCAATCAGACCCGCAGAGACAATGCCGATGTGGGGTGCAACGTTGTAGATGCGTCGGTTGGAGCCAGGTACAAGCAGCTTGGACTGCACGAGCTTCTCCACTGCTACGACCACGCCGGTCTTGGTCTTGATAGCGATCGCCGTGCCTGCGTTCTCTGTCGCCTTGGCCGCGTACTCGATCTGCGCCGAAGCAAACGAGCGCGAAATGCGTGGGTGTCAGTCAGTGTGTGCTTCAAGAACCAGCCACGTAGCCCGTAAGGATTGAGGCGACGCATCCTCATCCGCTGGCCTCGAAGAGCAGCATGCTTACCTGGAAGATTCGGCCGTCGGGCGAGTAGGTACTCGCCGAGAGATCGTATCCTGTTCCCTGTGATGCCATTGTGTACAGTCCTATGCGTTCTGCACTGTTTCGTTCGTTATGCGCGCTCGGTGTTGAGCGTTGAAAGTCGCGCTGTGAAGTACACGCCGACTAGGAAGCGTCTCCGAGGTGTTCGAGTCGAGGTGATGCTACTGTGCGCTGAGGTTGAGTGGCGCGGAAAGAGGTGGCGTTCGGTACGACGTAGGCACGTCGAAGGTCGGTGTGAGCAATTGAAGCACGCGCGCGATGTGAAGGTGCGATGAGGGCTGCGCGAGTGGTCGATGTAGGAAGAAGGTGGAGGGAGGGTGTGCGCATGTGTCGTTCCTGTTGGTGTGGAGCGCAGCGCGGCTCTGGCAGGGTGGTCTGCGCGTTCCTCAGCTTCGCGAGCCACGCACAGTCGATCACCGCACTCCACTTGCCTTCACGGCCGCCCAGTCGAAATTTGGAATTTTGAGTATGTTAGACCCGTGTTGGAGGCACAAACTTGGCGAAAATTCAGGTTCGGCCTCGGAAGGCGGGAATGGCAAAGTCGCGAGAGGCCGACCCTTCGCTTCAACTTTGGCCGTGGGGCTCTCTCTCTCTCCCCTTCCTGACGATCCCCACATCCATCACCTTTGGTGCATTCGCGCTGCTCTTCTTGCCCGCGCGCACCTTCACGCTCGAAGCACCAGCGGACCTCCAGGCAACCTTTCATAGTAGGCCTTCGCTCAATCCGCGCACGCAGTGGGGATCCGGCACAACACCAGCATCGCAAACGACTCGGACGAAGAATACAGACGTACCTTTCTCCTGCGCGGCCAAGCGATACTGGTACTACACCGCTTTCAGCACTGCCGCTCGCTTTGCATTCAACCATCATCTCTGGAACGAAAGGCTAGGGAGTCACGACGATCTCGGCGTTGCGACAGACTTGAACTTGGGAAGATGACGCACCTTCTTCCGCCCAGCCTTTTGCGGCTGTTCGCGGCGCGGCCACCACTCGAGTACGCTGCGCCGCTAGTGTACGATCCGAACCCGAATGCGACACCGCAACCAAAAGATCGCTCGCTCATTTCGAAGCGCAAGTCCATCCGGTCGCCGCTCACGGGCGTGGCGGCTACGCTGGAGCTGGTCAAGCAGGAAGCGGCGGATCGTGGCGAGTCGACGGACGACATTGCGCACGAGTCGTCGTCGGCCAACATGACACTTGCACGCGTAACACTGGCCGAGATGGATGCCGAAGCTAAGAAGGCAGCCAAGGCTGAAGTGAAGCAACGTGGGTTGGAGGAGTATAAGCCGCACGACAACACGGAAGCCACACCCGATGCGTACAAGACGCTCTTCCTCGCACGACTCGCATACGACGTGACAGAGAAGGACCTGCACAGGGAGTTTGACATGTACGGTCCCATTGAAACGATCCGTCTCGTTCGGGATCGAGAGGGTAAAAGTCGCGGATACGCATTCATCGCCTACGAGAGGGAACGCGATATGCGCGCAGCATGGAAAGACGCCGAGGGCATCAAAATCAACGGTCGCAGAGTCATGGTCGACGTCGAACGTGGTCGGACCGTCAAAGACTGGAAACCAACCCGTCTGGGCGGAGGTCTAGGAGGCTCAAGTAGGAAACCCAAAAAAGCTCCCGAACCATCCGAACCAACCCCCGGCCCTGGCTTTGCAGGCGGCGGTTTCAGAGGCGCTCCAAGAGGTGGCTTCAGAGGCAGAGGATCTTTCGCACCACGAGGCTCCTACGGCCCCCCAAGATCCTTCGCACCCCAACAAAGAGGGTACGACAACGGCTACAATTCCAGACCCTACAATGCTCCCCCACCGCAAAACGCATCGCGGTACAACAACCCAAGAGACAGAGACAGAGACAGAGACTATCCTGCCTCCTCCTACAACTCGCGCCCGTCGTACGACGACCCCCTACCCCCCGCAAAACGCGGTCGCTACTGAAGCATCCCTCACACTCCTGCTGTATCTTCTGCAATTGCATCGCAACCACACACAATCACCGCAACAATCTGCATGTGCACAACTTCGCGATAAAGAATACCATTTCGTCACCACGCACGTCCCGACCGACGTCAGGCTGCACCGACACGTGCTCGGGGGTATCATAAGACTGCCGCGCTGAAACGCGCCGTCTAGGCGCGCCTCAACTGCTGCTGTTGCTGCTGCTGGTCAGACCACCTCTGCTGTCCACCAAAGCCCTGCTGTTGCTGCAGCTGCGGCTGCGGCTGCTGCTGCTGCTGCTGCTGCTGTGGCATCTGTGCAAACCCGCCGGGCCGCGGCGGTGCCTGCATCTGATGTGCGAGCGGATGCGCATACATTCCCTGCGACTGCTGCTGCTGCTGCTGCTGCTGCTGCATGTGCTGCGCAAACGGATGGCCCTGCGGTTCGGGGCTGCGCTCGTGCCCATACCCATCCAAGCCGAGCCCGCCGCTCGCCTCCAACGCTGCCGCCTTGTCGCCGCACTCCTTCTCGACGCGCCAGTGCCTGCGCAGCGCATCGCTGCGCGGGAAGCCCTTGCCGCAGATCTCGCACACGTACGGCTTGTCGCCCGAATGCACGCGGCTGTGGCGCTCGAGGTCGTGCTTGCGCGAAAACGCGCGCGGGCACACGGCGCACGCAAACGGCTTGAGCTGCGAGTGCGAGCGCAGATGCGCCTTGAGGTTGTACGAGCGGTTCTTGGCGAACGTCTTGTTGCAGTTCGGATACGGGCACTTGGCAATGCCGTCGACGTCGATGCGCGCATCCATGGCGTCGCCAAGCGCGTTGATCATGTCGTTGGCGTGCGCATTCATGCCGTGCTGGTGCGGCAGGAAGCCGGACGACGACTGGTGCATGCCGTAGCTGTACGAGCGCGACGGCGGCATCATGCCGCCCGCCTGCATCGGCATGCCATTGGCGTCGGTCATGGCATGCACTCCGCGATTGCCAAAGCCACCGTCTGTACCCATGCCAGAGCTGCCAGCATCGGGGAATCCAGACTGCCAATCGGACTCGCCGGGCATCGACTGGCCGTTCTGCCAGCTCATCAGGCGCGCGCGTCCGATGTTCTGGCTGGGCACCACCGGGTCGCGACCCGAGCGCGCAGGCGTGCCGTTGCCGCCAGTCGACAGACGGCGCAGCTCGGGATTGAAGCCGGGCGGCGAAAAGCCGGCGGATGCCGCCATGTTGTTGAAGCTGCGCTGCGGCTGCAAACCTGGCCTGCCGCGGCCATAGGGCGAAGTGGTGGCCGAGAGCGCATCGCGCGACCTCTGCAAGCCATGGCGCGAAGGCCCTGCTTGCGACTCGTACATGCTGTCGGCGTCGAGCGGGAGTCGTTGCGGCTGCAGCGACACTTGCGGCTGCATGTGTTCTGCCGCTGGGCCGGGGTGGAGCACCGAGGGCGGCGGAGCGCCATCTGCAAGACCTGCTGATGGCGAGACATGCATGTTTGACAGACCCGTCGCGTTCGAGCCCGCCAGGAGCGCCTCGTCGTTGGTGAATACAAACGAGCCGTCGGGCCGCGGCGCCGCCAGATCCAAGGTGTTTCTGTACGCCGGGATATGCAGGTCGGCGGTACGGGGTTGCGAGTCGAGCTTGCTGCTGCCGTCTTGCGCAAAGTCATCGTCTGGGTATGTAAAGGCTGACGATGTCGTGACGTCGCCCGCGTCGACGCCGAGGCCTGTGGACCAGAGGCCGTACTCGGTGGCGCCATCCAAGATGGGCGTGCCGTCTTCTGCGAAAGTAAAGCCAGGGATGTCGGCGCCGTAGTCGGATGCCTCGAAGACGTTCAAGCGCGTGTGAACCGACTGTGGGGAGCAGAGATGTGTCAGCGGGAATAAATCACTCGAAGGGGCCATTGCGGATGCTGTGCGCGTCCTGAGCGCGTGAGTGCGACAGTCGTCCAGCTGATGCGAGAGAAAGGCGACTTACGTATTCGTATTCTGGCGCTTCGTCGAGGAGGGAAGCTGGAAGCACGGGGAAGGAGAGCGGCTCGGAGGAGAGATCCAAGGTGTTGAGATCTGCCGTCGAGCCTGAACCAAAGATGGGAGCGAAGGTGGCAGCGGCGAGGTCGGCACTAAAGTCTGTAGCGGCGAAGGAGGGACCCTCTGGAGGACAGGATGCCGAGACGTCGCCGAGCGCTGATGTACCATAGGCGCCCATGACCGAGTCAAAGGCGCGCGAGGTTGGATGCGAGGTGGCTGTGATGGCCGAGTAGAGCGTGTTGGGATCCGAAGTGGACGACGAGGGCCCCATGCTGGAAGTGTGAGGCAGGGATGCGGCGGCCGAGTCGGACGACGACGCTGGCAACGACGACATGGCGGTGGCGGGTGTTGTTGCGGCCAGCGCGAGCGTTGAGGACGATGAGGGATGGGAGCTGGGCGAAGTGGAGAAGGGTGTGTGTCCGAGACTGGAGACAGCAGGAGTAGAAGGGGCTAGCGCTCTGGCCGGGTCGGCATACTGGTACCGGAAGGGCTCGTTTGACATGCCGGGCTGCGAAAAATGACTGCGCGGGTTGGTGAGCACGGAGGTCATTGCTGTGATTCGAGGCAGCTGGGTCGAGCAAGCTTGTCACGCCAAAGACCGAGGCGAGAGGTGCGCAGCCGGGCCGAAAGGAGACAAGGGCGCGGCGATGACGAGAGGGCCGTGATAGACGTAGCAACGATCGGATGCGCCTAGGCTCGCTCAATCCAGTATCTCGCACACGGGCGGGGGCAACTGAGCACAATGCGGTGCGTCTGTAGCTTTCGGAGTGTTCCGCGGTCGTCTATGTGTTGTAGGTGACTTTACAGAAAGTGATGCGTAAGCCGAACGAGGAATCGGAGGAGGATCCGACGGTGACGAGACGCGAGGTGGGAGGTGCTGGCAGGCCGAGGCTGTGTTTGCGTGTGATGAAGAGGTTGTGCGAGCAGCTGTGCGCGATCAATGTCGGGCAGGATGGGGTCAACGTTGCTGGACGACAGAGATGTTCTTGGAGATGAAGGCAGTGTCTGAGCGAGTGGAATGGAGCGTTGGAAGACGAGCAGCTGGTGGTTGTTGATGGAGCAGGCGCAGCCGGTGCGGCGGCGTCGAGCTGGGCGCGTGTCGGGGCCACGGGTCAGATGGGCGAGGGCGAGGGCGCGCAGGAGGATCTACGAGACGCAGGAGCTCGGGGTCCAGGCTGCGCGAAACTGTCTGAGCTGCAGGCCGCGGTGCACGTCGGCCCTTCTCTTGAGCAAGCGCCGTGGCAGCGAGGCAGCGAGGCAAAGCGGATGTGACGGCGGCAGCCTAGGACAAGAGCACCCGACGAGCGAAGGTGGCCGAAACAAGGTCGTCGGTAGACAGCGGGGAGGTGGAGGAGGAGGGAGGGAGGGAGCGATGAAGAAAAAAAGGCAATCCAGCAGCGGCAGCAGCGGGGTGGAGCAGACGTGCGTGCGGTGATGCGTGTGTGTGCTCGGTATCAGCAAAAGGCGAGGATGCCCCGAGAGAGAGAGACAGAGGGAGAGCGAGGGTGCAGTTAGTTGCATTTGGTGGTGCGGCGCGAGGGCCCCGAGGCGATCCCAGATGGCAGCTCGGCTACTCCGAGCCACGGCGGACGCGGACGAGGTGCAGCCAAAAGACAAAAAGAGCTGCAACTTTAGGCTCAGGCCCGAGCGGAGGAGCAAGGCGGTCAAGGCACGACGACCAAAGGCGAAGCGCCCCACCGAAGAGGGTTCTGGCACAGGCGGATGCAAGCGAGGCGGTAAAGTGGCCGAGCGAGCAAATCTGGCGAGCGAGCGAGCGAGCAAATCTGGCGAGCGAGCGAGCGAGCGGGGGCTCTGCGAGATTGCGAGGCTGCGTCCGAGTCGGGGCAAACGGCGGCGAGCGTGTGTGGGCAGTTGGCGAGCAGGCACAAGCGCGTCCGTCGGGCGATCTGGTGATGCGGCCCAAAAAATTGAGCTTCAAAATCCGAGCCAGGGTCAGCCTCAGCAGCCGCACCAGCAACAGGAGCAGCATGCAGTCGATTCAATTTGCAGGATCCACCCTTGGCCTGATGTGCACCAGGCACGCCCGTCGTCCCCACGCTTCCGTCGTGGGTGCGCGTGTGTGTCTTGGATCCTTCTGTCGGCAAAGCCGAGCGTTCATTGTGCCTTTCCCACCCACCCTGCTCTGGGCGAAACTCAAAAATAGCGTGTGACCAGCTTGAGCACGCTCCGGTTGCTTTCGAAGCCGGGCTGTGTTTCCTCGGTCGTCAAGCCAAGCACGCCGGGTGGCATCCGAAAAACCGTTGAGAAGCGCATCGCATGTGCAGAGCCCAACTTGCCAGAGTCAGAGCCAAACGGCAAAAGCAGCGCTAGTGTGTGGTTGCTGTCGGTGGCACACGGTGGGCCGCGGTGGAGCAGGGCAGAGTGCAGAGTGCAGATCGGTGGGCCGCATCACGCATGCAGAGAGGGAGCCACAGCCAAAAGCGACATACGGTCGGGATGCCAAGCGGCTGCAGCTCGCTCGGTGTGATGTGTGTGGTGCAGCTTCCTTGCTACAGTACCCGCGGTTGTGGGTGATTTTTTCCATTCAATATGCAAAATGCGGAAATATCTGCTGCTCTCTGTGTGTGTGTCTCTCTCTCGAAGCCTTTTGTTGCAAGCATAGACCCAAACAGGAGCGAACGGATCGCTTGCGCTAATCGCACCTCTCTTCATCCTTCATCTGGGGCGTTTGGCGTTGAAACCAAGAGGTCCGATCGCACTTCACCCTCGCTGCCATCTGACGTGGAAGTGTCCCCCAAACTCGGTTTGTTAGAGATGGCGAAAAAAGTGTTGGGCGCTAGGGCGTTTGACGTGGGCGTCGGTCGATTTTGAGCTGCCTCCTCCATCCCTGCCTCGTGGCCCTGTCTCCAATTCTAGACCCACGACCCACCTCCGAAATCTGCAGGCACCGCCATCCTAGACCCTTTCCCTATCACCCTTTTGTGAGATGTGAATCGACAGGCGATGAGATCTCGACACCAGATTTCACATCACGTCGGATGCGGCCGCACAGGCACACATCTGAAACCCGCCTGCCAGCACCGGAGTTTCAATCGGCTATCGTAATCGCCGCCCGCCCTTCCGCCCCTGTTTTGCCTTGCACACACACAGTCCGAAACCGGAAGCATCAGACCCTGGGCTCACCAAAGCACGTTGACTAGCCCACACTGCTTCAGACGATGTACGTGCAAGGATAAACTCTTGTCAGGAAACAATTACAACAGGGTGCGATGATGCTGCCCCAAGGCAAACCCTGCGTGTGGGTGTGTGGTAAAAACCGAAACGTTTTGTGCGTGCGTGCCCCTTCAACGCTAGCGCATCAGCATGCGTAACAGCGACGAGAGCACCTTGAAGCTCAGCGGCTTGACAATGTAGCCATCGGCGCCCGTCTGGAACGCCTGCCGCTTGTCCTCGTCCGTCGATCGCCCGGTGAGCGCAAAGATCTTGCTCCGGTATCGCGCCGGCGGCTTCGTCGCCGCGCCACCGCCACCGCCCGCCGAGCCTCCGCGACTGAGCCGCGCGCCGCCCGCTCCCTCGTGGCTGCCGCTGCCATGCGCCCGATACCGCTCCAGCTCGATCTTGCGGATCGCCGCAATCGCAGAGATGCCATCCAGCACCGGCATCGACAGGTCCATCAGCACCACGTCAAAGTGGTTCGGCGGATATCGCTCAAACTGCGCGATCCCCTCTTCGCCGTTGGTCGCTTCCACAAAGTCGACGTCCAGCTTGGCCAGGAACGCAGCGATCACCTTGCGGTTGATCGCATTGTCCTCGACCGACAGAATCTGCATACGCTTGCGCCCCGCACCGCTGCCGCCTACGCCCGATCCCGCGCCCAGCAGACTCGTCCCGGCGCGATGCGTCACCAGCGCGCTCTTGAGCACCGCCCCGTCGCCTCCTTCCAGCGACACGGTCGAGCCGGGCGTGTTGGGCGTCTGCGGCGTCGAAGGCGTCGGCACGCGCTCAAAGTACGACTCGCCGTCTCCATCGCGATGCGACGGCGAATTGCCCGCCATCGGCGACATGAGCACATGCTTGTGCAAACGCGGCTCGTGATACGTGATGGACCGAGCTGGCAGCAGCGGCCGGCTCGGCTTGAGCGACTTGGTCGACGTCGATCGCTCGGTGCCGGCGTCCATCCTCGCCTCGGTCGAGTGACGTCGGATGAGCGAGTTTGAACTCGACGGGCTCATGGGCGGCTCGGGCGAGATGTGGTAGGAACGCGTGCGATCCACGCCGGGCTCCAGCGTCGGTCGTTTCGACGCCTCCGTCGCGGGGATCGCGCTGCCGGTGCGCACCGCTTCGGCATCATCGGGCTGCGCTCTCGACAAAGGTCCTGGCGCCTCGTTCTCGGCACGAGGTGTGATCGATGCATTGGACTCAAACGAGCCAAGCTCGTGTCCAGGATAGCGATGGATGTCGGGCCGGCTGTGGCGCGGCGTAAAGTAGCTGTCGCTCTGCTCCATCTGCTGGGTCTTGTGCACCGTGCTGGCTTCGCTTGGCGAGGGCAGAGGAGTGCTGGGCTTGGTCTCCTCGGAGCACGGCGGATCCCCCGAACGTTTGCGCTCCAGGCACTGCAGGCAGAAGTCGACTACGCTTTCGATCTTGGCTGGCCCAGCGGGCTTGAACAGGATGCGCGCCACGCCGCCGGCCTTGTGGTACGCCTCGCAAGCCATCGCAATGTCGGAGCCGCCGCGGTTGGCAGTGAGGAAGACGACCGGAGGCAGCTCGCCATGTCGCGCCGTCTTGATGCGATCGAGCAGCGGCATGTCGTCGTTGACCACGAGCACGTCGCTGTGTCTGATCTTGTCGTCGAGACTGGCATGCTGCGACATGCGGAACTCCCACCAGTTGAGAAAGTAGCCCTGGAGCGCCATGCGCAGATCCTGATCGCCGCGCGACTCGTCGAAGCCGACCAATGCCACGCTGTACTTGCTGTGCACGTTGACAGCAGGCTTATACGTCGGGCCCTCGACGTCTTCGTCGTTGCACAGCTCGAGCTCGCAGGTGACGCGGATCTCGGTGCCTTCTCCCTCCGTGCTCCAAACGTCGATCTTGCCGTTCATCGAGGGCGACTGGACGATACTGTTGACGATCGAAAGGCCGAGACCGGTGCCGGTGCCGTGCGGATTCTCTTGGGTGAACGGATGGAAGAGCTGCTCCTCGAGGAATGCCCGCGAAATACCGCGCCCAGTGTCGGTGACGGAAAGCTCGACCATGATGTGCGTGGCCGAGCTTTGCACTTCGCGAAGCGAGACGTGGACGAATCCTGACGAGGTGAACTTGAGCGAATTTCCGATCAGGTTCATCAGCACACGGCGGATGCCGCCTGTGTCACAATTGACCAGCCAGCCGTCTTCTCGAAGCGCAATGTCGATCACGGTCTCGACCTTGTTCTCGCGCGCGACGCGCGCCCTGGCCTGGACCAACGAGTCGCCGCTTCCGCCGTCCGACGGCGGCGCATACACGCTACCAATTCCCGATGTGAAGGTCTCGACCTGTCGCGCCATCTGGCCGATCCAACTGCTCTCGCAGACCTCTTGAATGAGCTTGACCATGTCGCACTTGGTCTTTGTCTGCACGGAGCGCTGTCCCTGCCGCGTGTTGCCGCTGAGCTTGGTGAAGTCGAGCACGTGGTTGACAAGCTCGAGCAGGCTCTTGCCACACGCCTCGACGGTCTCGAGGTACGAGCCCTGGGTCGAGTTGAGCTTCGTCTCGGCCAGCAGTTCGGCGGCGGCGAGGATGCCGTGGAGCGGCGTGCGCAGCTCGTGTGAGATGTTGGAGATGAAGTTGCTCTTGGCCTTGTCGGCAAGCATAATGTCCTTCTTGAGGATGGCGCTGAGCACGATCATGCCGAGTGCTCGCAAGTACTGCAGGCCGCTCACTTGCAGCTCTTCGAGCGCAATGGATCGCTCCGAGCTCGTGATGTACGCGCACAGAAGCGCGAAAGGCTGCTTGTTGAGCCCAAAGATCGGCACCAGCAGCAGGCCCGTCACGCCATGCGGCAGCAGCGATCGGAACGGCGGTGGCGCGTACGAGTAGAACTTTCCGGTGCGATGCACGCGCAAGAACTCGGCCATCTGCACATGGTGGCTGAGCGGTACGAACTCGCTCCGGTCGGGAGACGTGTCGGCCTCGCTCGCGCCAAGGACGTTCATCGGCGGCACGCGCTTGGCCCGGGCGTTTTGCTCACCCACGGGCGAGCTGAACGGACTCCTGAATGCCTCGACGCCGGCGGTGCCATCAAAGTGGCGCTCGCGGGCGCTCTTCTTGCCGGAAATCGTTCCAGATCGCCCCAGGCTGGTCCCGGCGTTGCCCGGCGAGCCTGCCACGTCCGAGTTGGACCCGGACACATCGCCCCTGTTGGCGCCCGAAGCGGCCACGCCTGGCTCTTGCGAGGACAGCGGATTGGCAAAGTAGATCTTGCTGCTGGTTCCGGTGCCGAGGTCGCTGGGGAGGAAGTCATTGTCATACGAGTCGATGAGCTCGAAATGCGAGAGGTCGAAGATGACGGCGCCCGATGCCTGAAGAGCCTCGCGCATGCTCTGCGCAGCCAGCTGGAAGACCTTGTGCGTGCCCACGGTGCCTTGCGGGGTAGCGAGCGCATCCGACTCGCCCTCCTCGGAATCCATCTCGAGACACTCTTTGGTGAAAAGCTCGACGGAGCGCTGCATGCGGTCGCGCATGCTGAACTGGATCTTGTCTCGCAGCAGCTGCATCTCGCGCATGACCACACGGGCGAACTCTTTGAGCGTGTGGCGCTGGCGCGGGCCGAACTGAGTGCGCGGCTTGTCGTCGATCAAGCAGAGAGCGCCGATGTTGAGGCCATCTGAAGTGCGCAGTGGACTGCCGGCGTAGAAGCGGATGTCGGGTGAGCCCTTGACGAGCGGATTGCCCGAGAAGCGCCAGTCTTTGGCGGCGTCGAAGATGACGATGGGCTCATCGCCGTCCTGCAGGATGGCGTGAGAGCAGAAGGAGCAATTGCGCGAGCCGGCGAGGGTCTGGAGTGATGCGGTCGTGACCTCGCCCCCGCCTCCCATCTGCGTCTGGACGATCTGCTCGTTCTCGCCAACCAGAGTGATGAGCACCAGCTTAGAGTTGAACACGAGCTTGACCAGGTGCGCGATCCTCTCGAAATTCGGATTGCCGGCGATCTTGGGCGGGCCGTAGCGGGCGAGGGCGTGCAGTCGCGACTCCTCGTGAGGAGGCAGGATCGACGGAAGGTAGCCGTGGTCGCGGTAGAAGAGTTCAGCACGCCTGCCCGCGGCGAGGTATGACTGGATACGCTGGGAGGCTGTGCTGGTGATGCCGGGCCTCGGTCCCGTCGAGGCATTGGCGGCAAGCGATACATCCTTTTCGCTGGCGTCGTGGAGCGCTGAGGCCGTGCCTACCGTTTCTTCCGACTCCTTGGCGGTGAAGGCGGGAGAGCTGGTGACGGTGCCTCGAAGATCGATGCGCGTCTCGCCGCTCTGTTTACCGTCGACAAAGTGCGCCACGTTGACAGTCGGGCCGTTGTTGGTCGAGGCCGAGGCCGAGGCGCTCGACAGTGAGCCCCCAGCTGGGGAGAGACGCGACAGGGCCTGAACTCCTTCGCGCGGCCCGCCAGCGGCCGAGAAGGACGGCCGTGGCGAACTGCCGGGGAAGCTCGCGCTATGAGACACCAAGGGACCCTTTTGGTTGCGACCACCGTCGACGCGCGTGCGTTCCGATTCGGCTCGCTCGGCCCTCTCCATGCTCGTGCGCCGCGCAGCGCGTCGCAGACCCGCCACCGTGACGTTCTCGAGAGCGACATCGTTAGTATACGACACCTTGGGCTCTCCGACGGCCGCGGCCGCGGCCGAGGCTTGACGAGACATTACCTCGGCGAAGCTGGAAAGACCTTCCGGTGCCGACTGCCATACGACCGGCTGCGCAGAGGGGCCGTGAGTAGCTTGGAGCGGCGTCGGCCCCGGGCGATTCGGCGCTTCTGCCCCGCCTTCAGTCTTGTTGTCTGCGGTCTCGTCAGAGGAGCGCGCCTCACTGGCGCGAGTGGCGCTGGACGACGTGCTCGCGTAGCCCTGAGCGAGCTTGGACGGCGTTCGCGTCGACTCCGAGGGTGCAGCCTCTGCCAAAGGAGTGGACAGCGGCGACAGACCCTCCTTGAGAGCGCGCGGGGTGCCGGACTGCTGGACAGGCGTGGCGGCATCGAGCGGATCTGAAAGTGCCTTGGTCGGAGTTCTGACGACTGTCTTGGTCGGATCATCCGTCAAGATTGAGGTGAACGGAGAATCTGTGGGCGAATCTCGGTGCATCCTGGAATCTGACATCTGACGGACGCTTCTGGGTGGAGTGGACGGGGCCAGCGATGCTGGAACTGCGTCGGCTCGATCTGGTTGTGATGGAAGATCGGAACGTGCGACACTGGTTCGCAAGACCTCGGGTGCGGTCTTGGAGCGATGAGGCGAATGAGCCTCGTCTCGGCCATCGGTGCTGCTTTCGGCATCGTTTTGAGCATGTGCGCCGGTGCTGACGGCCATCGCCCGAGATGCTCGTGTGACAGCCGACATGCTAGCAGAAGGTTCCCTGAGAGCAGCGAGGATGTTGGCATCGATGGCCGCGTCGTTCGCCGCGGCGCCGAGAGCCTGCGCCGGACCTGCCGAGCTCGCGGCGTGGATCGGCTTGTCCTCGGAAGATGCGGCAGGGTTTTGGTCGGCTGGCAAGGAGTACTCGAGACTTTGAGAGCGGCCGGGCGTCTTTGTGTCGAATAGTTGGGAGGGAGGGGCAGCGCTGCTGGCGCCCACGGGAAACGAGGCAGCCGAGCCGATTTCGCCGGGCTCTGTGCGGGCATCCAAGCTGCCGTGGGCGCTGAGTGGAAGGCTGTGAGGCTCGAAAGCCGGGGCCATGGCGAGCAAGTTGGAAGGGTCGGCCTGTTCCGAATCGGGCATGAGGTACTCGAGCGATGGCCTGCGGGCGCCTGCCAGGGCTGCGGCGGGAGCTTCTTCGTCGAGTGGAGGGTCGAGCGTGGTGCTGATGCGGACCTTGGCGCCAGGGACGACGGTCGAGCGGCCTGGAGGCTGCGGGATAAGACCCGGATTCCAACGTCCGCGGGCGTAGGCATAGACGAAGTTGGCCCAGTCGTACGCACCCGGCTCGACGTCTTGCAGCGATTCGTCTTGTTCTGGAGCTGATGCGTCCTTGCCGATCGGCATGGCGGATGCGCGCGCGGCGTCGCCGTTGGCGTGCGCAGACGCTGCGAAGGAAGGCGAGGATGCATCTTGTTGGAAGGGATGAGAGAACTCGGGACGTTGTGGGCTGGCCAGCGACGGTTGGTGTGCGTCCGACATGGCGTCCAAGTCCGCGTCGTCCGAGGTGAGGCCGGCCTTTGGCGGCAGCGACGGAAGGTAGCTCAGCGTGCCGGGCGCGGCGACGCCGGGCTGGGTGCGCAGCTTGTGCCATGCCGGGTGGTCGACGACGCTGAGCTCGTGCGGATTTTCGCGGTAGGTGTCTTCGATGTCACTGGCGATGCTGGCGGCGCTGGGAGAGCGTTGGTTGAAGGCAGGAGAAGCTGCGGTTTGGATGACGTCGTCGGATGTGTGCATGCGCGATGTTGGCGGTGCAGATGTGTCGTCGGCGTCGTGTTCGGACGAGGTGGAGGAGGCGTACATCTCGCCGCGGTAGCCATGGGTAAAGCTGCGAGAGGCTGAAGCTGAGGAGGCGGCGCCCATGACCCTCCATGCGCCTCTGCGGACGGCACCGGAAGACGAGATGGAGGAGCGTGGGGACGAGAGCGCGCTTTTGATCTGCACCTTGGCGATGGAGAGAGCATCGTTGGAGCCGATGCTGCTGGCATCGTCGAAATCCGAGGCAGGCACCCTCATTTTGGGCGGCTTGATCGGAGGCGATGTGGAGGACGAAGGGGTGGCTGAGAGTTGGCCAGCGAGGCCCGAGTCGGCGGAGGAGGTATGCGCTGATTGGGACGAGGAGGAGCCGGAAGAGACGTGCACGGTGGCGTCTGTTCTGGATGGTGGGTGGGAGCCGGAGTCCGCGGCTATGGCGGTGGGGCGTGTTGGACTGAGTTCCATGGTGGGGCGAGCCTGCTAGGCCGCTGAGGCCGCGAATGCTGCGGTACTCGCGGCTTCAAGCGGCTGGTAGGCGTAAGATTCGGGCAGTGGAAGACCGCAGATGCAGAAGTGCGAATGGTCACGAGGCCGTTGGTTGACAGGATCAGAGCAGCCGAGCCATGGGGTCCAAGATTATCGAAGCCGGGAGAATGATTGCTGAGAGTTGAGCCAGAGGATCAGAGTAACACCGGGCTGGCTAGATCGGATCGGATGTCGTTCGACGCAACGTGTGTGTCGACGAGGCTACTCGTTGTGCCGAGTGTAAGAGTCAAGCGGGGCTGGTAGTCGGAGCGGGTTCTGCGTGTGTAGGAACCTTGGCAACTTCTAAACGGCCCATGCGTATCAGGCGTATGCCGGTGACGCTGAGGATGGCGGCGTGTGTGCCGAGACTGGAATGCGCGAATCGAGTGCGAGCCGGCCAAGACTGGATGATGTCGAGGCGAGTCGGAGAACGGACCCCAATGTGTGTGGGCCAGATAGCAGCGTACGTGGTGCTACTTGCAGATGTGCAGCGAAGCTGAAATGCCAGTCGAAATGCCGATTGTCGATGGCAATGCGATGACAGTGCGATGACAGGTAGAATTTGGCGTCCAAGCAAGTGAACGAGGTCGAGGTGAGGTTGAGATGAGGAGGTAGGGAAGTGGGAGGCGGTGAGGAAGACGTCAAGTGGAGCGGAGCGAGCAGACTGGCTCGAATGACGGAACAGCAGCAGCCCAGCAGTCGAGCGCGGGAGGGCCGTGGAAGAGTGCGTGCGGGAGTGCCAAAGAGTGCGTCGGGGGGAGCACGACTGACCGAATCCAGAGTACAGGAAGTTGCAGTAGCCACGCAGGCCTTTCCAAAAATGACCACAAGAGGACGCTGTGACCCGAGGCGAGCCAGAGGTGATGCGGCCAAGAGGAGGTGAGGTGCATTCGGCTGCGCAGTGTCAAAGTGGGCCATCCGCCCAACTTATGCCCTCACCATCCCATCCCGCTCGTGCGTCGGCTTGTGCGCTCACTCGCTCGCCCGCTCGCTGCGCTGCTGCTGCTCCAAGTGGAGTGACGCCCGCAGCGGGGATCGGACCCGGGAGCGTCGATTTGGGCCCAAATTCAGCGCGTCGACTTGCGGTGCGTGCAGATGCAGCTGGTCGCAGCTGCTCGAGGGCAAAAAAGCAGCTCGAGAGGAGCCATGAATTTGGAGCTGCAGCGGGGTCCAATGTCCGGCTCGGCCCTGCGCATCGAAAAGTGCAGCGCCGCGACTAAAATAAATTAACGTCGACGCACCCGCCAGCCAGCCAGCCAGCCAGCCATTCACTTCATGATTGACCTCTTCTTCTTTCTTTTCGGCACCGTCGTGGCTGCTCGGCGATCATCAGGCTGGTCCTCACAGACATGCCCAACGATACACTCAGGGACGAACAACGAAAGCGCATCGAGGAGTGGGTTGCAAGCAGGTCGAGATCGGCGCGCATTAAAATGAGATGGAAAGTCCGCTCCGCCGACCCCCACTTTTTGGTCATTGTTTCGGTCTCGGTCAAGCCAGGAGAGCACCTGCAGCAGCCGGTAACAATGGCGAGCAGGATCGGAAGCGCCAGCTATTTTTGATGCCAGCCTTGCCTGGATCTCATGTAATGGGCACTCCAACTGCAGGCGCCCGCCCGTCGCAATCGCTCGAGCCTCTTTGCACGCACGGTCGGCATCCACTCGGCATGGCCAGCTCTGCGCGTTGGTGGTTGGGCTCGTGGGCTGGCCGGTCAATTGTTGCCCAAATGAGTCCGCTGCAGCTCCATGCCATGCTTGTCTGTCGATGGTCGCTTTGTCGTGACTGCGTGCGGAGCTTGAGCGTCGACTCGAGCGTACTGCAAAGCGGGCGACTGCGACATCGGAAACTCCGAAGACATGTGCTGCGCTCTATCGTCCCGAGCAGGAGCAAGAACCCCAAGGCCCAGGCCGCAATCATACGTACAGTAGTGGCAGCTCGTGATGGCAGCTCGAGCCTGCATTTTCTTCGATGTGGCTCCGCCTTTGAGAGGCCGAGAGTCAGGGCCCAGACCAAAGATGCGCAGCCAGCCACGACTCTGACCCATAGAAAAGGGCAAAAGTCTGGAGCGCAGGTGTCCACCCCTCAGCTCTGTCCGCCTCAACACGGAAGCTCCGATCGATGTGTCATAGCCGCACTGTCAATGCTTTGTGTGCGCGAGTCGGTACGAACAAGCTTCACAAAGCTTGTCGCCAGGCCAAAGGCTAACTTAGAGACAACTTCGTTTGACTTCGTTTGCGCAACTTCGGAGATTAGCCCGGAGCCCCAAGCTCGAGACTGTTAGATTCTGCTTGCCCTTGCCCGTACGCGCAAAACTTTTTTTTCTATCTACGCACTTTTGATGATGCTTCGCGTCGGGTTGCGCGAGGTGACATCATGACGTCACGCGGCGCTGCCATGGTCGATGCTCGACAGACGTCTTGACCTCCACATGCACTCAGCCATCCTTCCTCGGCCAGGCACCGCTGTGCCAGAGAGAGGACGAGGACGAGCGCGAGGCGAGCGGCTTAGCGCAGGAACATTGATCGTCCGACGAGCTCTAAAGTTGCCGTTGCCGGCTGTCGTGTGGTGAAGCTGCCCAAAGCGAGCTCGACTGCCATTCGGCCGTCTTTCTGGCCCTGGACAGCCTCCATGAGTCAAAGGCCAAAGTGAGCGCGACATTGTCGGTGTGTGTCCGGCTCGAACGTGCCCAGCCAGCCGTGCGGTTGAACCTCGGGCGGATGCAGACCGAGCAGCCTTCTTTTGCTTTCGATTCTCGCTGCGTTTGGTCGAGCTCAAAGTGCGATGCGAGCCGGATGAGGAGCCAAGATGACCGGTATCGCTCAAAGTCGATTGCGTAGCAGCGGAGGGGCAGAATCGAGGGTCCCGCCTCGTCAAAATCCTCCGAGCGAGCAAATCGGCTCTAAGCCGAACCGCTCGGCCAACTCTGCCACGCGTTCACAGTCTTGGGTGAGCAGGGCAGACTAGCCAAAGCCGCAGCAGCGTCACCGCTCGCTCGATCTTTTTTGTCGGTGGCTCCCTTCCGATCACGGCTTAACAGCCAGATCCGAAATCCTGGGGGCGACTCGAGTGTTTGTACTGTGTGCAGCTGCAGGTGGCGTCACGATCCTCGCGCCTCGGCTTCCGCGCGATGACCGTTTTTGCTGAACCCTGACATGCCAGCGCCGCTCCAACACAGACAGACACACTCGCGTTTCGCTCGGCCGCTTTTTCGCCGCCGTGCGGATTTGCAACTCCGGGCAGAGCACCCGCTTCTGCACTCTGCAGCCGACGCCAGTCATGGATTCCTGATTCCAGCCGAAACCAGCACGTTGCCGCAACTCTCACGCGCTGCCTCTCGTAACTCGCTGAGTCGCGCGCAGCATTCAACACTTGCCTGCTGGCCTCGCTCCATTCGTTACCTTGCTTCTTCTCCGTCAACACAACCAAATCGACCCTTGGTACACGCCCGAGTCGCATCAGACACACCGCTCGTCGCTGGGAACCGCAGCGCCGTCGGAATATTTCACCGATCGATCATACGCAGCTCGGCTCTGGAGATGGAGACATATCTTCTCTGACCCTCCAATCGAGCGCCTCCGACTCGGCCCTTCTCGCAACGCCTGCGCTTCGGCCGCTCATCCCCACACACGAGAGTCGCTCGCATCCGTAGCGCCACCTGCATCTTGCCAGCCGACATGGAGCGCACATGGTCCACCGACTCGGTGGCCTCCATACCCGAAAAGTCGCTGCCTGACCCTGCTCGTCTGCGCAAGGCCGCTCGCAGGCTCTCCAACCAGGCCCCCGTCGACGGTGCAAGGGAATGGCGCAAGTCCAAGCTGCACTCGACCAATCCCACCACCTCCACCTTCTCCTCCAACGGCCACGCCAACGCCTCCAACTACGACTCGCAAAACGCCAAGGCCGGCCCATCGTCCCGCCGGCTAAGCTCCAGCGCCGCCGCATCCTCTCAACCGTCGCACGCCACCGGCATCCGCAGGCGCAACATCCTTGACTCAGCCGCCGCATCGGCCAAGTCCAGGAACGCCCAGTTCGACGCGAGGCTCAAGCGTCACTCGTTGGCCACTAGCTCAGCAGCTTCCTCACCCTACCCTCCATCCTCCCCTGGCTCGTACGTCGAATCCTGGCCCTCCGCCTCCGACGACTTTTCCGGCTCGTCAACAGATCGCCCCACTCGCCGTCGTCGCTCCACCACCGTCGAGTCCAGAGAGGCTTACTCCGCCGATCCTTCCGCCGACGGCGCTGGCGGATACTCTTCCAGCTCCGACCAACACTCCTCCAGCTCCGAGTACGAGCCATTCGACTGGGACGTCGGCCGAAAGCGAAGAAGCTCCGAACGTCCACGCTCCGTCGCTCCAGACCACTTCTTAGTCGCCAATCCGTCCGCGATCAGGCGCATTCCAGCTTCCTCGTCGCCACCACCGCCCGGCGCTTCTGGTTCGCTTCCAGATTCGCGTCTCTCTTCTCGATCTGCCAGGTTCGCCGCTCCCGGTCGAAGAGCGTCACCAAAGAAGCACGCTCAGCCGCTTCCTTCCGATGCATCTTCCTACGCAGATGAGCACGCCCGATCAGCAGTGCGGCCCAGCCGACAATCCATTCTCAGCCGTGCCATCGGAGCAGCCACCTACCTCAGCTCCTCCACAAAAGCCGGATCCTCCACGCCTTCCAGCCCCGTCTTGGCCTCGCACCCCCTCCCAAAGTCCAAGAGCGCAGCCGCCACCCTGGCCGCCACATCGAGAAACACAGCGGGCGGCGAGCTGGCTGTGAAGCCACGTGCCGAAGGGGGACGCTCTTCCCCTTCTTCCAACACAGCCGTCGCAAGCGCACAGCACCAGGCCCAGTCCGCATCCGTTGGCAGCAGATCGCAGACCCACTGGCAGCGACTCCGCGTCAACCCCTCCATCGAGGCTCTGCTCATGACCCTCGCTTCGTGCGCAGCCTACTACCTTCTCAAGACGCATGCCAAGCTCGAGACGCAGAGCCACGCCTCGGAAGTCGGTTTCGTGACCATCATCAGTGCACTCTACTTCTTCCTCCGCGACCCGGACGAGCAATCGGCTATCTGGGCCACCGATCATCGCAATTATCGATCCTGCCCTGAGGATGGCGCTCTCAATGCGCTGCTCCTGCCTCCGCTGCTTGCATGCGCGACCCTTTTCTCGGCGTTCCAAGATCAGGCCGCAGGCCGCAGCAGCCCACGAGCTTCGGGAGAAGCGCTGCCCAATCCGCCCTGGATGATCGAAGGCCCACCCGTCATCCTCAGCCACAACCGCAAACTCGCCGGCGGCATGACCACGCTGGTCGTCTCGCGCTACTCGCTCGTCAGCACCATGTGCCTCACCTCGACCGTGCTGCTCTGCCACCTGCTCGCGACCAAGTGGATTCGCAGGCCGCATCAGTTCCCCAAGAGCAACTGGGCTAAGCTGCGCAGCTTCACCGCCTTTGCTAGCGTGGTCGCAGTCGCGCTCGAGGCGGTCAAGGATGCTGCCGCCTTCTATGGCTTCCCGCTCTGGTCGAATCTGGCCCGCTGGGAGGTCATCACCGCCGCGCTCTTCTTCCAGGCCAACCTGTACACCATATCGCGTCTGGCGCGCAAGAGCTTCACTCTCGGCGAGCTCGGCATCGTAGCCTCGACCGGCGTCACGCTCAGTATGGAGACGCTCCATCTGTTTGTAGCAAAGTTGCTCCCCGTCACCACACCGTACGTCAAGACGTTCCGACGCCCGACGCCGCTGCTCATCTTCCAGCTCGCGCTGATCGTGGGTACGTTTATGGTCGGCTTCTTGCTCTCCCCGCTGCTGTATCTGTCGCGCAACCTGGCGCAGAAGCCCACACATCGACTGCGCTGGCCCGACAAGCGCGACCTGCACAGGCGACTGCTGGCGGCGTTCTTCTATCTGTTCGCCACCATCTATGTGGTGGGCGTGCTGGGCATGTGGGTGCGCTGGCTGCTCGTCAGGCGCGATCCGTGGCTGTGGGCCTTGTCGTTTATGCTCAAGGGCTCCAGGCCATGGTCGCGCCCCGTGCTCGTGGCTTATTGGGTGTTGTTGATCTCCATCTCGATCTCGTGCTGGCAGGCCGTGGTCGCGAATGCGAAGCGGTTCAGGGGGCTCGCCAATTCGTACCAAAGGCCTATGCTCGGGCCCAAGCCCGCGGGAGGAATCGCAGCTACCAGCAATCAGGCGTACTTGCAGCAGCAGCAGCAACATCAGCAGCAGCAGCAACAGCAACAACAGCACGAGCAGCAGCAGACCAGTCAAACTTCGGCGCCGACCGTGGTGCTCTCCGTGGCTCCTAGTCCCCACGCACCCGGCGGCGTCGAGGTGAAAACCGAGGGTGTCGCTGCTGCTTCGGCATCCGAAACACCCAACGGCTCTGTACAGCGTGCATCCCCAACGACTGCGGGCCCAGCCAACGGCAGCCTGAACGGACTCGGGATCGAGGCGACAGCGCAGGCAAAGCGCGGGGTCGGTGTAAACCTCAAGCTGTCGACCTTGAGCGGCAGTGCATCGCTCCTGGCCAAGGAGCACAATTCGGCGGCGATCAAGAAGGCGTCGTACCTGTCTCTGAATGCGCGGCGCAAGTTCTTCCATGCGCTGGCGCTGCTGCTCTTCGTGCCGGGCATCGCGCTGGATCCGGCGTTTACGCATCTGGGCTTCTCGCTCGCCTTCTCGATGTTCATCTTTGCCGAGTACGTGCGCTACTATGCGCTGTATCCGTTTGGCGCGGCGCTGCACGTGTTCATGTCCGAGTTCCTCGACCACAAGGACTCGGGCCCCGTGATCCTCTCGCACTTTTACCTGCTCACTGGGTGTGCTGGGCCGCTGTGGCTCGAAGGCAACTCGAGGATCTTGCAGCAGACGGGCGTGCTGGTGCTGGGCGTCGGCGATGCGTTGGCGTCGGTTGTCGGCAGGAGGTACGGTAGAGTGTACTGGCCAGGTGGGTCGAGCAAGACCGTAGAGGGAAGCTTGGCGTTTGTAGGCAGCATCATGGTGGCTGCCTGGGCGCTTAGGCTCGTCGGATGGGTCGAGGACTTTAGCTCGCTCAAGTACGGCGCTGTCGTCACGGCGCTTGGATTGCTCGAGGGGGTCAGTGACCAGCACGACAACTTGGTCCTGCCCATCTTTGGGTACATTGTGGCGTCGTTGATTGGGCTGTAGTTGGAGTTGTGCGGAAATGCAAAGCAAATTGTGTCCGACCAAGAGCTCCGTGACGATGCGGAGATGTGTGCGGGTAGAGCGAAGCTCGAGTGCGGAAGCGGGTGCGGGTGAGGATAAGCTCGGAGGTCCGGCTGTGAGCGGTCTTGAGCTGGAGCGAGTGCGGGACGTAGCAGAGGTGCGGGAAGGGATGCGGAAGTGGTGGTGTATATATGCTGCTCTCTGTCAGCGTTCTCCCTTGTCGACCCATCCACCACCGCCACACGAGGATCTTCTAGTACTTGAGGGACATTGCACCATGGACTACATTCGTCAGCTTACGGGTAGTGCCAACCTGAAGGCCAACAGCTCGCGGGGCGAGTCTCCCATCTCGGACATTGTCGAGACGGCCGAAGAGGCGCAGATCAACATCGACTCGGCCGTCCAGGCGGTCCTTCATGCAGCTGAGGTGGCTCGACACGACGACGCCGACGACGCCGACGACACCGACGTCGACGCCATGGAGACGAAGGACACCACGTCCAGCCATGTCGGCGGCGCTACTCAGGTCGATGTTCAGCCGGTGCGATTCGAGCAAGACCCCACTCCGGCTTGCGATGCGGGCCAGGCCGGTTTGACCGAGGAACAGGCTGCTCAGGCACTGCGCTCTCTGTACGATGCCGCGGAACAGCACGATGGCCAAGTCGAGACTCAGGCCAGCCCTACGGGTCAGATTCGCTTTGCCGATCAGGCAAGCCCTGCGGGTAACGTTCGCACCGCCGACGCGATGGACGAATCCATGCCGCTGTCCAACCAGCCCGAGCCTGTGGACGTTAAGCCGAACCAGCACGAGGCTACCCAGGAGCCTACTATCGGTCTCAACATCCGCGACGCCAATGGTTACAGCACCATCTTCCGCTGCAAACCCTCGAGTAAGTCCCCCTCCCCATCTCTCCCTTTGACCGCAGGTACTGACTCGTATCGCGGATGGATTGTAGCCAAGCTGTCCAAGGTGTTCAAGGTGTTCGCCAAGCGCTACCAGACCGAACTGTCCAAGATCCGATTCATCTCATCCGACGGAAGACTGCTGCCCAAGTGCAACCCCAATCTCACCGTCCAGAGTAAGTCCGCATCCAATCCTACACTGCCGAGAAGCATGTACTGACCCCATCGGCTTCTACAGGTGAGGGATTCGAGGACGGCGACGAGATCGAGTGAGTACACCAGCCCCGCAACGTGCAAGGTGCAACAAAAGGCTGACGCTTGGAGGGTGTATAGTGTGATGCTCGAGCAGATCGGAGGCTGCCATGTCGAACGCATCTAAACAACAGGCGAAGCGATCTTTCCCCATCCTGGAGACTAAAAAGCAATGCTCAGCTTCGCAGCATCGAGACGGATCCTTCAAGACGAGTCGAGGCGCACAAGCAGACGGGGCGACAGGCATTCGAGTTGCGACACACGACTTGCGGCGCGTCGTCACGCAATGGCGAGAAAAACGAATGATTAGGCGGTGTACTAGACGTCTCGCAGTCGTGCACAAGTGGATCAGAATTGGGCCGAGATGAAAAGGCGGAAGTCTTGCGACACATCCGCAGGCGGAGGATTCTTGTGACCTGGACCAGCGTCACTTGGTCCCTCGGGGTTAGAGATTGGTCCCTTGGTATCGAGAATAGGAGGACGCCATCCGCGCGGGGGATCATCTGCACACAGAGCAATGCATCAAGTTCGAGCGTCAGTATGCGTGATTTGTGCTCTCTGTGCTAGTGTGAGAAGACGTACCGGAACCAGGCGGTTGTCCTGGCGACAACGGTTCTTCAAAGGGGTCCGCGATGATGTGTCTCTTGGCAGGCGGCGACACCGCGTCCGAGCCAGACCTGGGAGGAACAGCTGCGGTGCTGACCATGCCGACCAGGACGAGCAGCAAAAGAGCCGAGACCATGCTCAGGCCAGCACTGGGGCAAGATGTAGAGACACGCATGATGTTTCGCGACAGAGTCCAGCTCGGTTGAGCATTCTCTTCTACTGCCGCTACTTCGAGGCATATATAGGATTCTGGTCGAGACGGCTGTGGTTGTCATTACGATGCTACGGTACGCATCTTGGCGACCCACTCTTCAGCGTTGGTGCCCACCCACCAGATGAAGCGGGAGGGGCGTTGACACGCAGCCCCTTTGTGGCCACCGACACACGAACGCCATCACCGGCAACGTGCAGGCACAATGACCATATCCTCACACGCACAGTGCGCCCATGGTTCCCGAAATGCCGAGCGAAGATGCCGGTGGATGAAGGAGGCGTTTTTGTGGGTTTGCACCCTCTCTCCCATTCGACACGGTCCCGTCACTTCATCCCGGCTTGGACTCGACCCACTCACATCCGCCATTCAGCCACAACGTCACAATCGCCAAGCGGAAACCACCCACCCAACAAGCCGACCAAAATGATGAAAGTGCAAAGCCAACGACGATCGAGTGTGGCTTCCATGAAGCGTGTGGACACCCAACACCGCCGCCGAGTCGACATTACTTAAAGACCGGGCGGATCACGGACCGGATGTTGAGATGGCTTCGGCTTTTCAAGGTCGCCGGAGATTTGGGCCTGTATGAGGTAAGCCCCCCGGCAGGCACGCGCAGTGATGAAACGATGAACGCCAGGCCGAGTGCAAATGAACCGAGATGGGGTCCGATGAAGTTTTTGCAATTGATACAATACAGGATGGCTTTGCTGCCGAGATTGCGGACGCTTTGTGCGCGGAAGTCTTTTGCTGCGAGAGTCGGTAGAGAGTGGTTGAGAATGCCGATGCCGATGTATGGGAGGGTACGAGGGTATCTGTCGGCGAGGCTGGTGCGGAAGCGGCTTTTAAAGGCGATCATGCGGTGTTCCTGAGGACAAGGACGACCGAGTCGCCGCGGAGGAACATCTTGGAGATGAAGCGGTCCTTGTTGACGGGCTTCTTGCCCTTGCCCTTGGGCACTTCGGTCCACATCTCCTTTACGTTTTCGAGCACCATGTTCGAGTGGCGGTCGAACGCCTTTACGCGCGCGAGCAGCTTCTTGTTGTTGCGAAGGGCAATGAGGATCTGCGTGTGGTTGCGCACCGACTGCTGAAGAACGGAGAGGGGTCCTTGTGAGATCTCGTACTGCTCCAGCTCGCGGATCTGCGACTGGTCGAGCTCGGACTTGGGCACGTTGACGTATTGACTGTGCGTGGGTGCGAATCGGTCGCGACAAGGAGAAAAGAGAGGTGAGTGAGAAAGCCGAGCGGTGAATGCGATGCGAGAGAGCGTGATACTTACCTCATTGTATGGAAACGGCGATGATGGTGACCAGCAACGATGTGATGGTCGAGACAGAGGTAGCGGATGTGACCTTTGGCAGAGTTGGAAGCGGCAACGCCGAAATTCGGCTCCGACCTCTGCATCGACTTAACGGCACACCCGAGCGCAACACGGCTGACTCGAAAATGGGCGATGCCAAGTCCAAATCAATGATCCAGAATCTAGCTATATCGTGCTGTAAAGTGGTCTCAATCAATAAATCACCTTCCTATCGAGTGCAAGGTCTGAAGCGCCTTTTCTTCGCCGCGAAAAAGTTGGCTCGGCTCCACCGCCTTCCCTCCTTCCTCCACCATATCGAAAGCGCTTTGACTGCATCTCAACCAGTCATGGCTTCTCCTACGCTCAAGCTCGACCCTCAGGCGAAGGTCGCACCTCTTGCGCCCCTCGCCCTTGCCAAGCTCGTCAGCGCCGCCGACGCTGCCCAGTCCATCACCCTCTCCTTCGAGGACGGCGTGGCTCCCACGCTCCTCCTCCCCAACGCCGCTCCCGTCGAGGGCTACGTCCACATCGTCCGCGAGCTCGCCTCCTACTACGCACAGCTCGGCCTCTCCGGCGCCGACAAGGACCAGAGCGCCCAGGTCAACCTCTACATCGGCCAGGGCGACAACCTCGCGCTCGCCAACTTCCAGACCGCAACCGCCATCGCCGACGACCTCGACCAGCACCTTGCCCTGCGCACCTTCCTCGTCGGCCACTCCATCACCGCCGCCGATGTCGCCATCTGGGCCGCCGTCCGCACGAGCTCGCCCGTGATCGGCCTCGTCAAGAAGGGCCTCCACAACCACCTCCAGCGATGGTTCAACCACATCGACTCGCTCGCGCCCGTCTCGGATGCGCTCGTCCAGCTCGCCGACGCAAAGGCAGAGAAGTTCAAGAACAAGAAGACCGCCGCTGGCTTCGACCTCTTCCTCAAGGACGCCCAGCAGGGTCAGGTCGTCACGCGATTCCCGCCCGAGCCCTCAGGCTACCTCCACGTCGGCCACGCCAAGGCCGCCATCCTCAACCAGTACTTTGCGCGCCAGTACAACGGCAAGCTCATCATCCGCTTCGACGACACCAACCCCAGCAAGGAGAAGGAGGAGTTTGAACAGTCCATCATCGAGGACCTCGCGCTCCTCGGCATCAAGGGCGACGTCACCACCCACACCTCGGACCACTTTGACACGCTCTACAAGTACGCCATCCAGATGATCCAGCTCGGCAAGGCGTACGCCGACGACACCCTCCAGGAGCAGATGCGCGCAGAGCGCATGGACGGCATCCCCTCCAAGCGTCGCGACGCCTCGATCGAGGAAAACATGACGCGCTTCGCAGAGATGTCCACCGGCTCCGCCGACGGCCGCAAGTGGTGCCTGCGTGCCAAGCTCTCGTTCGACGACCCCAACAAGGCCATGCGCGATCCCGTCATCTACAGGTGCAACCCAGACGTCTCGCACCACCGCACCGGCACCACCTGGAAGGTGTATCCGACGTACGACTTTGCCTGCCCCATCGTCGACTCGATCGAGGGCGTGACGCACGCGCTGCGTACCAACGAGTACCGCGACCGCAACCCGCAGTATCAGTGGATGCTCGATGCGCTCAGCCTGCGCAAGGTCGACATCTGGGACTTTGGCCGTCTCAACTTTGTTTACACGCTGCTCAGCAAGCGCAAGCTGCAGTGGTTCGTCGACAACGGCATCGTCGGCGGCTGGGACGACCCGCGCTTCCCCACCGTGCGCGGCATCCGCAGGCGCGGCATGACCATCGAGACCATCCAGGAGTTCATCCTCGCCCAGGGCCCCTCGCAGCAGATCATCAACATGGAGTGGGACAACATCTGGACGATCAACAAGCGACACATCGACCCCGTCGTGCCGCGCTACGTGGCGCTCGACAAGGAGGGTGTGGTCAAGGTGAGCGTCAAGGGCGCACCCAAGCGTCACTCCAAGGAGATGCCGAGGCACAAGAAGAACGCCGACCTCGGCAACAAGGTCACCGTGTTCGACGAGGTGGTGTACGTCGAGCAGACGGATGCGCGCTCGTTTGCGCAGGGCGAGGAGGTGACGTTCATGGACTGGGGCAACGTCATCATCGACTCGAAGCAGACCGATGCGGCTGGCAACGTGCTCTCCATCGAGGCCACGGCCAACCTGGACGGCGACTTCAAGAAGACCAAGAAGAAGGTGACGTGGCTGGCGCCCAGTGCGTCGGACGCCTCGCTGGTCGACGTGAACCTGCTCGACTTTGACTACCTCATCACCAAGAAGAAGCTCGAGGAGGAGGACAACTTTGCCGACTTTGTCACGCCCACCTCCGAGTTCCACAGCGTTGCACTTGCCGACCACAACGTGGCTGCGCTTCAGCAGGGTGCAGCCGTGCAGTTCGAGCGCAAGGGCTACTACATTCTCGACAAGCTTGCTGGCAAGGATGGCCGGGCCGATTTCATCAAGATCCCCGACGGCAAGGCAGCCACTTCGGCATCCAAGGTTGCTCCCGATGTGGATACGGAGGCCAAGAAGGCTGCAGCTGCCAACGCGAGAGCAGAGAAGGCGGCTGCTAAGGCCAAGAAGGAGCAGGAAAAGGCGGAGAAGAAGGCCAAAAAGGCGTTTGAGAAGGGCGATGGTGTAGGCGTGGTGGCTGGCAAGGTCAAGGCTGGTGTGGCTGCAGCCACCGCCGGTCTTGCAGGCGCTATTGCAGCGAGAAACGACACAAAGGACGCCGACGACACGACCAGCAAACACTTCCCCGAGATCATCGATACCGGCAAGGGCAAGATCAACATGTACGAGGCGCCCGTCATCACAACAAACATCCCCACGCCCGTCACAACCAAAATGTACTCGATGAACAAGATCCTCTAAACCCCCCTCGCCACAATTCCCCTGTTCAATACGACAACATCTTGTCATGTACTCCTGCACTTGGTAGCACTCGAAAAATCCAGCGTGTGTTCGCACAAGGCTCAGATTGAATGTGTGCAGCTAGGCTCAAAAGATGTTCATGTCCTCAAAGTCGTCGTCGTCCTCTTCGGCGGCAGCTGCGAGTGCCGCACGTGCATCGAGGTCGTCGGGGTCCACATCGACGGCTTCGGTGGTGCGGCGCTGGCGCGCGATGCGATCCGCGTACTGCGTGCGCTTGACCTGCAGCAGCGTATCCTGCCCAATCACGCGCTCCAGTACGGGCGGCTTGTCCGTCTCGGCCTGCTGGGCAAGAATCTCGTGTGCACGCTGGCGACGCTCGTGCTCGAGCCGTGTCCACTTGCGGATAACGCGCTCGCGCTCCTCAATGGCGCGTTTCCGCCGCTGCTCCACCTCGGGCATCATGGTCACCACAAACAGCACCACCGGCACCACCCAGCTCGAAGACACCATGCGCGTCACCCATCCGTCCGCGTGCGGCGTGCCTGGTTGCGCGGAAGATCCCGCAGCTCCACCGCGCGTCGATGCGGGCGGCGGCAACAAGCCGAGCTCAGCATCCTCCGAGTCGAGACCAATAAAGGCCATGTGGTCGATCCACCAGTCGTACGTGAACCTCGAGCGTGAGCGGAAGCGCGCGGGCGCCTGCGGCGGCGGCAGCGGCCGCAGCGGCTCTTCCGTAGCTTGGCGCTCCACTTGCTCTTCGTGCGACGGTGCGCTCGGCACATTGTCTCCCGCGGGCGCAGCGACGTCCGCTCCGACTCCAGCGCCTCGATTCTCGCCTCCCGCAGCCCGGTTCAGATTGCCAGGAGCAGCGTCGCCGGCGTCAGCGAGGGGGGGACGTGGTGGCGCTGGTCGAGGCTGCATCCTCTGCCTCGCGCGCTCGCGGCGCTGGACGATGCGGAAGCTCTCGAACACCACGTACACCGCCGCCATGCCGATCACAAAGTATCGCTTCACGGTGTCTGCACCAGGCAGCATCACCGAGAGGAGGAGGCCGACCTTGAGGCCGACGAAGAACATCGGCACCAACACCGCCGTTACATCTGCCAGCGTGACGGTGCGCAGTCCGACGATCCAATCTCGCACTGCGCTCGTCGCATGGGCAAGGCGGCCGCGCTGTTGAGGTGCAGCGACACGTGCGGCATCAGCGTCGATTGCGCGGCTGGAAGCGCCGGCCCTGCCGATGAGAGGAGCCGATGAGGCGGTTCCGAAGAGGCTGCCGAGCCTGATAATGTTGTCGATCTTGTCGATCATGGAGCGAAGGACGGTGATGCGTTCGAGCAGCGTGTTGAGCGCCTCGCTTCGCTCCACGTCGATGGGCTGGCTCGAGATGCGCAGAAGATACGGCAAGCCGCGGTGCGAGACCTGCTGGTAGAGATATTGCATCTCGCCTTGCGATTCCGAGGTCGAGCCCGCACTGCAGTCTGAACCGGGCAGCGCCACGGGGTCCCACCCGAGCAGGGTGATCTCGACATCGGTCAGGAGCTCGCTCGGCGGCGAGAGTTCGGGTGCTGATGAATCATCTGGCCGGCCGGACGCAAGCTTTTGTGCAGCCACAGCCTGGTTGTAGATGGCCTCGTAAATGAGGACGTACTCGTCGCATGCTGATTCGAGGACTTGGACGAGCAGAGGCCAGTTTTGTGGTGCAGTAACGCGGAGGGTCTGCTCGAGGACGGCGTGAGCGTCGGCCGACGCCTGGCTTGCTCGCGCGGTCGCTGGCATGGCTGCAGGGCGTGATGTGAATGGCGAAGCGCCATCTGTTTGAAGGGAACAGGGACCCTTGGGAGATGCGGCTGAGCTTGAGCTTGGCAGAGGACGTGGGTCGGAAAAGTACGGCTCGAACTGAGGGGTGGGGCGCGAAGGGGACTGAGTGCATGCAGCCACGTGTAGCGATGAAGCGTTGACGTCGGCGTGGTGGGTCAGGGGAACCTCGTTGGCGAGTGCGGAACGGGGCAAGTTTTGAAGCTGTTGCTCCAAGAGTTGCTGCTGCTGTTGGCGCAGATAGGAGCTGCGGCGTGAGGGGGTGGGTCGATTTTGTGGGTCCGACCACGCGTCTGGCCGAATGACCAAATGAAGGGAGAGAGGCTCGTCTTGCTCGAGCTTATCGTATGCACGTTCACGTTGCAGAATGGGGGCAGAAAGTGAGAAGGGGAATGTCAGCTTTGGCTATCCGCAGATGTGTCCCCTGCCAAGATAGGGTGAGGCACGGGCAGATTTTGCTGGTTGAGCGCACTTACGTTCTGGGCCAGCTGCGCGAGTAGTTCCGAATCTTGCAAGATGCGACCGGAGCGAATGCAGCGCATTCCTTCGGCGCGAGGCGCTCCAGGCCATGTGCGCTCAATGTTGCGCTTGAGGGAAAGAACCGTGTCGGTGAGGCTGGCGCTGACCACGGCCGAATCCTTGTCGAGTGAGGGGCACTTGATGGCCACGGCAATGCTGTTTCGACCGTCTATCGAAGTGGAGCTCGAAGCGCGCGTGTGATTTGAAAGCACTGGGCCTTGATCGCGCTGATGCTTTGGCTCATGCTGGCCGTCTTGGGCATCGGTGGTGGGAGTGCGAGGGAATGCCGGGTCCGACGAGACAGGAGCGTCATTGGGCTGAAGGTCTTGCGCTTGGTGAGAGCGGACAAAGTAGGATGGTGGTGGCGATGCTGCGGTGGAGGAGGATGGAGAAGATGCATGCTGCGGAAGCGAGCCGGAGGGGGATGACATAGCGTCGTGTGTGGTGCCGAGACGCTGTGGTCTTTGGCCGTGGCGATGCTGGTGGAGATGCAGTGGTGGATCGGTGCCGTGGTCCATGATGGATTTGCTGCTTGAGACAAGGACAGGACAGTGGCGGTGTTGAGGGCGAGATCACCAGGCGCTCGATCGGTCAGAGCAGCAGGCCATCGTACTGTATGCTTGAATAAGAACTAACTCAGCCTCAAGCGCGGCAGCTCCGACCCAAGCTGAATCCGCCGATCAAGGTTGAATGAGCTGAGCAGCAGCCAAGATTCGAAGTGTGTGGGAATGCTGCTCGTGTGCGAGCGGATGATCCGAAGAAGAGTGATGCCGAGGTGACGGTGTGATGCGAGCATGGAAAGATGCGGGTGAGCCGAATCCCTCGGCTTTCTGACGTGGAGGCAACGGGGTCCTCGCGCATGTGCGTTGCCGGTCCAGCGCGCAATTTGTCGGTGCCCCGCTCGCCATCTGGTGCATGGCTGTGCCTCGCTCAGCTGCTGAAATCCAGGCGTTGCGCGAGAAATCGCCGATTCAAGGGACCCACTCTCCGCACGGATCCATCCCCAGACTTGCCCTCCACCGTCACATCCTGCCATCCCTTCCTCGACCGCCCGCAGCTCTCATCTGGTTCTTGTCCCGTTCCGCAGCCGTCGCTACGCCTTGCGCGGCGCTTCTCGCAACCGTGCGCTGGCCCACAACGTCAAGTTCCTCGCCATGTCCGGCTCTTCGTACGGAGAGCTCAATCCATACGAGGAGGCCAGGCTCTACACCAACAACCATGACCGCGAGCGCTACGAAAACATGGCGACGCTCTTTAGCTTGATCGTCGCCCTCGACTACCTTGAGCGCGCCTATGTGCGCGAGTCGATCTCCGAAAAGGAGTACGCACCCGCGTGCACGCGCCTGCTTGCGCAGTACAAGACCATGCTCAAGCTCATTGTCGACCAGGAGAGCTCGTCGTCCAAACCCATCAACGACCTCAACGACTTTATGCGCACGTACAACATGAACTACCTCGCCGCCGTGCATCGACTCAACGTCGGCGTGCCTGCGACGGTGGAGCACGCCTCGTCGTCCACCACCCAGTCGTCGTCCGAACGCGCAAAGTGGGTCGCCGAGACCACGCAGAACTTCATCACCTTCATGGATGCGCTCAAGCTCAAGCTGCGCGCAAAGGACCAGCTCCATCCCATGCTCAGCGAGCTCATGCGCGGATACAGCCGCAGCGACGAAGCAGCCAAGGACCAGGACTCTAGCGACACGCGTGCCAAGCTGCTCAAGTGGCTCATCACCCTCAACCAGATGAAGGCCAGCGACGAGATCGACGAGGACCAGGCACGCCAGATGCTCTTCGACGTAGAGGGCGCCTACAACAGCTTCTTCCGCGCGCTCCAGGACTAGACTGCTTGAGACGTTGACGGTGACATTGGGGAAAAAGCCCGAGACTAGTGTTACATACGGCACGCAAGGCGGCCCTCAATCCTCGCGCACCACCCCAGGCAGGAAGAACTGTGCACGATATTCAGACAATGCAACGGACTCTCAATCAGCTGTCCGAACGAGAGTGGTGATGAAACGGCCAAGCGAGAACTTACGGTCATGACTCCGCTGCTCTTATCCACATCGCCAATGTAGACGTAAAAGATGGCGCAGTGGTTGGCGCAGATGCACGCGATCGTCGTGGTGGCTACAATGTAGCTCGACAGAAACTTGAGGAACGACTTCATCTCGAGATGCACGCTCTTGTGCTCGGCCGGGTCGTCCGGAGCCTGTGCGGTGCTCGACTGCGACGCCTCGATGGTGGGATGCGCCAGATTCGACCACGTCGTGTCCAGGCTCACCTCGTCCTCCGCCACCGACAGACGCAGCTCGCCCTGACGATTCGCCGACAGCGTCACAATATCCGAGAGCGACCGCATGTGCTCCGCCACCGTGCGCAGGTTGAGCAGCTTGGGCAGAATGATGTGCACGTCCGGTTCCGGACACAGCGGCTCCACCACACGACTCATCTCGGCCGGCTTGAGCACCTTGATCAGCACATCCTGCACCACCTCCAACTTGGCGCCCGTGTGGCTCTGCGCCGATATCGTAAAGCTCAGCAGCGGATCCTTGCCCCTCTTTGCCAGACGCAGGATCACGCTGTACGCATTGTTGGCCGACCGCAACGCCTTGAGCAGCGTATCCGGCGACACCTCGAGGTTGATGTGGTTCTGGAAGTTCGACTCGATCCGGTAGTCCTGGAAGATGGAGTCCACCTGCATCTGCGACCAGATCTGCGTCCCGTCCGTATCGCCCAGGCAGATCATGTGGATCTTGTCCGGCGTGAGCTTGAGGATGCACTTGTTGGCCACCTTGCCGATCGACTGCACCACGCGCGTGAAGATCGACACGTCGGCCACCTGCGTACGAAACCGCATCGTGGGCGAATGGCGATGGTCGCCTGGCGCAAAGGATAAGGCGCTTCCTAGCCTCTGATCGCGTGCTATGTGCGCATTCGCCACTCCGGAACAGTGTTGCTGGTGATCGTGACGGGAAGGAGCTTCGAAAGCAGCCAAGTGTTGGACTCGCGCAAAGCTCAGTTCGACGCGCTGCCAAGTGGAGGTTTTCGCAATTTTTTGTTAGACCACCACTTCTCAAGTCTTGAAATAAATTCAGCTGCAGTGGAGGTTTTTGTCGATCACATCGCGCTCGCCCTCGGCCAGAGCTGCGTGGAATTGGAGGCACGAAGAAGCCAGCGCTCGGCCCAACCAACAGACCCGAGTCGCGTCGTCAGCGGAGCAGCCCTGAGCCGCTTCAGCCTTCCCACGCAACGCCCTCGCGAGCCAGTCGTATTCCACCATCTCTTACCGCCCACCACCACTCGGACGTTCTTCGACTCGCTCAACGTCTGTCCTGTCCGCACATCTCTTTCTCGCCCCTTTCACCTGCCCGGCGCGATCTCACCACCACTGCAAACGGCAGTCAGAATCGGCATCTCCATCGGCGTTCCTGGCCTCCACCCGCGCTCCTCGAAAGAGCCTCTGCTCCGAGCTTCTCCACACTGGGCGCAATCATGGTCGCCCCCGTCACCTCGGCCGCGGGCATCGTCGCCCTGCTCGACGAGCAAGAACCCGAGCTCCAGTCGTACGCCCTCAAGCGCCTCGATTCGCTCGTGCACCAGTTCTGGGCAGAGATCGCAGACGCCATCTCCAAGATCGAGATCCTCTACGAGGACGAGCGCTTTCCCGACCGTCAGCTCGCCGCCCTCATCGCCTCCAAGATCTACTTTCACCTCGGCGAGCACGACGAGGCGCTCATGTTTGCGCTCGGTGCCGGCCCGCTCTTCGACGTAGAGGTCAAGGACGAGTACGTCGACACCGTCGTCTCCAAAGCCATCGACAAATACATCCAGGACACGGCCCCTCTCTCCGCCGCTTCCACCACCGCACAGGCCGATGCCGATGCTGCGGCGTCCAAAGCCGCAGCCCAGAAGGCTCCCATCGACCCGCGCCTCAAGAACATTGTCGATCAGATGTTCGCGCGCTGCATCGCAGACAAGGAGTTCAAGCAGGCCCTCGGAATCGCCCTCGAGACTCAGCGCCTCGATATCATCGAAGAGGTCTACTCGGTCACCCACGACGCAGAGCTGCTCACCTACGTCCTCGAGAGCTGCGTCGGCGTCGTGCCCTCCATCGAGGTCCGCAACCAGATCCTCCACCTCCTCGTCAAGCTCTTCCAGAGGCTGCCAAACCCGGACCACTTCAGCATCGGCCAGTGCTACGTCTACCTCAACGCCCCCGAGCTCGCATCCGAGCTCCTCTTCAATCTCATCCAGCACGCGCATCAGCCCTCGAGCTCGTCTCAAGCCAACACCCCGCACGACCCGCTTCTCGTCACCTACCAACTTGCCTTTGATCTCGCCGAGAGCGCCACCCAAGAGTTCCTCGAAAACGTGCGCAGAGACCTCTCGTCCAAGTCCAGCGCAGCCGCCTCCGACGTCAAGACCGAGACCGTCGAGGCGGATGCAGACATGAACGGCGCCTCCGATGCCACCACGGTGCAGTCGTGCGTCGACCGCGTCCGCTCCATCCTTCAGGGCGAGGAGAGCATCCAGCTCTACCTCGAGTTCCTCAAGCGCTCCAACAAGGCCGATCTGCCCATCCTCAAGGCCACCAAGGAGGCTCTTGACGCACGCAGCTCCATCTACCACTCGGCGCTCAGCTTTGCCAACGCCTTCATGAACGCAGGCACCACCTCGGACAAGTTCCTGCGCGAGAACCTCGAGTGGCTCGCAAAGGCGTCCAACTGGTCCAAGTTCACCGCCACTGCGGCCCTCGGCATCCTCAACAAGGGCAACCTCAAGGAGGGAATCAGCATCCTGCGTCCCTACCTGCCCCAGGACGGCGTCACTAGCAGCGTCTACTCGGAGGGCGGCAGTCTATTCGCGCTCGGCCTTATCCACGCGAACCACGGCGCAGAGGTCATGGAGCTGCTCACCAACACGCTCAAGAGCAACCCCGCCGAGATCGTCCAGCACGGCGCCGCGCTCGGCCTCGGCGCCGCAGGCATGGCAAGCGGCAACGAAGAGGTGTACGAGGAGCTGCGCAACGTGCTCTACACCGACTCGGCCGTCGCCGGCGAGGCGAGCGGGTACGCCATGGGTCTCGTCATGCTCGGTACCGGCTCCGAGCGCGCCGTCGAGGAGATGCTGCAGTACGCCCACGAGACGCAGCACGAAAAGATCATCCGTGGTCTCGCCATCGGCATCGCCCTCCTCTTCTACGGAAAGGAGGAGAAGGCCGAGGCCATGATCGACACGCTCCTCGCAGACAAGGACGCCATCTTGCGCTACGGTGGTGTCTACACCATCGCGCTCGCATACGCCGGCACCGCCAACAACAAGGCGATACGACGCCTGCTGCACATTGCCGTCTCGGACGTGAGCGACGATGTGCGCCGCGCTGCCGTCACCTCGCTCGGCTTCCTGCTCTTCCGAAACCCCACCCAGGTGCCCAGGATCGTCCAGCTGCTCTCCGAGTCGTACAATCCGCACGTGCGATACGGCAGCACGCTCGCGCTCGGCATCGCGTGCGCCGGCACGGGTCTCGACGAGGCCGTCGACCTGCTCGAGCCCATGACCAAGGATCCCGTCGACTTTGTGCGTCAGGGCGCGTGCATCGCGCTCTCTATGATCTTTATCCAGCAGAACGAGACGCTCAACCCGCGCGTCACCAATGCGCGCAAGACGTTCGACAAGATCATCTCGGACAAGCACGAGGACGCCATGGCCAAGTTTGGTGCGGCGCTCGCGCAGGGTCTCGTGGATGCGGGCGGCCGCAACGTGACCATCTCGCTGCAGAGCCGTGGCGGCAATGCCAACATGCCGGCGATTGTGGGCATGGCGCTCTTCACGCAGTTCTGGTACTGGTTCCCGCTCGCCCACTTTTCCGCGCTGGCGTTCACGCCGACGGCGCTCATCGGACTCAACCGCGAACTGCGAATTCCGGAGTTCGAGTTTGTGTCCGAGGCCAAGCCGAGCCTGTTTGCTTATCCGACGTCGTACAAGCCTCCGTCGGAGAAGAAGGTGGAGCGCGTCGAGACGGCCGTACTCTCGACCACGGCCAAGGCACAGGCAAGGCAGAGGAACAAGGAGCGCACCCGTGCGCAGGCCGAGGGTGCGGGTGATGCGATGGACCTCGACGATAACACCGGCGCTGCCGCCAAGAAGGAGGACGGCGATGTCGCCATGGAGGAGGATGGTGCCAAGGGCGCATCGGGTGGCAAGGGCAAGCCCAAGAAGGAGCGCAAGCAGGAGCCGCGTACCGAGGTGCTGCCCAACTACTCGCGCGTCACGCCGGCCCAGGTCAAGTTTGTCACCTTCCCGCCCGAGTCGCGCTTTGTGCCCATCCGACCTGTTCAGGGCCTGGGCAGCCGCGTTCGTCAGGACGTGTACAACACCTCGTCGGTGGCTGGCAAGCTGCTGGGCAACTCCTCTCCCGCGCCGGGCGCGAGTGGTACCGTGACGCCCTCGAGTCACGGCGGAGCGGTGGCTGCGGTTGCCGGCGGCGTCAAGTCGCTGTTGCAGCAGGCGGTCGGCAATGCGGCTGGTAGCGACAACGGCGCGCAGCCCGCTGGTGGCGCGCCGGCAGCTGGTGCAGGACCGACGGCGGAGCAGGCCAGGAGTATCCTGACGTCGGCGATCGGAGGTACGGGCGGAATCTTGCTCATGGTCGACAGGAAGCCCAACGACGAGTTCCGCGCACTCAAGATCGGCGACTCCAACGACGACGATGGCGCCACGCAGCAGCGCAACGATGCGCCGGAAGAGAGGGCGGATGATGACGAGATCAGCCCCGAGGATGCTGCGGCCATTGCGGCTGCCATGGCGGCAGACGACGACGAACAGGGCGACGACAAGGATCTCAACAGCGTCGCTGCCCACCAGGGCCGCAGGGATCGTGATGGAGGCGACGGCGCGGCTCCTGGCGCCGGTGGCCTCCCAGAGGCCCGTTAGACCGATGCCACAATGGAAAGGATCGCATCCTGATCCAAAAGCTTATGATGTATCCCCCCACACGTTTCCCAATACAGTTTTGCGAAGTTCTTTCTCAGTCATCGAGTGTGATGGCTGCATGCTCCCGCGTGAGGCGCGCATCGATCCGGTCTGTGTCTCTCAATGTGCTCTGATGATCGAAACGCCAACTGTCATTCCACGCCGTCTAAGTAAAGTAGTGTCCACAACCACTGCGCGCTTGGTGGGGGTTCAACCAGCGATACCGGTGGAGCCTTGCTCGAGTTCGCGTTCGAGCTGAATCTTGCGCGCCTCGTCAATCTGCTTTGTGAGCGGGTCGAATTCGGCCATTGTCCTGCAGATGAGCGCGGCGTCTTCGAGGAAGGCGTTGACGCTGAGCCTCAGCTGTCTCACGGTGGTGGCGAAGATCTTGACGCCCATTTCGACATAGGCGGTCTCGTTCTCGGGGCGTGGCGACGACGGGTTGAGGATGGTGAACTCCTTGCGCACCTCCTTGGGCTTGAGCTCGCGATCGACGGCGATCGACTTTTGCAGCGTGAGTGCCGACTCGCGGTCGGGGAAGGGAAGCACGAGCGAGACGCTGTGGCGCATGTCGTCCGACGGCTTGCGCGACGACGTGCCGATGGTCTGGAACACCAGTCCGCGGTTCTCGATGCTGCTCGAACGTACGTGGCCTGCGCCATTGCTGCCGCTGTTCATGCTGCTCGAGTAAAGCCCAGCACCGCCTGTGGCGACGGTGACGGGACCAGTGCCATCCTTCTTCTCCTGCTTCATCTGGCGGATGAGGTCGAGCAGGTCATCGATGGCCTGCTTCTCGATCTGGTAGTGCACCACCATGCGGCCGCCACCGAGCTTGATGGGCTGGGGCAGCGCCGCGGCGCGCGCGACGAGCTCGGGGATGGGGATGTCGATGGACGACGTGTCGAGGAAGACCATGCTCGTCTCGACGGGCGCCGTGAGCCTCACGCCGAGCTTCTCGAGCTCGCGACCGGCGTAGCGCGCCAGCTGGTGGGTGGCGTTGAGCTTCGGGAAGTTCTCGAGCACACCCACACGCGCCGCCGCCACGAGCGGGCCGACTTGGCGCACACCGGCACCGTAGAGCTTTCGGAAGTGGCGCACCTTTTTGATGAACTGCGCGGGTCCGACGAGGATGCTGCCGATGGGCGCACCGAGCCCCTTGGAGAGGCAGAGCGAGACGGTGTCAAAGGGGTCGCAGAGCTCCCTGAGCGACAGACCCGTCTCTGCGGCGACGTTCCAGATGCGCGCGCCGTCGAGGTGCATGATGAGTCCGAGCTTGCGCGCCTCGGTGGAGATCTTGATGATCTCGTCCTGCGGCAAGATGGTGCCGTTGAGCGTGTTTTCGAGCGAGATGATGCGGGTGGGCGAAAAGTGGATGTCGTCGCTGAGGTTGAGGTTGGGCTTGATGTCCTCGTCCCAGCGGAGATGGTGACCGTTGGAGGGAGCGACGATCTCGGTGGAGGCGCCGCAGTGGAAGGCGATACCGCCGGCCTCGTAGCGGTGGATGTGGGCGCGGGTGTCGCAGAGGATGGTGTGAGGCGGCTGGTGGAGGTGGGTGCGGAGTGCGAGCTGGTTGGAGAGCGTGCCCGAGGGGACAAAGATGGCGGACTCCTTGCCTGTGAGCGCGGCGATCTCGGCCTGGAACGAGTTGGTGGTCTCGTCTTCACCGTAGACGTCGTCGCCTCGCGAGGCCTCGGCCATGGCGCGGATCATGGACTCGGTCGGGGCGGTGATGGTGTCGGAGCGGAAGTCGCGCGCGAGCAGCCGCTGTTTCTTGGCATTGTCGATGCGGCCGGTGGGAGGCGAGGCGGGAAGCAGAGGTGCGGTCTTGGCGCTCTGGCGGGAGGAGGCCGATGGCAGGCTGGAGCCGCCGTTGAGTTGGACGTTGATGGGTTTCTGCGTCTTGGAAGGGCCGTGAAACGGATCAACCGGCTCGGATGGCTGAAGTGGGTACGAGTCGGTGGTCATCTTGACGTTGGAAGGAGCACCTGACGAAGATAGCGAGCGGCGGGACGATGGAAGGAGCAAGGCAGTCCGCGAGACTGGGAGCAAAAGCGCGAGGCGAGGGGCGATGATGTGTGCCGTTGCGACTGCGTTGGCGCGGAAGAGCATGTGGTGGGGAGCCAAGGTGCGCTCCGTGGGTAAGTTAGATGAGCAGAAGAGGCAGCAACAGCAGAGTGATGTTGACAAGGAGCGGAGCATCCGAAGCCGTATCTCTCAACCTTTCATTTCACGACTTCGGAAAGGCCGCCGCTGACTGGCAATTTTCCCACTCCACTCGCGAGCGGCGCGGAAGCATCCGACACCCGGACAAGCACGACGTGCATCGTCCTTGCGCTGTCTCTGGCTGCTGCTTTCGATGAGAGTACCGCCGCGACCGCCACTTTCTCCTGGTCTGCTGCCCACTGCTGAGCAGGCGGCTGCCCAGCATCGACCAAAGAAGATGGAGAGAAAAAATGCGGCGGTAGTCATGCGGTGTTTCGGCTCTGGTCAGGCTGCAATTTCGGCCATTGCGGCCGCGCAGCGGCTGTGCCGTGCCTTCCGAGCCTCGAGGCTCAGCCAAAATCATGGGAGCTCGGTCAATTTCTCGGACCCAAACTGCCCGATCGTGACCCTGCACCGACTCGCAGCACGCGCGGCTCAAAGGCGGCCGAAGCTGTTGCGAGCTGACTGGACTGACTCACAAGCTCCAAACGCTCTGTAGGGCCAGCTGACCTTTGCTTCCGGTTCAGCCCCTGCAGATCAGCCTCAGAAGCTTCGGCCACCACCGCCTTGTAGCTGCGTGGCGAGCTGTGGGTCTGGTGCTCTCGAAACGTGGCCTGGGTCGGCCCCACCTGGCCAGTCTAACACTTTCGGAACTCGGGCTTCGCACCACACAAAAATGTCACTCCTGCCCACCTCCTTCCGACAGGAAGCATTCCGGCTTCTTCGCCCTTGATCAAGCCCCTTCAGCACTCTCGTCCAGCAGACGCTTTCCGAGCTGTATCTGCGTGCAGACATGGCACCGAGATGCTATGCCCTCGTGTCGAGCTGCTCTCGATGCCGCCTGGCTGTCCCGGCGCACCGCCAGCTCTCCGCTGCCGTACCCGCAGCAATCGCACATGTGCTACCTCACGACGCCGGCGCAGCTCCGGGGCCATCATCACAACGCCGCCCTTACACTAGCAGCTCGAGCTTGCCGCTTTCTGCGTCTCAGCGACCAGCAAGTCCATTCCCTTTGATCGATGGGCAACAACGCCGACGCTTCAACGCCACAGCCCTGACTAGCGCAAAGAAGAAGGCCAAATCCAAGGCATCCTCATCCTCCGCAGCCGCTGACGACCAAGCGGCCGCGTCATCTCGATATCCTCCACTGCCACTGGGCTGGCAAGCCGTCATCGGCGTCGAATGCCACGTCCAGATCAAGGACAAACACAAGCTCTTCAGCTCCGCACCTCTCCCTACGCCCTCCTCCCCACTCAACTCTCTCGTCACCCCGTTCGATGCCGCGCACCCAGGCACTTTCCCTACGCTCAACCGGTCCGCCCTCAGGCTCGCTGCACGCACCGCTCTCGCCCTCAACTGCAAGGTGCACGGCGAAAGCCGCTTCGATCGCAAACACTACTTCTACTCGGACCTCCCCGCCGGCTACCAGATCACACAGAAGTACGCTCCACTCGCCAACAACGGTAGCGTCAAACTCAGCTTCCACGACGGCCATCTGCCTAGCCCGGAAGACGAAGTCACGGTCGAGATCGAGCAGCTCCAGCTCGAACAAGACACCGCCAAGTCGAGCTACTTTGACACCGGTACCACGTCACGCCTGGACGCCAGCAGACAATCGCCTGCCGATGCGGTGCCGGAAGCCACGCTGCACGAGGCGGACGATGAGCGCGTGCAGCGTAGCTTTGTCGACCTCAACCGGGCCGGTGCTGGGCTGATGGAGATCGTGAGTGGGCCGCAGATGCGCACGCCCGAGCAGGCCGGCGCGTATGTGCGCAAGCTCCAGGAACTCGTTCGCCGCGTTGGTGCTTCGGATGGAAACATGCAGGAAGGCTCGCTTCGCTGCGACGTCAACGTGTCTGTCAACCGCGTAGGCGAGCCGTTCGGCACGCGCTGCGAGGTCAAGAATCTTAACAGCGCGCGCTTCATGATGAACGCCATCTCCCACGAGGCACACCGTCAGGTGCAGCTGCTCGAGCAGCCGGGAGGTCGCATCGAACAGGAGACCAGGGGTTACAACGAGTCGAATGGTACAACCTTCCGGCTGCGTGGAAAGGAGGATGCGCCGGATTACAGGTACATGCCCGATCCGAACTTGCCGCCGGTGTTGCTGTCCGAGATGCAGATCCAGGAGCTTAGGAATGGGCTTCCCGAGCTGCCGGATGCCAAGCGCGCGAGGCTGAGCAAGCAGTACGGCCTGGCGAGCCGCGACATCAATGTGCTTATGCGCGTCGGATCCGAGGACGACAGGGATGGCCGCGTCGTCGCGTCCATTGGCGAGGATGGCCAGGCAAGCTCGGATGCGGTCGAGTACTTCGAAAGAGTGGCAGAAGGGAGGAACGCTCAGACCGCCCTCAACTGGATCATTCATGAGCTCATGAAGGGTCTCAACGCCAGGAATTTGCCGTTCAGACAGTGGTATCTGCCAGCCCACTACCTCGGCCAGCTCATCGACCTTGTAGAAGCCGGCCAGGTGACTGGTACTACGGCCAAGGCTGTCATTGCCGATGTGCTTTCGTCCGCCAGTGCCTCTTCGGCATCTGTCATCTCGCTGGCTGAGTTAGATCGTCTGGCGCAAACTTCTACGACGCCAGTATTCGATCTGCTGCAGAAGCAAGAGCTGCTTGCGCTCGCCACCACGCAGGACCTGCTTCCGCTCGTCGAGTCGGCATTCCGGCGCTTGCCAGACGAAGTCGCCCAGGTGCGCAAGGGCAATCTCAAGGTCGCCATGCGCATCGTAGGGCAGGTCATGAAAGACGCAAACGGTCGTGCAGATGCCAAGCTCGTCCACACGACCATTCTGCAGCAGCTCGCACAACCTCCGTCCTCATCATAGACACAGTCACCTCTAATTGCATGCAACGAACCGATGGCATTGTTCGGATTACGACGACAGTATGGGATGGACCTAGGCCTGAGCTTGATCGCGCACATCTTTGGTGACGGGCTTCCTCTGCTTGAACGTGCGTGCCTTTTCCATGCCGGATTCGGTATCGATGTCGGTGCCAAGTTTGTCGGCCTTGCGCTTGCGTTTTTCGAGCTTGTCCTTCTGCACGCGTGCACGCTCAACCTTCTTGAGGTAGTCCTTCTGCTCGTACGCCGACTGGCTCAGTTCGGTCCTGAGTCTTGCCGAGTGGCTGGCCCGTTCCTGTGCCATCTGCTCCGAAAGCATATGCCACTTGAAGCCCTTGAGATACTTCATAGTCCACACGTCGTCCTGGAACCGCTTGCTGCTCTTGCCCATCTTACTGCTGCCCCCACCCGTACCCGACTTCTTCGAGTTGCTCGCTGCAAGCCCCCCGATCGGCTGCGCGTTGAGCATCTCGGCTGCAGCTTTGGCTACCTTCTTTGAGGTGAACTCGACCCAGCCCTCGGTGTAGTGCGCCACGCCGCGCTTCTTCTTCGACTCGCCAGGCTTGGTGCCGTCTTGCAGATAGATGCGTCCCAGCTCGCCAAAGTTGGACAGGATGTGGCGCACTTTGGCCGGAGTCATGCCGGGTGGGATGCGCGAGATATATACGATACCCAGCTTGCGCTGCTTCTTCTTGAACGCCTCCAGCTCCGACGCCGAGAGCGGCTTGATGATCTTCTCCTCTTCCGCCTCCGCCTGCATTGGGTCGTCCTGAACGTGTTCCTCGGCGTCGTATTCCGACTCGCCAGCGTCACTCGCACTGCCCTCTGCCTCGTCCTTCTCCTTCTTCTCTTTCTTCTCCTTCTTCTCCTTCTTTTCCTTCTTCTCTTTCTTGTCCTTCTTCTCCTTCTTCTCCTTCTTGGAGTCCTTGGTCTCGGCAGGCGCCTTGTCTTCCTCGGCGTCTTCGTCTTCCCTCTTCCTCTTGCCGTTCACTGCGTTGGACGAGTCCCACTTGCTCGGTGTGGGTGCCTCGACAGCATCCTGGGCAGGCGACTCGGCCGCCTTGGCAGGTGTGTTTGCTTGCGAGCCCTTGGCCTGCTTGCTGGGCGTAGCGTTCTGGCCATTCTGACCATTCTGCTGGTGCTTTGGTCCGCGGTAAACGCTCCTCTCATACTTCTCCGCCTCGCTGACGCACGTGTTGTGGCTCTTGAACTCGTCCGGACTGTTGAACTGCTGCGAGCAGTCGAGGCAGGTCACGGGCGCCCAGCAGCGGTTGAAGTGTTGCAGCAGCTTGGGCTTCTTGACCACATCGCCGCAGCCGTCGCAGTTGAACGACACCATGATGAGCCTTGGGATGTGACGGTAGTGTCTAGGGTGATGGTGCTTCGTAGGAAGGTTGGGATGCGGCTCTTCCAGAATTTCTGCGCTCTGCAGTGCCAGCTCCACGGTTTGGACCCACCACGGGAAATTTGTGCGCAGCGGCTTGGAAAATTTGTGGTCGGAAGTCGGAACCCGGGTCGAGGACACACGACACACGCCCTGCACCCTCAGCGCACTTCTGCCGGCCGGGTGCCTTGGGCGGAGGCTCTTTTGTGCCCACCGTCCTCTGCTTTCGCACCCTGAGCTGTCGTTCCTTCAATCGATGACCGATGTGCTCTTGTTTGGTCTCGCAGCTAATCTGGTAGAGTCGTTCGGTTCAGCTCTTGAATTCGAGCAGCGGATAATTTTAGTTCGCAAAATGCGGCCAGAAATTGTGGTCGAAAAAGGCGTTGAGGCAACAAATTGCAGGGCACTCGGCCCTGCACTGTGCAGGCAGTTGCATCGAAGTAAATTTACACGATGTCTACGCTCAGCCATAACGAAGGTGCTCGGCATTCAGGCGAAAGTCACATACTGGCTCACTCAAGCAGCAGACGGAGAGCCGCCGGATCGGAAGATCGCCAATCGCGAGTGGTGCGTCGCAAGGATGCCCGATGTGACTTCTGGCTGTCAGGCGTGCTTTTAGCGAGGGATGTCTTTTCTACAGTCACATCGCGTCAAGTGTTGGTCTCAGAGCCGCTGCTGCGCCTCGGCAACGCGTCGGAAAGGGCAGACGAGCCGGTCCACACTGCTCGCTTCGGCGCTCCCGCAGCCAGAGCATGCTTTGCTGATCCTCATGTTCCAGCAGGCAAGGATCTGCGATGCAGCGAATGCAAGGCACAGGCGGTGTAAGCACGAAGAATGAAGGAGACAAGTTGGCTGGAGCACCCGGACGGATAACCCAGGGCGCCTGCAAGCCTGCTGCGCTTCGGCGAGCCGACTCGGGTCTCGACGTGTTCAGTGAGAACGATGCGCCAACATCACCGAGCAAGAATCCGCGCCCGGCAAAGGCACAGCAGGTGGATGTTAGAAGTCGCCGAGGCGGCGATGAACAGCGCGCGCACGACTCGGCGGCCTGAGACCCACGCACTCGACACATGCGCAGCAGACTGACAGCTGCGCGTGATACGGAATGCTGATCGTGGCATTGGCGTCAGGAAGCTTTACTCGATCCTGACCCCGCCCATTCCGAAGCGCCGCTCGATCCACCGTTCTCGGAACATTCGGCTGCGCGAATGCGAAACAAATGAACCATTTGACAAGGTGGTCATCGGTACTCGACCGCCGCCTGAAACTTATGGAGACGTCCAGACGAGGAGGTACAGACGCGTAAGGCGGAATTCGATGGCCAGGCACAGCTGTTCTAGTTCTCGTCAAGGGATCAGCGAGCCATCAAGCTCGCCAAGCTCGCCACGTCCATTGGTGCGGGCGGTGGGCGCGCAAGATGAAGACACAAACAAATCGCGAAGCGCACAAGCGAGGAGTACGCAGGCCTTCTCGTCGGAAAACGAAGCAGAGGGTAGGCAGTGACAACCCGGCGGCGGTGGATTTGTTTGCAGCGATCTCGAGCAGATGCACGCGAGGTTCGCGTTACCAGCCTCTGCATGCCCAACTGGCGACCGCTTCCCGTTTCTGATGCTCCATCGCTTCGCTTGGATAGCAGCTCGGATTTGCAGTTGGGCGGCCCCTCACAAAGTCACACTTGCCCAAAGTCAGCGCCTTTAGCGCCATCGGCTGCCTTGTGCAGATTACGTCGCAAGAAAGCAGGCGAACCAGGCATCGTGGTCTGCTGCATGATCGCGGAATAAGGTACAGTATCGCGCAGACGTTCCCCGTCAAGAAGCCTCGGCAAGCTGGGATCCTAAGCAGAGTGGGCGCAAATTTCCTAGCGACGGCCTGGACCCTTGGCCACGCCCGCTGCCAGGGGTCGAGCTGCCTCCAACGCACGAGCTCTCGGTCATTTCTCACCGTGAGGCTGTCTACTCGTCCGTCGGCTGCTTCCCGGTCTGACTTGTTGGCGGTGCAGACAAGAGGCAGCCAGATCGACGGGTGCTGGACAAAGTGCAAAGGTGCAGATCAAACCGAAAGGGTGCTAAGTACTCCAGCGCAGCAGAGAGCGCGTCGGTGGCAGCTGCTGGAGGTGCATCGAGGTGCATATTTTAGACCGAGTCGCATCAGCCCAGTGTGAGAATTGAGACCCATCGCCGAGCGGACCCTTGCGAGGGCGACTTTGCCGACCAGCGCGAAAGCAGATCAGGGTCGCGTCTCGGAAGAAGCTGCAGCAGGTGCAGCAGCTGTTTGCAGGATCGCTCGCCTCGGATGTCCCGAACCACGCTTCGCTCGACGCTCGCTACTGCGCACGACAAGCACAAATCCTTCCTTTGCAAAGCCGCACTGACGATGTATGCTTGCCTTTACAGTGCTGTAAGCTGCACTCGAGGCAAGTGTGCGGCTGCTCCTGAGGACGCGGCTGCATTGGCTGATGCGAACGGCCGTTCAGAGGAGCGCTTCTTCCACCTCGGCCGGACACACCCGCTTGGCCGAGGAAACCAGCAAGTCGGACTCCACGCCGCCGTCGTTTGCTGTTCCCCGACCGATCGCGTCGAGCTGCAGCCCATGTCCGAGGCTCCGTCTTCATGCCCTTCCGGCTACGAAACGCCCTGCCCATCCCAGCCATCGCCAGCCTCGAGGCCGACCCGCATACATGTCACCGAGCTCTTCCCCGCCATGGACGCATGCCACTACGCAGTCTCCGCTTGAGCTTGTCTTGCGACAGCGACCCCTCCACACTCAGCATTGCAACTGCTTTCTGCTTCGCTCTCGGTCTTCGTCTCTCCACAGCCGCACGCTGCCCGTCGGACCTGCATCATACTTTCGTAGGCCGCATTACTATGCTCCTTTCGAACGGTACACGGCCATCAGCATAAGCGCCAGCCCGCCTTCCAGGAACCGGCGTCATCTGCTCGGACTCACTGCCTCCTTGTCACTCGCTGCACATCACTTATGGCTGTACCTGCTGCACGTCAAGCTCTGCTGCCCGAGCCTTCAAACCTAGCCATCTTTCCGACATCATCGCCTCCCATCCTCGCTCTGCCTGCAAGCCACTGCCTCTCCAATCCCCGCAGCTCGATTCGCACAATCGTCGGAGCCTCACCGAACAAGCTTCGTCTGCCGCAGCTCTCATCCGACGCGATCATATGCATACCTGATCGACATTGCTTCCGAGCGGACCTCCGTCGTGCAGATCCACGCGGCCTGCACCGAAGTCGAGACGGCCAAGGCCATCCTGGACGTCCCTGAATCCTGCACATGGGCAGCTCATCACTTTATCTCTCCCTTCAAGTCATCGTCTTGCCCTCTCTTCAAGCCGCTCCTGTTGTATACCCCACTCTTGCCCTGGAATTGCCTCGCGGAGAGTCAATAGTCAAGACCATCATCGCGCCCGCCAAGACCTTACAAGGTATATACCCTTCTCCCTTCGCCATCATCAGCCTGCTTTCCCCCCTTTCTCCATCAGTACCACTCTCCTCCCTCCTCCTCGATCCCTCTCCCCTTGCAACTCCATACTCCCCACTGCTCCGGCTCCACCAGATCGACTCACGATCCACCACACTCTTTTCTCTCCCGGCTCTCGACCGTCTTCTCCAGCTCGACAGTCCAATCACGCTCATTTGCAAACCCACATTCATTTCGAATCGACAAAGATACTAGACCGATTGTCTGCTTCCTGTAAGTACAAACCATTCAGCATCAGGAAGGGCTAGGATCGGGGGACCATGCATCAGCAGAGCAATCGACCACACCGACAGTCTAGTTTTCGCAACGCACCTTGGCTTGCCACGACACGGAACTGCGAGGTGTATCTGCTGGACAGAAGGTGGCTACGTCAGGGGTGCAAAGCATCGAGTTCATCAGTAGTTCAGTGTGTATGATCGGAGGCAAAAGGGGTCAGCATGATCGCGCGGGCCATCACCTGGAGTTGGTATTCGAGCTGGCTCAGCAGCTTCGAATAGGGATGTGGTGGGCGACCGATTGAAGACACGGCGAAGGAGGCATGGATGCACTTATATCTGGCGTGGTCTGGAAGAGGCCTGGAGAGTTCGACACTTCGAAGCACTTCACTACGTTCGAAAGAGCCTACAGTACTGACTACCAACTCTCTGTCTCTCTTCCCTTCTCCTCCTCTGATCTCTTCGCTGCGTACTCGCTTCGCATACTCGCATGACCTCGCCATACCGAACGTCTCACCTCCATTGCCACCGTCTGCTGATCCATCGACTCAACGTGGTTCTTGCCCATTCCTCTCGGCATGTGCGGCGGCTTCCATCGCTTCGTTGGTGCTCCTTGCATCCGGCTCACACGCGACCCCTCGCTTGACACCTTGCGACTCGCGTTTGACATCGGGCCCGATCTTCATCCAATTTTACGCGTCTTCCGTATATCGATCGGCGATTTCCAATTTTCGACATTTTTCGACTCTGTCGCTGCGCCCGCTCCGCCTCGCCCCTTGCCTGGCATGTCGACCTGCACTCGCACCCCTTGCCGATCTTCGATTTGGACCCGACACCGCGGCGTAACTACTGCTCTGGCCGACATGCCACGACATGCCACACGCTTTGCTCATATCGCGCATTGCGTATGCAACCTCTGTGGCTCGTCCTCGCACCGTGCATGCCCATGATCCGATGCCCCTGCGCTCACTTGTCTCTCACTCCGCACTGATGCGCTGGGTTCTCGGTACATGTGATGCCGCTGCCTCTCACCAATGTGGCACTGTTGCTCCGCCTGTCAAACTGTGCGCTCGTCGCCATGCATGCCTTCGCTTACGCTCCACCGCCCGTACCTGGCAACCCCTGCGCCCGCCCGCCCGCACGACGTCGATCCCCTCTTGCTCTCATGCCATCCCTCGGCGGCCCCGCAGGCATCGAACCCAAGCCCCTCCATTCCGCACACACCTAGAGCACTCGTCGATCCACAGCCTCGCTTGCACACGTACGTACATTCACCTGCCCGTCTGACCTGCTCGCGCCAAGCACAGTTGTACCTGCGAAGCGGCGTACTGACGTTCCTTGCTTGCTTTTTCTGCCTCCTCTCACCCCTTTCCTCCTTCGACGACGCCGATCTGCCCTAACGATGCCTTTTCGATGCGATCGCTCGTCTCGCCAACTTTACCGTCTGCGCGGCGCATGACTGGTCTCTCCTGGCCGGCTGGCTTCTTCATCGTGTGCGGCTGACCATTCGCACTTCTGCGATTTTCTCGGTGGTACCCTGCCGATGCGTATCCGTTGGCTCGCGTCCCTGGCACGTCAACTGCTCGTCGCATGTCCGGCTCTCCTGGCGCGTCGTCGCTGTCTGATGTCAAAACTGATATCGCTCATCAATTGCTCCCCTTGCACGCGCTCCCGTGCCTCCCTGCCCTGACCCTGCACACCGCACGCATTCCCTCAACCCATCATTCGATCGGTTCTCGGTATGATCCTGTGCCGACAAACAACTTCATGCATGACCGCTGCATGAACTTTTGTGCGATCCATCACTTTTGCGATGCTGCATGCCACCGACGGCCCTGCGGCTGCTGGAACGCACCCCATCGATGCCTCTCGCTCGTCACTACCGCGGCTGCCTCCGCCTTGCATGCCCTTGCCCTGCTCATCATACTGTACGCGCCCGCAGCATCTTCAGAACCCCTGACAGCCCACCTGCTCCAGCATCCTCTCGCCTTTCGACCTCCGACATTTGTTTGTTACGCGGCGCGCTATTCCCGCACCACATCCCAACAAGCCTCGACGAGCTCTAAATCAACCGTGTGTCTGCACCTCGCCCAGCACGCATTCCGCACGCCGACGACAATCGCAAGTGCCTGCCTTCTGTCCGAGCCTGCGATCGATATTCCCTGGTCATTCCTGCCATCGCGCTCGTTACATTCCCTGCCAGACTCGCCCGCAGCATACCTCTTCCACCGAGGTAAGTGATACCCCTCCTCCCAGCCCCAATCCCGCCATGCGAACGGCAGAGCTCGTGCTGTTAGACGCCGCTCCTGCGTTTGGGCGGAGTCGGAGCTCACTCGGACTGGACGGCTGTTTCAGCAGTTCAGCCGACGGTCGAGCCTGGCCCGCCTTGCGTCTCCTTAAAAGACTTTGTATCATCGACATTGGCTTTCGGGTCCCCCTCATGATTCCAAGCCTCTCCACTCCAAATCCTTTCTTCCCCCTTCCCCCTCGTCATCGATACCGACGCTGACCCACCACTCTCCTTTCTCCTCCTCAAACAACGACCCTCCCTGCCCCGGCTGCGACTATCTATTCTCTTACACTCCTTTGCTCGTCTCGCCTCCGCTTTTGCCACGCCTTGCTCGCTTTCCAACCTGCTCCTTGCTCTTACTGCATTCACATCGACCTGTCTTCGCACCACTCGTCCATGACAACACGACAACGTCACGCCTGGCTCTAAAGAACACAGCACACAAACACATCATCCACAATGACGCCACCCGCCATCACCAGCAACACTTCCCTCTCGCGACGAGGCTCGGCCCTCAGCCGTCAACATCGCATGAGCTCCGCTTGCTCGAGCGCCACGTCTTCGGGCTCGCGCCCTCGCTCCTCGCGAGGAAGGAGCACGTCGCCCCTTGATCCCTCGAAACAGGACGCCGCGATCCAGATGGCTGCCAAGCGCGCCTCGACATCCAGCTATGCTTCGACCGCCTCGTCGTCCTACTCGACGTCGTCTAGCGAGTCCAAGGCTGCTGACACATCGGCTGCTACCTCGACACTTCCTTCGTCAGGATCCACCACCAAGATCTCGGCCAACCTCCGAGCACTGCTCTTCGAGGAGGAGTACCAAGACGAGGTGATCGAGCACATGCACCACATGGAGTCGCAAACGGTGGCCGCCGTCGAGCTCATGGACGTTCAGCCTGAGCTCAAGTGGTTCATGCGCCCCTACCTGGTCGACTTCCTCATCGAGATCCACCAGACGTTCAAGCTGCGACCGGAGACGCTCTTCCTCACCATGAACATTGTCGACCGCTACGTGTCGAAGCGCATTGTGTACAAGCGCCACTACCAGCTTGTTGGCTGCGCCGCGCTCCTGATCGCGGCCAAGTTCGAGGACGCCAAGGACCGCGTTCCCACGGTCAAGGAGCTCAGCCAGATGTGCTGCAACGCCTACGACGAGTCGGCATTCTCCCAAATGGAAGGCCACGTTCTCTCGACCATCGGCTGGACTCTTGGCCACCCCACTGCCGAGGCGTGGCTGCGCATCGAGAGCGTGCGCAACGGCGAGGACCTCAAGACGGTGAACCTGGCGCGCTTCTTCCTGGAAGTGAGCCTCTTCCACCGCGACTTTATCTCGCTCAAGTCGTCGGCGTTGACCAAGGGTGCGCTGATCCTCGCACGCTTCATCTGCGGTCTGCCGCAGTCGTGCAAGCTTCTGCCGACGGACGATGCTGCCAAGGCGGCTCACATGCTCGACGCGTACGTGTCCGAGAACATTCAGGACCTCTCGCTGATCCTGATCAAGAAGTACTCGTACGCCTACTTCTCCAACGCTTCCACCGTGGTCTGCGACTGGTACCGCGCGCGTGTCGCCGCAGCCAAGTCGGCACCTCCCTCTGGCCTGCTCCCCGCCCAGGCGGTCACGCGCAACGCCGAAGTCGGCAGCGCAGATGTGGACGATGACGAGTCCATGTGCTCGCAGCCCACCACGCCCGCATCGTCGGTGCAGTCGACACCATCTCGGTCCATGGACGAAGACGAGGACGAGGACGACGAGGACGACATGCCGGTGACGCCGCTGTCGTTGTACTCGCTCCACGACCCTCTTGTTGCCGCTGCTACTGCCGCCGGTCTCCCCGTCCCGATGCCTGCATCGCGCGCTTCGGTGCAGGACAAGGAGAACCGCTCGTCGGCTTCGAATGGCAGCATGCCATCGAGCAAGAGCTCCTCGACGCACTTGACAGTGCAGCAGCCTGTTCTCGGCGCAAGGAAGCCGCTCGGAAACGTGGTCTGGAACGTCAACGTTCAGCAGTTCTAGTCCCTCGCACGTCGCATCTCTACATCCCGCTTCTCTGCCCCCTCAAAAGTGTTCTAGCCCTCGGATCCTTCATACTGTGTTTTTAGTTTGCATCTCATTGGTCACGCTCAGCATCTGACCCTCTAGTCGTCTCCCTTCCCCATCAACATTCATGCGCTCCATCTGTCACCTTATCACCCCATCCCGCTTATTCTGCCTGGCCCGGCGAGCTTCACGAGGCGAGCTGCTGGCCGTGGCTCTAAGATCTATCTCCGCCACATCCACTCTTGGAAACATTGTTCCGAAGCAGCAATTCATCTTTGTCTTTTAGGATCTCAACGCTTTTGTCTGTGTGTTGCGAGTTGTCTGGATCAGGTATGCGGCCGACGGGGGGCAGAAAGCTGCGCTGCGTTCTTCGACAGGAGCTCAGGATGGCGAGGCAACAGGATCGCGCGAGCACAAATCCGAAACACCCGATTGGATGCGACGAGTCACAGGCGCGGACGACGCGGACTGCAGCTTCTCAACTAACATTTTCCCGGATTTTATTTTCGCGCATCAGAAGAAATGCGGCAGCAGCTGGCGGCTTCGGGGAAATGCCGAGATTGGGCTGCAGCCCACAACTCTCTTTTGAGCCACGTCCAAAGGCCCACTTTCAAATCGACACGAGAAGGCTTCTCCCTTCCTCCCATCCAAAGCACGACGCTTGCATTGCCGCTTCTCACCACTACCTCGCTCCGCATCGCCCAGCGTCGCATCATCATGAGGGCTGCAAACATGCTGCGCCTCGGCGCTTCCCGGCTCTCGACGCCGCTGCTTCGTCGCAGCCTCGCCACGCACGCTGCGGTCAACCCGGCTAGCGGCACGTACAACCTCGTCGAAAAGATCGTGCAGAAGTACGCCGTGGACCAAGCGCCAGGATCGCACGTCAAGTCGGGTGACTACGTCTCCATCCGCCCCGGCACCGTCATGACGCACGACAACACCGGGCCCGTCATCTCCAAGTTCGGCTCGATCGGCGCCACGTCGATCTACAACCCGGACCAGGTGGTGTTTGCGCTGGACCACGACGTGCAGAACAAGTCGGCCAAGAACCTGGAAAAGTACAGCAAGATCGAGAGCTTTGCGCGCAAGCATGGTATCGACTTTTACCCTGCCGGGCGCGGTATCGGCCACCAGGTGCTGGTCGAGGAGGGCTATGCTTTCCCGCAGACGCTGGCGGTGGCAAGTGACTCGCACTCCAACATGTACGGCGGTGTCGGCTGTCTCGGTACACCCATCGTGCGCACGGATGCGGCGGCGATCTGGGCGACCGGCCAGACATGGTGGCAGATCCCCGAGGTGGTCAAGGTCGAGCTCAAGGGTCAGCTGCCCAAGGGTGTCACTGGCAAGGATGTGATCGTGGCGCTCTGCGGCTACTTCAACCAAGACCAGGTGCTGAATGCTGCCATCGAGTTCCACGGCTCAGGTCTTTCTGCGCTCTCGATCGAGGAGAGGCTGGCGATTGCCAACATGACCACCGAATGGGGTGCGCTTGCTGGTCTCTTCCCCACGGACGACGTCACGCTCGGCTGGTACGAGAAGCAGATCCGCAAGCGCGACAAGCTCGAGTTCCAGATCGGCTCGTCGCCCTCGCCGTCCGGCTCACACCCGCGTCTGAACCTGCACCGACTCGACGAGCTCTCGCGCACGCTCCTCCGCCCGGATGCCGACGCGCTCTACTCGAAGCACCTCACGCTCGACCTCGCCACGCTCGTCCCGCACGTGAGCGGGCCGAACTCGGTCAAGGTGTCGACGCCGCTCGACGAGCTGGCGCACCAGAACATCGCCATCAACAAGGCGTATCTCGTGTCGTGCGTCAACTCGCGCGCGTCCGATCTCAAGGCGGCCGCCGACGTCATCCGCGGCAAGAAGGTCGCCAAGGGCGTCGAGTTCTACGTGGCAGCCGCGAGCAGTGTGGTACAGCGCGAGGCAGAGGAGGCAGGTGACTGGGGCGCCCTGATGGCCGCAGGCGCCAAGCCGTTGCCTGCGGGATGCGGACCTTGCATCGGCCTCGGCGTGGGTCTGCTCGAGGACGGCGAGGTGGGCATCTCGGCGACCAACAGGAACTACAAGGGCAGGATGGGCAGTCCCAACGCCCAGGCGTACCTCGCCTCGCCCGCAGTGGTGGCGGCGTCGGCGATTGAGGGCAAGATCTGCGGTCCTTCGGATCTGGACCCTTCGTTGCTGCCTCCCTCGCGTGGCCTCAAGTACTCGATCTCGACCAGTGCTGATGCAGCCTCTGCGGCGTCATCCTCGGCCTCGACCGACGCAGCTGGTGTCGAAGTGCTTCCTTCGTTCCCCAAGTCTTTCTCGGGCCCCTTGATCTTTGCGCCGCAGGACAACCTCAACACCGACGGCATCTACCCGGGCAAGTACACGTACCAAGACGACATTACGCCCGACAAACAAGCCGAAGTGGTCATGGAGAACTACGACGCCACATTTGCCTCGACTGTTGCCTCGCTCCGCACCAGCAGCAGTGCAGGGGGTTCGGACGGCGTCAAGCTCGGACCTGTTTTGCTGGGTGGGTACAACTTTGGCACGGGCAGTTCGCGAGAGCAGGCAGCTACGGCTCTCAAGTACGCCGGTGTTCCACTCGTGCTCGCCGGTAGCTTCGGCGACATCTTCAAGCGCAACGCGATCAACAACGGTCTCATCTGCCTCGAGTCGCACGAGCTCGTCCAGGACCTCACCGCGCTCTACCTCGGATCCAGGGACGCCGTTCGAAACCAAAAGGCCATTCTGCTCGACCAGTCCAACGTGCAAATCAACTCGGCCACGGGCGAGATCAACCTCTCCTACACCGCTCCTGACGGATCCAAGGTCAACAAGAAGTACACCGCCAAGCCTGCAGGCATCGGCAAGAGCGTCCAGGAGATCTACACCGCTGGCGGCCTCGAAAAGTGGGTCAAGGAGCGCATCTGATCTTTGCCTTGTAGAATCCCTTCCCGTACAATTTCAATGCAATGCATCCGCAGTCCACTGAGTTCCGCGCGTATGAAGTGGTGTTGAATAGCATTCCTCGTGCCCACAGCAGAACCGGACGGATGGAAAGGAGCGAAAGTCGTGTCTACTGTGTATGGAGACGTGTCTAGCCGCTGATGAAGGTGTGCTCCTCGAAGAGGGTGCCCTTGATCGAGGTGGACTCGCCCTTGCCGCTGCCGGCGTACTGCCCGGGGAGGGTGAGCGTGAGCGTGGCTGGGTTGAGCGTCTGGTAGATGTAAGGCTTGGTGCCTGCGACGTAGTTGACGAGCTTGCGCACCATGTAGGGAATCTCTGCGAGCACGTCCACCTTGTCGACCAGACCGTGCGTCTCGCTGGACGGGTAGGGCTTGCCGAGGTCGACCTTGAGCTGCGCCTCGACCTTGTGGTCGACGTCGCCCTTGCCCGAGGCCGAGTCGAGCAGCGGTGCCTGCCAGTGGAACTCGATGGCCTGGGGCGCTTGGTAGCCGGTGTCCTGGTCGAGCATGGGGTCGAGGTGCCTGGCGAACGAGTTGCTCTTGCGGCTCGCTTCGGAAGCGGGCGAGCCAGCGCTGCGCGTCGCCGCACTGACCGCGACGAGCTTGCCATCGGCCACGATGGAACCAATGTTGACCGTGAGCGACTCGCGTGCGTTTGCGCCCTCGGCCACGCTGCCGTAGTCGGGCGTGGTGGTGAACTCCATCATGATGCCGCTGACCCTGCCGAGCTTTTCGTCCTGAGCCTGGAAGTTGGCAAAGTTCCACTTGGCGGCGACGAGGTTGGGACGCATGCCCTGGATGGCGTGGACAAACATGCCCTTGCCCTTGGCGTCGATGGCGGTGCCCTGCGAGATGATGTGACCCTCGCTCTCGGCGACGGGCCAGAAGCGGTGGATGACGTAGCCCTCTGGGCTACCGAGGTTGGAACCAAAGTAGCTGAAGCCTCCCTTGGGGCCCGCACCGAGCTTCCAGCCCTGGGTAGCAGCAGGACGAACAAAGGACCACGAGAGCTGCAGGTCGGCGTCGAGGTTGGCGGTGATGGTGTACTTGTCCTCGCCGGCGTCGGTGGTGGTGAAGAGGACGGTGAACTCGGCGGCCTTGCTGGAACGCTTGTCGCCCTGCGGGCCGGCAGCACCGGCCGAGGGGGGTGCGGCAAACTTGGTGACGTTGACCGACTTCCAGATTTTCTTGCCCGTCTTAGGGTTGAAGTACTTGAAGGTCATCTGAACCTGCGGATACCACAGGCCGACGGCCGAGTGGATGATCTGGGAGGTGGCGAAGGAGCCATCTTCGAGGAATGAGTACCAGGTCTGAGTCTCGGTGGTGAATCCACCGGCACAGGTCCATTCGAGGTCGGAGGCCTGGAGAGGGCCGAAGAGGGCGTCCTGGGAGACGGTGTCGGTGATGGCGTGGAAGTTGCTTCCAGATGCAGCGGGGGCGCCGGAGCCTGCAGCAGCGGCCGAGTCGCCCTTGCTGTGAAGTCGAAAGTAAAGGCGACAGGAAGGGGTTAGCGATGAGCAAGACGTGGACACAGGAGGTATTGCTGATTACTTACAGCCAAGAACCCCAACCGGACATATTGTGGATTGAGCCGATGCGACGGAGCGAGTCAAGTGGAGGAGATGAGGTGAAGGGAGACGGCAGACGAAACTCGAACGGCTCGATAGCAAGCTGGACGAGGGGGAAGATGGTGGAGGGAGCGCAACACTGCGTCCAGAGGAACAGCCAGCCCTGTTAGCAGTTGTAGCAGCCGGCGCGTCGAAGCTGTGCTGGGGTGCAAGTGTTGCGATTCGAGCTTCGCTTCACCAAGCTGCGGACATGCGCGAGAGAGGGAGAAGCTCGCGAGCTCAGTCTCAGGGTCGCCGACTTTGCGAGCAGAGCAGCCCAGCGCACAGGCACGGATCGGCGCTCTGCACAGAGCGACACTCGCACCCTGGACTTGAGTGCGCGTTCGGCCGTCAAAAAAAGTCGCTTCGCATACACGCAGGACGCCATCTCTCGCCTTGGCCAACTGGCGTCCGTGCTAGCCAGACTCCGCTCGCTCGCTCCCTTGCCTTGCCTTGCCTTGCCTTGCCTCCTCGCCGCTGCTCAGTGGAAGGAGAAAAAAAGGAGGCAGACAGTCGCGATGACGCGTCGGAGGGCCAATTTTTCAGTGTGTGCTGCGCTGCCTCGATCCGCAACGCGCATGCCGCACTTGGCTCCATGCGGCCTTCAGCCAGATGGTCTGTGTGCTGCTTGCCGCCAACGAGCCAACGCGCACTGCAGGCTGCAACGCGTGCAGTAGCCTTGCTGCGGATCCAACTTCCGGAGCCCGCGGCAATTCCACCCAAAATTGATGCGGGACTTTTATTGCTCGACTCTTACAGGGTCTAACATTCATCTAAATTTTCGGAAGTCGGAGCGGTGGGCGCGCCTCTGCTGCAGGGTCGCGGCTTTGAGGGACCAACACCATCCCGCCTCAGAAGTATGGGCCTCAAACATCTTGTGGAGCAAAAAGGATGCTCATATAGACATCTTCAGGGAACCAAATGGCCAAAAAGAAGCGACCCCAGGCGGGCTCGAACCGCCGACCTCAGCATCTCTCGAGTAGCTCGCCTGCGCCAGCTGCTGACCCGAGCGGGGAGTCGCAGCCAGCCTGAGGCGGATGAGTGCTACTGTCTGGTAGGGGAGATAACAGTGCTACGCTCTAACCAACTGAGCTATGGAGCCTTTTTTGCTTGTTGCAAGTGTCCCTGTGTCCGCGGGGTATAAACAGAAGGCGGAGCGGGATCCATGCCTTCCCCGGTGGCGGCAGACGTGCGGGGAGACGCTCGTTGAGTTGCGGGGAGGGAGGCTGCAGATCCATAAGGCGGCACGAGGTGAAGCGAAGCGGAAACGTCGACGCGCCGCGGGACGCTGCGAATTTCACCGAGTCCAGCTGGGCGCTCCATCTGAGACGCGGGCATTTCGCGATTTACACCATTTCAGACGGCCGCCTGACTGTCACTTCCCCCGGCGTCACGCTACACAGTTCCTGCCACTGGGAGCACGAGAGCAACAGTTTTGATTGGCACTGCCCACTCTCATACAAATGTCCATCATGCTAAGCGCTACGACGGCGAGCCCATCAATTGATGCGAAGCGAGCCGTGTTGTCGACTGCAAAGTTTCAACCGCGCCTACCGAAGCTCTACACGTCGAGGCGCGAGATGTCCATCTGAGGGTGCTTGGCGAGCAGTTCGGGCGTGGCGATCGTGTCCTTGTGCTTGAGCAGCTCCTTGAACGAGTTTTTGATCGTCACGTCGCTCACACCCGCAGCCTGGCTGATCCGCTTGGCTCCCTTGTCCACGCCCCAAAGCAGCGTCGAAAAGTAGATGCACGCAGCAGCAATCGTGATCGGGCTTCGTCCCGCCAGCACGCCCAACTCGCGCACCCGCGCCGTAATGTCCTCGGTCGAGCGTGTAACGCGCATCTCCAGGCCGAGGTGGTTGCAGTATCGTCCAACCAGATCCGCGGCGCCCGTCGGACCAATGCCAATCGGCGTCGACGTGCCACTGTTGTTTGCACTCGCTCGCGAGCCATCGACAGAGCCCGTGCCGGTCGCATTCAGTCCGAACGCCTGCTGCATCTCCTTGAAACACTGGCCAATGTGCTTCTTGGACACGCTCGTGAGCGAACAGATCTCTGGGAACGTTCTCGGCACGTGGTTCATCTTGCATGCCACGTAGATCGCAGCGGCAATGATGGCATCCGGCTTCTTGCCACGCAGGATCTTCTCCTCCTCGACTCGTCGGTACGCCTGCTTGGCCACATCCGACACTGTGCGCGGCAAGTGGATCGAGTCGCATTTGCGCTGGATGTCTTCAAATGCGTCCAACATGTTCCGGTCCCGCGTGCCGGTCGCACGGTTCATCGTCCTCTGCAGGTCGCGCGAGGCTCCCGAGCCACCATCGCGGTAGCCGATGCGCGACTCGAGTTGCTCATTAATACCATCCAGCAGCGGATTGCTGGCCGCTCCCACACGCGACGGGTCATCGCCGTCCTCGTTGGCAAACGTACGCCATTCCGATCGCGTGTCGATGATGTTCTCGCCCACCACAAGTCCGCAGTCAGCGCAAACCAGGTCGCCCGAGTCAAACTCTTCGGCCAGGTTCGGCGGATCCGTCTTGCAGTCGCGGCAGATCAGTCGCACATTGAGATCGGGAACGAAGTCGTCCTCGCCCTTGGGAGCATCGCCGCGGTCGGCAGCATAACGAGCGCTGAGCGCGAAGGGCTGCGCGAACGCATTCTGTTGCGACCTCGCAATGTCGGCCGTCATAGCTGCAATGCTTTGGCAAGCCTGCAACGACCAGCTGTGATTTTCTCAACTGTCGCTTCTCGAACGACACACTGTTACGACGGCAAATCTTCTCGTGAGAGAGATGCGTGTACTTGGGCTCGTGCAACCTATTGGCTGTCCTCTCACACGTCTGCTGCAAATCGTTTGCAAGACGACGCAAACAGAGGATGGCGATGTTCCTGTCTCGAGTCGACGAGATCGGCGAAACCTTCCAGAACGTGGACTGAGTAGATGCGAAAAAGCCGAAGTAGCCGTAGAAGCAGCGGGTGTCGTCTGCAAAAGCGAGGCAGATGATGGTGGCGAAAGGCGAAGAGGCAGCCTCCCGGCGATGTGCGCCGAGGGTCATTAAGGCCAATTTCGCGGCTGAGCCTTCTCCACCTGCCTGCAGGCTGACCGGATTTTAGAGACTTGATGGACTGGGGCGCGACTTTTCCGTGCGAGAGGCGCGTCGAGCTCGGATTGCGGAAGCTCAGAGCGCAGGAAGCGTGGGTGCACGCGAGCCAACCTTCAACTTTTCCATCAATCAACACTTCGTCTTGCATCGTGAGCATGGCCTGATCATCGACCGCAACATCCGAAACCAGCAGCAAAGATGGCAGTCGCAGCACCAAAGTATCGTAAGGACGATGTCCAAGCGAACGCCTCGGCCTCGGCGTCAGGACGAGCCGCCGCTAGCCGCAGCAACGAGTCGAGCTTCACAGCATTCGCCCGAGTCTTGCAGGCATGCAAGGACCTCGAGCCTGCCGCAAGGATAGACCACGATGACGGCACGGCTCTCCTCTTTGCAGAAGTATGCTCTGCCCTCGGAGAAGAAGCTCTCGACGATGCTGGCTACGTCGACCGCCGCCAAGATCTGAACCTTGAAGATGACGACCGAGCGGCATGGATCCTGGAGCAGAACACCTGGAAACTGGTGCACGCACTCACATCCGAGAGGCTGCACAGAGCCGAAAGAGAATCGCGAGATGGAGCAGAGGAAACGGATACGACTTCCATTCAGCCATACGAGACACCACTCGCAGCGATCCAATCCATCTTCGAGGCAAACGAACAGCTCAACGAGCTTCGCATTATCCGCGAATGGCTGCAGGATGCGCTCGAGCCAAGACATGTTGTCGAGGTGCGCAAGGGCTACCTATCCTTCACCAAGAATCGCGTTCGCGCAGAGAAGCGCTCGTCCGTCGGTTCTGGGCCCAGCTCGAGCGACGGACGCAAACCCACTTTTGGCTCGGCGGCCAGCTCGAGCTTCGCACCCAAGAACCGCGGCAAGGCTGTCAAGAATCTCGACCCCGATGCAGTCTCGCGAGGCGAAGGCGGCCTTGAGCTCGAAGACGCCACGTACGAGAAAGCGCTGCTAAGGACGCTCTTCGAATACGCGCGTGCCGGACGACTGGACGCCGCCTTCGACCTTTGCCATCAGACCGACCAAAGCTGGAGGGCTGCTACTCTTCGCGGTGCCATGCTCTACCACGATCCTGCCCTGAGCCCCGATCTTCCGGACGTCGACCGCGTTGTGGGAAACCGCAATCGCGCTCTCTGGAAGTCGACGTGCCGCAAGCTGGCGTCCAATCCCAACCTGGACGAATTCGAGCGCGCCCTGTACGGCTCGTTGGCCGGCGAGCTCCAGCCGGTGGCCAACGTCAGTCAGAGCTGGGAGGAGTACCTGTGGGCCTACGTCAACGCAAAGCTCGAGGCTGCCGTCGATGTCAAGCTCGACGACAGGCACGGATGGTGGAGCCAGGAGGCAGACGTGGAGCTGTTCGGAGACGGAGAGCACGGTGCTGTCAAGCTCGCGCAAGGTGCTTCGTCCTCGTCCTCGGCTGCTGCCACTCATGCCGGATCCGGAGCAGAAGGAGCTCCGAAAGCTGAGGTGGAGCTTGGCTCTCTGTCCGGCGTCTTTGACAAACTCAGCCAACTGCAGTCGCACAGCATCCATCTGCAGGCCAACGACCCGTACCGACTGGTGCAACGAAGCATCATCTCCAACAACCTCCCAGAGCTGTTCAACCGCTTTGCGGACAACCTCGGCGACATGCAGACTGCATTGGAGCCAGCGACGTTTGCGCGTCTGCTGCGCTTCTTTGCGCACCTGATTCTCTACCTCCGCCTGCTTTCCATCTCGTTGCCCGACTTTGCATGCAACGCGATCCTCAGCTGCTACGTGCAGGTCCTCGAGGTAGCAGGCGAGACCGACCTCGTTGCCATGTACGCCAGCTCGCTCGAGCCACAATCAGCGACGAGGAGCTACGCCAACTTCCTGCGCTCCATGGATGTCAATGCCAGCCGCGAGGCCAAAGCACTCGCTCTGCGGCGAGCCGAGGAGCACAGCCTCGATCTGGCGGCTGTTGCGAGGTGTACGGTGGACATCGTATTCGACGAGCTCTTCCCCAGCATCACATCCGACTTTGATGAGCCGCTCAGCTTTGCGGCAGGTGGTCCGAAAGGGAAGGCGGGAGCGGCAAGGTTGGATGCGACCAAGTTCGATGTGCATCTGGATGCGAATGAAGAGGCGCTCGTCAGGGCGATCGACTGGCTCACGTTCGACCCGGCGACGTTCGCCGATGCCATCACCCAATCCAACGCGCTCACGCGGCTCTTCTTGTCAACGGGACGACTGCACGCTGCCAAGGTGCTGCGAGACCGCATGCCGAGCGAGGTTGTATCGAGCGTCGACAGTCTAGACATCCCGATGGATCAAAGCATCGAGCGTTCCGGATGGGACACGTTTTTCACCGCACTCGAAGCGCACGTGGCTTACAAGCACTTTTGGACCACTCGACCTGCCGACGCGGCTGCATTCAACGCCAGCCAAAGCGAGACGGCGCAAGTGCCGCGCACGGGCGGTCTGTCGAGGCTGGAGAGGATGAATTGGGCCAAGGCGCTCAGTCAGGTGGTCGAGCAGGCGCGCGATTTGGACCTCGTCCTGCTGCAGCGCGACTGGCTCAAGATGCCGCTGAGCGACGCCGAGGGCGGCCTGGAGGTGGAACGCCGGGCGCGCGAGCTGTTCGACATCCGCCAGACCTACATTCCCGAGATTGTTTTCCGGCTGCACGACATGCTGGCCGAGTCGTCGAGCGTGCTGCCGGAGAATCTGGGCATGGCGATGCGACTCTCGGAAATCGTCGCCGACGAGCGCCACAAGATCTACCTCGAATTCATCCAGAACGGGCGCAACCTGCTGCAAGACTACCTGCTGCGCGTACGCGAGGCTTCGCTGCTCCTGCTCAACAACGGCGGCGACGTCTTTGAAAAGGCCGCCGAATCGTGAGCAATGTCGGGGCGCTTCCTCTTACCCCACACCCACCTCACATGTGGCTCAATCTAATACATTCATGCATGAAACAGTCAAGTCTTCAGAGCAGCAGAGAATGCGCTCGTGCAGCATGAGAGCGTTTGAGCGAGTCATAGGAAGATGAGTAACAGCACATCGAGCCAGCTCCCTTTGGATTGAATTGTCAAGCCAAGCTGCCAAGAAGATTTGAGGATACGGTTGAGCCGAGGATTGGTTCTTGGCCGCTGGCCTGTGCACGCGAGGGTCGTTGGCGGGGTGACAGGGCTGTGTGAAGCGTTGCTGTGCGCTGTGGGAAAATTGACGTAATTCTGCGGCGTGGTGGAAAAAAAGCTTCGGCCTCCCCGGTTAGGTTGAGGTCGAGGTGCAGAAGCCTCGCTTCACGATGTCTCTACTAAGCGGCAGCCGAGCAGGATTCTTGGACGCGCTTCGGCATGTTGGCATGTCCCCCGCCAACGATTCCGACTGCCTCTTCCCGAAAGCGCTGCACGGCAGCTGCACTGCAAAGCACTGCAGACGGAAGCATGCATAGTCAGAGGCAGTGCCTTGTTCGCACTGCCCTTTGCTACAGCCATTCCTTCTAATCATCATCGCGAGTGACTTGCGTTGGCAACCGCTCACCAGTCCACCTCCTCCCTACCAGTCTCGGCGCAGGCGTCCTTACCTACAACCACCATCCCGGTCCAGCTCACAGGTGCACGACCTCGCGACCTCCTCTCATACCCAGATATCAGCATGTCTGATGTAGAGACATCGTCCCGCAAGAGCCTGTCGGGCCGCCGACCGAGCTTTTCTTCGATCCGATCGCGCCTGCGCAAGCCCAGTCTCAAGACGAAGAAGAACAAGTCTCGCGCCGACGACGACTCTGCACTCGACTCTGACGGAGAAGACACATCAGCAGACCGCAGCAAACGCTTCTCGATGGCTTCCGACAAATCCGTCCCGCCGCTCCCACCACTGCCACCACAAGTGACACAGCAGAGCCCCAGCCGTCCGAGCTTCAATGAGCAGTCGCGGTCTGCTCTGGACCCTTCAGCTTCCGACCATCACCTCGCCGACAAGAGAAGATCCGTACTGAGCACATCCAGCGCCGGTCAATCGGCTGGCGCACCTGAAGGCGATGTGTCTGCACTGGCACGCTCCGCACTCGGCATGACCCTTGGCGCACATACATCCGAGGCGTCGCGACCCGCCAGTGCCAACACGCCCGTCGCACAAGACGCATTCAAGGAGACCATCAACATGACCATGCTCTTCTTTGGCGGTACCGTGCTAGCCGCGCTGTTCGTCGCCAAGTATAGCATTATAGCGGCAGCGATCATCTCGATATGCAGCGGTCACATCCTCTACAAAAACTTGACACAGCGGGCAGACGACGCCAAATGGGCGCTCGAGATGCAAGCCGCAACCCAGCGTGCAGCCGGTTTGAACGAGGGCGAGGAGTCGGTCGAATGGCTCAACAAGGCGCTCGCAACCGCGTGGCCGCTGATCAACGCCGACTACTTTGCTCCGCTCGTGGATCTGCTCGAGGACAGCCTGATGACTCAGGTGCCCGGCGTCGTCCACAACGTCCGCGTCGAAGACATGGACCAGGGCTCCATCCCGCTTCGAGTCAAGAGCTTCCGCGTCCTACCCTCCGACGAGTCGGCCTTCTTGCAAGGCGCCGTGGCGCAGGCGCGCAAGGATGCCGGTCAATCTGGCACGGACGTGCCTTCGGGCTCGAACGATGGCGACGCTGATGACCCAGACACGGGCGTAGATGTAGGCGACCACGTCAATCTCGAAGTCACCTTCACCTATCGAGGCGCCACCACCAAGAAAGGTCTCTTCCGCACTGCCACAAACAATGCCTCGAGCCAGTCCAAGGCATCCGGAAACGTCGCAGCTGGTCACGAGACCGAGTCCGACGACGAGTTCGATCAGCTCAAGGACGTTCCGACCGAGCGTATTCACATGTTACTATACCTCAGCGTAGGATTGCAGAAGATCGCCGCAGTCGACATCCCCGTGTGGATCGAGATGGTCGGCATCGAGGGCAAGGCCCGCGTACGCCTCCAAATGACACCCGTCGCTCCCTTTGTCAAGCATGCAGCCGTCACCTTTGTGGGAGCACCCAAGCTGGAGATTTCGGCGAAGCCATTGGGCAAGAAGATGGTGATCGATGCCATGAACCTGCCGCTAATGTCCTCCTACGTTCTTCACGCAGTCGAGGATGTCATCAAGGGCTTCATCGCGCCTCTCTCCTACACAGTCGACGTTGCCGGTCTGCTTGGTGCTGGCGACGGCCCGCAAGACGTTTATTTCGTTGGCGTCATCTGCTTCGTCCTTCACCAGGCCGATGATTTGCCCGCGGCCGACTCCAACGGCCAGAGCGATCCCTTCGTCCAGGCCTCGTTTGCGCGAGCCGGCAAGCCGCTCTTCACGTCGCGCATCATCCGCAAGCGTCGCGACGCTGTGTGGCAAGAGACGGGCTTCCTGCTCGTATCACCCGACGAGGTGCGCGACCACGACCGCTTGCGCTTCACCGTCTTCGACGCCGATCGTTTCTCCTCGGACGACCCGCTCGGCAAGATCGAGATTTCGCTGCACCGGCTCATCTGCAAGTTCCGCCCAGACGGTGTCGGCCGCAGCACCAATCTGCTCGAGACGCGCACCGACCAGCTGCTGCCGATGAGAAAAGGCGCTTCCGTCCAAGGTACCCTCAAATACAGCGTGGGCTTCTTTGGGCTCGCGCATGCTCCCGGTACCGGCTTTGCCCCTTCGCGACGAAAGCTGCTTCGTGGCATCACCACGACCGCTGCCGATGATGCTGGCTCCATCGATCTCGTGTCTCCGGCTCACGGCAAGAGCCAGGCCGCCGACGACAAGATCTTGCCTCCCATCCCGGGGCAGGCAGCGTCGGCGCCCGAATCAGGAGCAGACGATCTGTGCGCTTACATGACTGGCTTCGATCGCTTTGTCCAAGGGCTCGGCTTGCCCATGGACAACGAAACGCTACGCAAGAGGAAGTTGCGCAAAGAGCGTGTCCGAAACTTGGCGAGTATGATCGAAGGTGCAAAGCTAGCCACCGTCGACCCTCCTACCGTCGAACTGCCGTCCGGAATTCTGGCGTTCCACATCCACTCGATCACGGGGCTCGAAGTGCCTGGGACGCAAAAGTCGCTGGGCGGCTCGTCGAAGCGACTCTCGCAGAAGTCGAGGAACGGCCCGGCGCCGACCGACGAGAGCCAAGCCGAGGGCGGATCGGCAGGCAAGCTTCCGTCGTCCTACGTGCAGGTTTTCCTCAACGACGAGGCCATCTTCCGCACCAGGACCAAATCGCTCAACCCAAGGCCATACATCAATGCAGGCAGCGAGCGCTTCGTCGGTGACTGGACGACGGCACGGATCGACTTTACAGTGCGCGACGCCCGCATGCGTGAGAGCGACCCAATCCTTGGCTGTGTCGGGCTGCGTCTCGCCGACGTTCTCACCGAAAGCAGTCGCACCACCGGCTGGTACACGCTCACTGGCGGACTCGGCTACGGCAAGATCCGGATCACGCTTCTCTTCCGCAGTGTCGAGCTGTCGGTGCCGCGACCGCTGCGCGGATGGAATGTGGGCATCGTGGAGGTGGCGAGCATCAAAGCGACGGGCGTGCCTCAATCCCTGCTCGACAAGAAGCCTGTTCACATCTCGCTCGAGACGGTCGGCGGCAAAGTGAGCACCGACGATGTTGATGCGGCCGACGACTACGAGTCAGGCATGGGCGAAGACGCTACAGTCAGCTACGCGTTCCCGCTCAAGGAGCCTATCCGGCTGCCCGTGCGCCAGAGGTATCCGAACTCGCTCTACATCAGCCTACGAACCGACTCACGCATGCCTGGACGCACGCATCACCATGCGTGGGCGTTTGTGCCGCTGAACCGCATCTCGGACGAGACGCGCATCCAGCGTCGTCTGCGGCTCTTCGAGACGTCAGACTGGGACCGCGTGGAGCAAGACGTGCTGCGCGCCACGAGCGATCCTGAGCTGCTGCAGACAGAGAAGGAGACGCCGAAAGCCAAGCTGCTGCCGGTGCTGGAAGAGATCTGCCGTACAGGCTCGGCAGTGATCTCGGACGAAGCGCTCCGGGCTGCGCAACTGCGAGCGGTGGGCTGGATCGAGATTGATATGATCTTCCACCGTGGTATCGCGCCGGAGCATCGCTCGTGCACCGCGGGCGATACCGAGATGCGATTCGCATACGATACGTACATGACGCTTCAAGATGCAGGTGAGCGCGCCCGCCCGCGCACGCTCGCCAATGAGCGACTGCGCCAGTCGAGCAAAGCTTCCAAGCTTACAGTCAACACGGCGGGATCCGTCGCGCCTGGCGCCGAGGGAGGAGAGCCCGTGCGACCTCAGACGCATCGAAGGATTCTGTCCAACGCATCTGCTCGCGGGCTTGTGACCGAGGAGCCCGGAACGTTAGGAGAGGACGGCGACGGCGACGGCGACGACGGGGACGAAGACTCGCTGTACGCTCTGTCTCTGACCGAAACCGAGCTAGATCAACTGGCTGACGAGGACGCGGATTCGGACAGTCCCGAAGGACGCCGTGCCAGGGCAAGGGCTCTGCATCGACACGAACGAGGCGCGGCGCAAGTCAAGGGCTTCCGAACGCTCACGTGGATGAAGACCAACGCCGAGGACGGCGTGGCCAAGATGAAGCGTCAGTTTGGCAAGCAGTCGAAACGCATGGGCAAGATGGAGGCCGAAGGCATCTCGCACTTTTAGATCAATGGATCCGAAGCAATCATGTTCACGAGCAGCGGTGATGTTGTCTGCCCGTCCTTCCACAGAGAAGAAGAGAGCGCGGACCGATGGTGGGTTGTAAGATCTGAGAAGATTCTGGAGCGTAGCGAGTGGAGGATGGAGTTGGAGGCCGGAAGAGCGGTCCGGCGTCTTGCCGATCGGTGATTCAGAGTGCAGAGAGTGAGTTTTTGGGTTGGGCGGTAGAAAGCCGAGCTTAGGCACGCGAATGAAAATGCAGAGCGCGGCCTCCTCTTTACCCCAACACGCGCCAGCCAAGAGAAAGGTGGCGATGACATCGGTGCGCCTGCCAGGCCTGGCTATTTTGGATCGATTACTCTGCAGGGAAGCTGCTGCTGTGTGTGTGGGGGCTGCTGGGAATTTTTCGAATTCCCTCTCTTTGATTGCCCGTACTCGAGAGGCCGGAGATACTGCACCGCAGCGGTGGAGACGCGCTACAGGAGACAGCAGCGCTACGCTCTGACCACTCCTTTTTTGGCGCAGAAGGTCCGGCTCGGGTGCCCACCCAAAAGAGTCTCTCTTCGCGGAGAGGAAGCGCGGCAATGTGACTGATGCCGTGACTGCCAACTGCAGCTCTATCTCGTTGCCACGCCTCGCCTACACGCACTCGTCCGTCATCGGCACTGCAATCCTTCCAACCCGCTTGCAACTCGCAACCCGCAACCACCACGACCAGCTCCGCTACACCTCTTACCTCGCACCTTCACCCTCCAGGTCGTCGCTGGACAGTTGCAGCATCCGAGACCGGCCTCTTGCCACACGACCTACCCTCTCATCGCCCTGCAACATACTACCCGACGAGTCTTCTCTTCGCAAGCTCGGTCGACTGCTGCAACGCACATCTCGTCGCATCGTTGCCTCGATACCCACCTCAGGCGTCCGCTAGTTCTACCTGGTGCTTCTGCGAGCCATCAACGGCCAATCCGCTGCGGCCCAGGATCTGGACTCTAAGCGATCGCCCACACATCGCCCTCGACGAGTCGGAGCCGCCTGCAGTCTCGGATCTCTTGCGCAGGCTAATCTCGCACGCTCTCTGCAGCAGAGACCCTTCAGCTTCCAAGCTACTACACCCAACTAAAGCGACAGACGTCTTGTCTCCCTGCGGCTAGCGTTGCTGTTTGCTTCATATACACCATGCCGGCTACCAAGATCGCACCGTCGGTGCTTGCATCCGACCTCGGCAACCTCAACTGCGAGTGCCAGCGCATGATGGACTCGGGCGCCGACTGGCTCCACATGGACATCATGGACGGCCACTTTGTGCCCAACATCGTCATGGGCGCACCCGTCGTCGCCTCGGTCTCAAAAGCGGTCCCCAACATATTTATGGACTGCCACATGATGGTGGCCGACCCAGGTCGATGGGTCAAGGACATCGCCGAGGCTGGAGGCAAATCATATACGTTCCATCTCGAAGCGACTGACGACCCCATGGACGTGGTGCGTCAGATCAAGGCGACCAAGATGCGCGCGGCCGTAGCCATCAACCCGGGTACACCGGCATCCGAGATCTCGGACGAGCTGGGCAACGCAGTGGACATGATCCTCGTAATGACCGTGTGGCCCGGAGCGGGTGGACAGAAGTTCATGAAGGAGTGCATGCCCAAGGTCGCCGAGCTTCGGGCGCGGTTTCCGGACCTCGATGTTGAGGTGGATGGTGGTGTGGGACCCAAGACGATCGACAGGTGCGCAGATGCGGGGGCGAATATCATTGTGGCTGGAACGGCGATATTCAACCATCCGTCTCCCAAGGACGTCATCGCCTTCTTGCGCAGCAGGTGCGACGAGGCGCAGGAACGCATCAAGAAGGAACGCGAACGCATCGCGCGCGGCGAATCGGTCGACCACGAGATCAAGCACTACGAAGACGGCCGCAAGTCGGGCTGGGCCTCGGGTGCCATTACGCCGCTCTCGTATCCGCGCGTCTACATGTCCGCCTCCAAGCGCGAAAAGCTCCGCAGAGAGAGCCAGGGCGCCTTGGAACGCGGCGAACGCCCCACGCTCAGCTCCCTCCAGGGCATGTCCGGCCTCTCCATCACACCCGCAGTCCAGGGCAAGTGACTAGCATGCCCCAAATCGCACCTCTAGTCGCCCTCCCTCCTCTGTTCTTTTTTTTGCATCCAACTTACAGTCCTCGCCCCCTCACAGGCAATCTCAGATCTCATCTTGCATCCAACCACAAAGCGCGATCAAAGTGCATCAGAACTGTCATTGCCCTTCTGCGCACGGCCAGACTGCGTGCCACACGTTGCGAGCGAGCTTCGCCTCTCGTAGAGCTCCCTACGCCTCGTCGGTGTCCAGGTTGTCGAGGAACCATTGGACGCGCTGCTTCTTGGTGAAGGGCACGTAGTAGCCGCCCAGTCGGAGCCGCTCGGCGGGAGGGACGATGCGGACCGCAAGCGCTTCGTTGGGATCGTCGATGGTGCCCGGAGGCAAGTGTGCGGCAACGATGCGCTTCAACACGTCGACTCGCTCGTGGCTGCCGAAATGGTTCGAGAGGTCAGCATCGCGGGAGAACAGAGGCGTGTTGCTCAGTAGCTCTTGTTCCTGCCGCGTCCAGCCGAGCGTTGTTCGGATAGAGTCGACCATGTCCGCTTTGAATGAGGCCGAGTCCTGCGACGCAGCCCCAGGTGGGATGACCCATTTCTGCCCCGGCCTCGACGTAAGCTCGTCCTTGCGTGTCTCTGGCTGGCGCCCAGTCCGGGAAGTTTGCACGCGCGACTGCTGTGCCCGTGCCTCGTTGGCGTGCATGGCCGTGTTAGTCCAAATGTCCTGACGTTCCACCGGCCAATCTGTCTCCACAACGCCATGGCTTTCGTGTGCCGGGGTCACCTTGCTATCGGGCAACGGATCCCAGCACAGGTGAAGTTTTTGAAACTTTCCGCAACCCAGGCTCGCCAGCGCTTCTCTCTTTGGCGTCGAAACAGTGATATGGTCTCTGCTGTTCAGCCGGGCTGCCAAATGATTGCCGGCGCCACGATGTGGCGCTGCATGGCGAGGTCCTGTGTGCGAAAAGGTCTCAGCGACAGGACGGGGTGGCTGGTCAGCCCCGCTAGCCTCGCCGATGACCGTCGTGAGCTCTTCAAAGAAAGGCTTGAGCCGACTGGCCGTGATCTCGCATGGCCTGAAGGCGAATTTGCGCGTGTCGAAGCGGATCTTGACGTTCGTGTTCCACTTTTCGGAATCTTCCGGCTTTTCATCGAGGACGTCTTCTGGTTCGACTAGACGCTGCTCCTGTGAGATATTGTCGACAAAGTGCGACACATAGCCGTCGGTTGAGATGCTGCCTGAGCGCATACCTGCGAGCATCTGTATGGGCATCGGCAATCCGCTGAGTTTGTTGCCACGGTCGATGGCTACGATATGCAGCGATTGAAGTGCGCGATGTCCGTCGTCTGAACTGCGGTCAGGCTGATAGGTCCCATCCAGTTCGCCAAAAAACTGCCGCAGGGAGTCTTCGTTGGAATACGACACCAGCAATTTGCGTACGAGTGGAAAAGCTGGACTTCGCAGCAGATGGCCAATCTCGTAGTTCCCCAAGGCCAGGTAGCCGACGTTCGGGAAAAGAAGCAGAGGATTGAATTGAGCCAGCCGATCAAGACGGTCTATGTAGGCGACGGTGTCCCAAGCTGACGATTCCTCTACATCTGTTTCGATGAAGAGATCGCGGACAAAGTCGCCCGGTTGGTTGCTTGGCAAAGATGTGAAAGGCTTAGGACCAAGTTTCGAGACGTCCAGATCAACGCCGGTTATGACCAGCTTCAGCAGGCTGTCGAGCTGCTTCAAGGTCGTACACACTATGGTCCTCCATCGATCCGATGCTGTCCAGCGGCACACCTTCTTTGAGACGAATGCGCAGGCGTGAGCGGTCGGAATGTGCGTTGAAGCGGCAAGCCGGAAGATGTGGCACAAAAGCTCGGCCGGCAGCTTGTGGACTCCCTCCAGGGGACTAGGGTCAAGCTCTCCAAGCTCCATTGTCCGTTCTATGTTCCCGAGCTTTTGTGAGTCGCGAGGCAAGATAGGTTGGGTGATGAACACTCGAAGTGCAGATGTGGCGGGACTGGTCGGCCAGTCGCCTTTATAGGTGAGACTTGTTCATGGCCTGTCTGCGTGATGGTTGAGTATGAAGCTATAGCCGAGTGCGGTAGGCATGCGTAGATGAGAGAAGAAGGTTGCGCAGGCCGTGATGAAGCCGAGTGGCCGAAGGTCTTCGCCCATGAGAGGGTCCCGGTCCAGGCCGAGCGGGAGAGAGTCGGCTAGATTAAAGAGATCCGCATGACGAGTGGAGGCAAAATGCAGTTCGCGCCTCCGCGAGCGGACCAGCGCGACATTTTGGTGGTGTATCGGACATTTCCGACCCTCAGCGGAGAGAAGTGGCCGCTGCTGCGCAGTCATGCGCAAGTTGGATAATGCCATTGGAGCATCAGAGTGCCATCTGGTGGCACAGACCGCCACCGATATTCTCACGCACTCACAGAGCCACACAGGGAAAAGTTCATAAGGTTTCGGCAGGGCGGAAGTTGAGCTTTCATTTCTGTGAAGGTTTATCGGACTTTCCGATGCGCAGACTGTCTAGCTCCTGGGCAAGCTCATCAGCGGAAGAGAGGGATTCTGAGACCACAGACCTCTCTGCTTTGGCTGTGGCTGAGTCGACAGTCTCAACCCGCACGTCTTGACTGCTGCCTGCGGACGTGACAGCCTTCTTTGATGCATCCGATGAAGCGGGCTTGCGCAGACGAGAGTTGCGCCACGACCTTTCTCCAGATGGGGACGCTTCCGAGTTGTTCGCTGCATTTGAAGCCAGCCTGTCCGCCCTTGAAGAGCTCGTCGGATCAACCGTCAAGGCTGCTTGCCGTTGTGGTGTGTTCGAGCGCCAACTCGTGCGCTGAGTCTCGGATCTCTGGGGTTCCGAGGATGATGCGGATGGCGGAGGTGATGCGGAAGGGCCTGACGGTGCTACTGCTGCTGCTGCCGCTGCTGTGGACTGCGTCGGCACGCTACCTGGAATGCCCTTCTTGCGAGCCTCTTCGGCTTCCCTGACGCGTGCCGGGCGATAGCGCATCACATCCTCGACCGGTGTGAAGCCAGGGCGCACTTTGCGCTCTTTCCGAACGCTGTGGCATTGGAAAAGGGAATTGAGACAACAAGTCAGCGCCTGGTTCGCAGCATCCGACCGAAGCTGCTCTCGCACCGACTTACGATCCATCGGCACGCCTAGACTCGGGGATGACCCGCTGCTGTGTGTCTGCGCGTTCAACGATTCCTGCCGCCGTCGGCTTGGAGCTTGAGGATGTTGAAGAGACAGCGCTCATCGTTGCCTGCTGACGCCGAGCTCGGACGGAAACAAGCCAGGCTTACAAAGAGTTAAGTAGAAAGTCGGTCGGAGCAAGCAAGCTGAATTGTCCCTTCCAGGACCCTCGTCCTCCGGTCGACGAGAATTCATTCTTCTGTGGACCCTGCAGCGCTTGGACGGGACGGCCGAAGGATGGATATATCGGGAAGCAGATTTGGCTTGTGTCCGATTTCGACTTCTCAGCAGAGCAGCACACGCGCATGACTACTGCGACCTTTCACAAAGCGACGTCGACGTGCAGCTCGCACTGCCGGACGTGATGCAGAGCCGCGCGCGACGTCCGGAACGTGCCCTTGCTGCCGCTTTTGCGGATGAGCGGCATCCTGCTCATGACTGAGCAAGCTAGCGCCGAGCTTTGAGCTCGGACCAAGTCCGCACCCCTCCGCACTGGATGTTCCACCCTGGAGGTTGCACGAATCCGCGCCTCTTTTCCTTGTAGACCAACACCAACTTTTCGACATATCCTTGAACTGCCCAACATGAGCTCCATCACTGACCGTGCTGCCAACTTCATCTCGCGGGTGAACCCGCTCAAGGACCCCGGCTTCGCCCAGGATGCGTCGCGCGCGCTCCACTACAACTATGGCCCCATCTCGATCCTGGCCGCTTTCGCTGGCTCGCACCTTCTGCTGCAGCACCGTCTGCCCATGGTCTTCTACGGGCTCGACAACATGGCCTACCCGCGTGACGACCTGCGTGTGCACGGCGACAAGGCGGTCGCTTCGGGCAAGATCACACCCAAGACGCTCCGTCGCCTTAAGCGCTGGGAGGCGGCGCACTACAACGCCGTCGAAAACCTGCCGATCTTCATCGGCACCATCGTGTCGCTCCAGCTCGCGCGTGCCCCGAACAGCCTCATCAACCGCGTCGCTGGCGTCTATCTCACCGCTCGTGCCGCGTTCGCCGTGCTGTACATTACGGTCGAGTCCGAGTCGCTCGCGTGGTTCCGCACCTTGGCCTGGTGGAGCGGAAACACGACCTGCATCTACGGCCTCATTCAGGCCGCCAAGCTGCTCAACAAAGGCGTCGGTACCGGCACTCCCGCGCTCTGAACGATCGCGACCAGCACGACTCATATACAGAAACGTCCCACGTTCTTCTAAATCGAATGCGAATTTTGCAAAGCCATTCTTGTGATCATGTTGGGCTGAAGATGTTGTGACCAAGGTGGGCATCGAACTTCCCTTCGTAGGACATGGTGATGGGAGACCCTCCGGACAGAAGGAAGGGTTGGTGTAGGGGATTCGGCCGGGATCGACAGCCTCTTCATTCACAGTGCCTTCCATGGCTCTCATCAGCGTCCTGACCGGGGACATGCTCAGTGTGTCACGATCCACGCGTCCAGCGGTCGGTGAGTAGGACTACGCACGGTTCGGCAAGTTCGGTTACGAGAAGATTCGGCGATTGGAATCCCCGCCGCCAAAAAAAGTGTTTGCGGGCTGCACACCTCCACACGGCCTTCAGTAACCTGTTGACCCCCCGCCCGAGGATCGAGTGGCACGGCCGTGCGCACGGCTCGGAGGAGATACTGATCCACAGACGCTTAAGTCCGTCGGTAGGGGATCTGGCTTGAAGGCTCTCCTCAGGCTTTGAGCGTTGCTGCGGGGAAGCTAGACCGTGCAAAGTTACTTTCCCCGTCGATCCCCGCTGTGTACTTGCTTACGGCAATACAAATACATCCTCAAGCATTCGCAACCCCGCTTCCCTTCGCACCACCATCCCATATACCGCAACATCATGTCGACTCAGTACACCCTCTACTCACACCGTGGTCCTGGACCGAACCCGCTCAAGGCAGCGGTGCTGATGGAGCACCTCGGCCTTTCGTACGACGTCGTGCCCCTCGACTTTGGCGACGATCCCGAAAAGGGTGTCAAGGGCGCCAAGTTCCTCAAGATTAACCCCAACGGCCGTGTCCCCTGCCTCGTCTCGAACGACAGCGACAAGTTTAGCGTCTGGGAGAGCGGTGCGATCCTCTACTACCTCTGCGACAAGCACGACAAGGAGGGCAAGTACCTGGGCAAGACGCCTGAAGAGCGCGCCATTGTTATGCAATGGCTCACCCACCAACTTTCCGGTCTCGGCCCCGTGCAGGTAAGTACTTCGACGCGGTCGCACAAGACGACAACGAGGCTGACCTCTCTTCATACTTGCTTCTACCAGGGCAATGTGAACTACCTAGTTCACTACTGGACCCAGACTTACTCTGAAGAGCCGCAGAAGTCTGCGTTCACTCGCTTCGAGGGCGAGGCAGCTCGTTTGTACCAGGTGTTGGAGGACCAGCTGAAGAAGCAGCAGCAGCGCGGCTCGAACTTTATTGCGCTCGACCGTCCTACCATCGCCGACTTCGCCTTCTGGACGTGGGTGCGCATCGCCAGCTTTGGCAACATTGATCTGTCGCCCTACCCGGCCGTGCAGAAGTGGTGCGCCACCATCGAGAACGACGCCAAGTCCCAGGCCGCTGTGGCCAAGCTTCCCCTCAAGTGAACAGGCAAACTTCCATGGTCCAATCCACTCTGTTATTCCATCCAATCTATACAGTCTACGTCTGTCTGCATGTGCTAGTGGACCTAGGATGAGATGTTTGAGCGGGAGGCAAAGGCGAAGAGAGGGAGCGGGAGGAGGAGGAGGATCATGGTCAAAGGTGACAGGCGAGGCGAGAATTAAATGTAAAGTGTTAGGTTGAAGCAAGCAACCGAACTTTGTTGAAGTGCCTCGATCTGACAAATTGCGCCACAAATCCACGCCCATCGCTATCCCGCATCTGGCTCATGTGCGGGTACGATGAAGGTCCTGAATCCGCAGCTCCGTCGAACTGGTTCGCTCTGGGACTGTCAAGCCCTGCTCACAAGCATTCGGAACAGCATCCGCACAAGGACTCGCCAAGCCAGCTTCGCTGTGTTAACTTTGCTGATCTCAGGTGCAGGGCGCTGGCTCGCTCACCTCACGCGACCTCCACTCGACTTGGGGCGGCGCTGAGTCACTTTCGACACCGCATTCCAGCGCGTTCGCGAACAAGTGTGAGCGTCGATTCCTGACAGTTGAGATCTGATGTGGTCAGCCGGCGTCAAGAGCGCGTCGCACGCTGGGGACGCAAGCAGACCCCGGTGGTCGGGGTCCGGTGGATGATGCGCCTCCGGATTCAGCCCCCCACTTTGCTACAGGAAGAAGCAGTGACCGTAGCCGAGGTGCGATCGGGTTTGCTAAGCTCCAGGGTCCTACGCCCGCGTGCCGCCGAGATGGTCAGCCCGCTTGGAAGAAGCGAGGAATCGCACGACGTAGATGCTCGTCGAGCAAGGGTCATACAGCCCTCTCTGACGTCGACAAGCTTGATCCCCGCACGAACAGTGTTGCCAGACCCGGTAAGAGTGTCAAAGTGAGGCATGATTCATCCTCCGTCGCCTTGTCAATTGGCTTAGGCTTAGGGCAGCATGCTCCACGTCCTCTCTGCTTGAGAGAAGCTTCGATGACGCTGTAGACACGGGCTCCTGACACAGCAGAAAGATCTGCAATATGCGCGTGACGCTTCATGCCTTCGAGAAGATATAAGAGGCGTTCAACCGCAGCGTGCCATCTCTTCTCACTAAGAATACCCCAAATCAAAAGTCACTACACACTCTTTACACTTTACGCTCACTTAACCAACACAACTATGTCGGCCCAGGAAGAACAGATCCCGATCCAGGACGAGAGTGTCGAGGACACCAACGTCGACGCTCAGGCCGAGGACGAGGTAGCCGCCAGCGGCTCGGAGCAGAAGCAGCTGCGTGCCGAGGCGTCGGAGCTGGACGAGTCGAACATCATCGACAACTCGCCCGGCGTCTCGACGCGCGGCGCCAAGGTCGACGCAACCAAGCAGGTAAGTGCTCTTCGACGTGATTCGGATGCACAGGTTGCATACTGATCAAAGCGTCCTTCCCTTCTGCCCGTCTTTGTGGGAACATAGGAGCGACAGGTCGATGAGGCTGTCGCTGCTGCCGAGAAGGCCGACGAGCAGACCTAGATGGCAATCCATCGGAATGCTAGCTTGTCGTTATTGCCTGTCGCTTGCCTCTCGATTGTTATAAATCTAGATACCACCCGCTTGGTGATACCTGCCATATCCTCTCGCAGTGTGCTTTTCTGAGAGCCAGTGATTCGATGCTGTGTGAAGACGGCGTTATGCCGAAGGCCAAACGAGTCCGCCGGATGCTGCGAGGATGTTGTCGTGTGGGCAGGTAAAAGGTGGATAAGACGAAATACGAATTGGAGAATCAGGCCGGAGTTGTGCGTGCGCGGCGTCGAGTGCACCAAGTGAGGCTGGGAAACGGATTGCATTGTTTTGCTGATGATGCTGCAACGCGCTGAATAGGTCAGATAGCGAAGTGGACGACAATCTAGTGGTGGCCGGCGTGCTCGTCGCCCTCGAAGTCCATTTGGTAGACTGTGCAAGCAGGCAGATCGAGATGTTAGCAGACGAAAGGAGACGCGATGGAACGGACGGTGTCAAGGACTTACCACTGCCGCACTCGGGGCATCGGTGGTGCTTGAGGTCGCGGTTGAGGTGGAGGTAGATGGTGTCGTGCGAGTCGGCGGGGTAACCGGTGCAGCCGACGATACGGGTGGGCCACTGCGGGTGTAGGACACGAAGCGAAAGAAAGCAAAGTCAGTTGTTGAACTTGGGAGCAGCGCAGAGTCGGTGCGGCTCTCGAGTTGAGAGCATCTGCGGTTGAAGGACTCACGTAGGACTTGATCTGGATGGGGTTCTCGGTGGTTCCGAGGTGGGTCATCTGAAGGGGCTCCATGTCGAAGACCTCCTGTCCCTGGAGCTTTCCGAGAAGCTCGAAACGCTCGAGACCGGTGGCCTGCTGCTCGTCGGTGGGCATCTCACCGTCCTTGCCGCCCTCACCCTGGATGACGGGGGGGCCGGCGGCGAAGCGGAGCGCGGACGAGGTGAAGAGACGCGGGGCGGCGGTAGCCGCGGTGGGGGCGACGCGGAGCGCGGCGGGAGCGCGGGCGACGAGACGGCGGGCGGCGAAGAGCATGGTGACGATGATCGACCGGTGGGGATGTGATGAGAAGATGGAGGTGTTGATGGTGACGAGCGGTTGGAAAAATGTCGATGGCAATTGGATCCACCACGCTCGAGGCGTGCCCGATTCGTGATTGCGACCTCCAACCGGCTCCGTCGACTCTGCAGCGTGCGCGACATCTGGGCGAGGAGGACGGAGCCCTTGATCTTCCGACAGCAGCGCCTGGCCGACGCGGATGGGAATTTGCGTTTCAAACTGCTTCTTCCTCTCGCCCGGGTGGTCTGCGCTGTTCGGGTCCGACGGCTTTTTTTGACGATGTCAAGACCGAAACTGACTAACATGGGTAAAAAGTCTCGACGAGTAGCCGGACCCTTCTTTACCCCGCATGCTTCGCGTTGGGGGAGGTGGACCCGGCGCCGGCTAATCCGAACGAAAGCCCAAAAGGACCACGAGCCGAGCCTTCTCCACGGTGTCGGATGACGGCCGAGCGTGCTATTTGGGCTGCTCGACGGCAGTATGGCTCATGCAGGCCCGCAGCCGGTCGGGTCAATCCAAGCAGACGCTCAACATCTGGACGCTTTGGCCCGAACGAGCCGAGTGTTGCTGTGCCGGCAAAGTGCACGGTCTGTACCACAGCAGCGTACGGTCCGGTCCGCTGCAGCAAGCATTGTGGATTGTGCAGCTCTTCCTGCCCGCGAGCGGAATTGCCCCGACGAGCCGGTGGGCTTCATCTTGCTCTCTCAAGAAACGGTTCATATGTGTACAGGCGATTCGAGCGTTATCCTTCCTGCTTCCCATCACATCCTCATCATCCCATCACAACCTTCAGCGGGACACGGCCCGACATCGAGCGCCTGGACAGTCGTATCGTCATCCTTGAACCATGCCGCCCCGCTCCTTGCACCTCCACGGTGCGTTCGCAGCAGCGCCAGCGTCGGCAACATCCGTAATTGCCAGGGCTGCCGCTGTGAGGCGGAGCGCACGCTACGCTTCAACCCTTCAATCGGCATACAAGCAGCATCCCACCAAGCACGACTCGTCCGGAGCGCTGCTTTCCAGAGTCTCGGGACCAATCGACAAGCCGCTCTGCGAGCTCTCCCTCGGGCAGTTCTGGCACCAGGCCGTCGCGAAGTATGCCGAGCGGCCTGCGCTCATCTCAAAGCACGAACCGGCATCCCAGCACGGCAAAGGTGCCTCCTCCAATGACTGCATCCGCTGGTCATACGGCGAGATGAACGAGCACGTACAGAGTCTCGTTGCCGGCCTCCAAAAACTTGGCGTCCGCAAAGGCGACCGTGTAGCTGTCCTCATGATGTACGCTGCAGCCCTGCGCCCGCCGTCCTGATGGAACAACTCTCGCTGACTCTGCCTCTGACTCCTTTGCTTCCCCTTGAACCAGGAATTGCTCTGCATACGGTGCCTTGCAGTGGGCATGTGCCGAGGTAGGCGCGGTGCTCGTCACGCTCAATCCTGCGTACAGCACGTCCGAGCTGCGGCGCGCCATCACGCTCGTCGAGGCTACCACCCTTTTTATCGTTCCGTCGCTGCGCGGATCCAACTACCTCGACTCGCTCCTCGAGCTGCTGCCCTCGCTCACAGGCTCGTCATCCTCGGGCGGGGACGCCACAGTCCTGAACGATCCAGAGCTTCCATCTCTCAAACGCATCGTGCTCGTCGACAATCTCGACAGCCGCCCGCGTCACTGGGAAAGCAGCAGCGTGCTTGCTCAGCAAGGCAAGTCGTTCGCCGATGCCATGGCAGCTCTGAACAATCGCGCGCTCGACTATCGCGATCTGCTCGTCTCTTCGTCAACTAGCAGCGCCAAGGAGGAAGTGCACAACACCGATGTCATCAATCTTCAGCTCACCTCGGGCACCACAGGAAAACCAAAAGCAGTCGCTCTGAACTCCCGAAACCTCCTCAACAACGGCATCGCTATCGGCGATAATCTTAGGTTCACCGAAGCCGATAAGCTCTGCAACGTACCGCCTCTGTTCCGTAAGTATACTCCTCCTGTTAGGTGGCTTGCTGGACCTGCCACTGACTTTGCACTTCCGTTCCACATCGGCACGCGTGTAGACTGTTTCGGCCTGGTCTTGGGCAACTTGGCGGCCTGGACTCACGGCGCCTCCATCGTCTACGCCGCCGAAGGATTTGACCCACTACGATCGCTTCGCGCCGTCTCGGAGGAACAGTGTACAGCTATGCACGGCGTACCCACCCACTTTATCGCCGAGCTCGAGCTGCTTGAATCCGCTAGAGATCATGCCGGGGACCCGTCGCGCTTTCCCCTCCCCAAGGGCATGATCGAGGGCGAAACGTTCGACTTTTCCACCTTGCGCACCGGCCTCACCAGGTACGAATCCGTCCGCTTCGAGCAAAGACCCCCGAATGAGACTCAACTGACCAAGCTCGTTCTGCATTCGATTCTGGTCCGTGCAGTGGTTCGACGGTTCCCATCGCATTGATGGAGGCCTTGGTCAGCCCGGGCAAGCTCGGTCTCCGCGAGCAGACGGTGGTGTACGGCATGACCGAGACTTCTCCCGTCACATTTGGCTGTGGTGAGTGAATCCTCACCCTTTGTTTCTCTGCTGAGCGCCCGGACTGACGACTCGCATCGGCTTTGGGTCTCGGTACAGATGTGGACGCGCCTATTGTTCGGCGATGCGAGACGGTGGGACGCGTCTACCCCCACGTCCATGCCAAGATTGTCTCGCCCGACGACCCAACTGGCAAGCCGCTGCCCGTGGGCGAGCCGGGAGAACTCTGCGTAAGTTGGTCGGAGGATGCTGCCTTGACCGAACGGCGTGCACTGACGAGCGTATTCTGCCTGACCTGCACGCGTGCCGACACGGACATGAACGACTCCGAAATTAGACGGCAGGCTACGTCGTCATGCAAGGCTACTGGAAGGATGCCAAACGCACCGACGAGGCCATGGAACGGCACCCAGACGAGCCCGACATTCTCTGGATGCGCACGGGCGACATTGCCATCATGGACGAAGAGGGCTACGTCCGCATCGTCGGTCGCTCCAAGGACGTCATCATTCGCGGAGGTGAGTGAACCCATGTGATCACAGCGGCGACGCGTAAGCATATTGACGCAGCGCCCTTTCCGACTTCATCTCTTCGCGCCCGATCCGACGCGCCGCAATGCAGGCGAGAACCTCTTCCCGCCCAACATCGAAAAGTGAGTATCATAGGAGCGGCTGGTGCATGGCTTGCTTCGGCTGGCCAATCATTTCTTGGCGCCGGCATCCAGCGCACAATCACACTTTGGACTATCACCCGCTAACGCTTTGGACGCGAACGACTTCATTTCGGCTCAACCTTGGTTTGACCTGCAGCTGCATCGATCGCATGGAAGGCGTGGCCACCAACGCAGTCGTCGCCGTCCCCGACGACAAGTACGGAGAGGTAAGCGATCGGTCTCTAAGCTCGCCCCTCTTTCCAGCTGGATCGCTCGGCTCACACCTCGCTTGCCTTTGTTACCAACGCTGCGACCATGTGTAGGCGGTGGGAGTGTTTGTTGCGAGATCGCACGCGGACGCGCACGTCTCGCCAGCCGAGGTGCGTGCCTATGTCAAGAAGCACGTTGGCGGACAGAGTGCGCCCGCCTGGGTTTGGTTCCTCGGCGAAGAGGGCGTCCCCACCGAGTTTCCTAAGACTGCCTCGGGCAAGATTCAAAAGGTGCGTACACGCGTCCCTAGCTTGGACCCAAAGCGTGCCGACCCGACGCGGAGAGAACCACTGAGGCTGACGATTTGATTTGCTGCTTTGGCCCTCGCTGCTCTTTCGGTCAACCTTGTCGCCATGATGCTCGGTCGGACCCGTGAACTCTATTCCATGCCCGTGCGACGCCAACCTTGACCTTCTTGGTGGCTCTAAAAACGAATCGCGCACAGGTCATTCTCCGCGATTGGGCCAAGGACCTCGCGAGCAAGAACCAGGGCAAGGTGGACAAGGTTTAGTTTCACCAGGCCTGCCGTGTGCTGTACGTCGTGGCATGGAGAGCAATACAAGCGTGCAACTATGCGCACAGCGCCAGCGTGCGAGTCGAAGCTGGCTCCTCTTCCGATCGGAATGTGCCTACTGGCACCGGACTGTGCACAACATCATGGCCGACGAATTGGGGGACGAGGGGCCGATCTTGGTCGCAGTGCTTCCAAGAGGGCTGTCGGCGGTGGCCGTAGGTCACAGAGCACGATCGAAGCTTTTCTTGTGTTGTCCTTGTGCCACTGTACGCAATGCATGGATCATTGTCCTCCTCGATCAGACGGAAAGTGGCATGACACCCCAGTTTTCTAAGAGCGCCCGTGCAGCGCCGCATCCGAGAAGCCCCGTCCATGCGCCTAGATGCAGCCAGTCCTCGTACGGACGCTTTGTCCTTCTCCGTACCGTCCCGGCGCCCTTATATTAGAGCGGCGCTTTGCGAATTGCCATGCCCCCATCGGATCCACCGAAGCTACCTGCTATCACGCACATCGAAACTCCACCGATTCCCGAACGTCATTGATACTCATGATCACCAAGATGCGGCCATCCGGTGGTGATGTTCACCGCTCGTGCTCTTTCTGGTAAGTCGTCTCCTCTTGCGCCTCGCTTTGAGATTCGGGCTGTGCCACTGACAAGACCATGATCGCCGTTCTTTTGCGGATAGCCGCCACCGAAAGATGCGGTAAGCCTCACATTGCCTCGATGCCGACAACTTTGACTTAGTCCTCAGTCCTGATCATCAGCGCTCACTCCCTGTTTGTTGCGGATCGCCACGCGTACAGATGCTCTGGCGTAAGAATTCCGCTGTCACATGGTGCGATGATCCAATCTTACTGACGCTTTCCCCCTGGATGTTCAACAGGATAAGCCTTGGTGCCGAAACTGCAAAGAGCGCGGCATGCCATGTAAGTCCATCCACCCCGATACAGTGTGGCAAGGCAAATTAGCTGACCGAGTCTTTCTCTCTGTACCTGGTCCTAGGCGTGTACGACACGGGCCTGATCAGGATCCAGAAGCACGACGATGATGGGCCGCACCAATCATCCACGCTTCTTTTCCCCGCGACCAACCAGAGCATCCCTCTCATCCGTGAACTCGAGTCGCTCTTCAGCGTGAGTCCCTTCGACGCCGGTCCTCACCCCCCTGAGACTATGTAGCGTGCTCAACGTGCTTCTTGCTTGTCACGATCAGAAATTGTGGTCAAGAACTCGGGGATGCTGGTTGCGCGCAACCGCCGCGCGCCCCGCCCAGCAGGAGACCACGCCAGACATCGACGTAAGTGCTTTGAAGTATAGACTTGGACTACGGCAGTCGCCACTAACGCAACGCTGGTGCAAAACAGTACCAGAACGGACTCTCGCAGATCCTTGCCGAGATCATCACTGTACTTGTAAGTAGTCGGAACAGATCCGACCAGGATGCGCATTCGTTCCAGTCTGACCAGGTCTTCCACTGCGGCTCGGGCACAGGCTGTCAAGACACTTCCATTCGGCGATCGACTGGAGCATCTTAACGCTGTCGTCCTGGCTCCGCGCAGCAGAGCAGCTGCCACCGACTCGTTCGCGTCGTGAGTACAGCATTCCTGCCTTGATCAGTGATCGACCTCGGCTGACAGAAACATGCATCGCCGCCTTGGGATTGAAGCATTCCACACCACCACATCGACACCGAGGCACTGGACAAGCAGCGCCAAGTCCAACTCGTCGACCTCGCCTATTCCAGCCATCCCTTCTTGGCGGTCATTCTATCCAAGACAGTAAGTCTCATTGCATCGCTTCGTTCTGCATTGTTGGGGAGACCGCTTACGATTCCTTGATTTCTGTAGCTCTTCATGAGGGCATTCAGCCAGGGCGCGCACGACAAGGTGCTGTTGGACGCTATCCTCGTCGCGGGTCTGGACCTCAAGTGCACCTTGACGGGGACCGCCGAGGCGGGTCGCGAGGAGCTGGTCGAGCTCCACGTCATGGCGAACAGGACGGCCGCATCGCTGTTCAGCGTGTTGCTCGGCAGCCTCAGCGCGAACAAGCTCCAGACATGTGTGCAGAGCATCATGCTGCTCGCCTGGCACGACCTCGCGCAAGGCCACATCAGGTATGTCCCCGAGCATTGATCGCATGCTCTTCAGAAAAACGGAGTTAAGCTGACGATTTTGCGAATAATGTCAACAGGCGCTCCTCGACTTGGTGGACGATGGCATGCGATCTGATCCTGCGCGTGCGCTCGCTGCGTGCGCACGAAGACGTGATCGAAAGCCAGATCAACGGCTTCGACATCACGTCGCTGCGCGAGGAGGAGCTGGAGCACATGCAGGCCATCTGCCAGCTCATGCTGCTCTACTTCGAAACGTCGCTATGCCCGATCCCGGTCCCGCACACTCTGCTCTGGCGCAGCGCCAGCCGCAACAACCTGGCAGCGGCCTCCAACATCTGGGAGCTCGACGACATCAGCGGCAACGTGGCCTCGGCCGAGGGACATGCGCGTGCGTGCCGTATCGTCCACCGCATCCAAGCGGTGCTGGGCAGCCTGTCGGATCGACACACCGACCTCAAGAACGCAGGCGAATCCACGGCCGCCAACGAGGACCGCGAAGGCAAGGTGGACTCGCTGCTCATGTACGCCAACTTCACCGGCATACGGATGACGGGACCTATTCTGACACTCAGCGCACTGTTGCTGTGTCTGCATCATGCTCGTCGCGGTGCGAGAGAGATGAATAAGGTGGCGGTCATCAGCACGATCCGAGTATGTGCAGCCGCATGTCTGCATCTGCGGGACATCTTTGGCGACGCTGTCTGCACCACCAGCCGCGCCAACATGGCCGGATCCTTGACGGAAGCCGCTGCCGACTCGTCGATTGCTCTGTGCATCCTCGAGTGCGTAGCCCTTACGTTCGGTGCGTTGATGACCGAGTGTGGCGCAGCGCATCCGGGCGAAGCGCCTTTCTCAAGAACCAAGGACGATACGAGCTCGATGAAGCTCTCGAGAGGAGCGCAGCAGATGGTGGTGGAGAAGCTGGGTGTGGTGATGGGCATCGTTTGCACCATGATGGACTGCCTCGACAATGTGCCGGTAGGTGGTGCTCGGGCCAGGCATGTTGGCAACCTGCTCTACCGGCTGCGTGGCCGACTGGAAGCGCTGCAGGTGCAGGCGGACGTGTCGTTCGCATTTGAAACGGCCTGCACCAGCAGCAGCGCGAGCAACTCTCAAGGCAAAAGACCCAGTCTTACGGAGGATGCTCAAAGCGAGTCCGAGCCGGATGCGATGGCAAGGAGCATCGATGAGTCTTACGACGAAACCATGGCATCAGCACCGGCGTTCGAGCATGGAGGTCAAGTATCGACGGAGCACCACGCAGGGACGTCGGTATCAGCGTACGGCGCCGCTCCGCATGCCTCGGCTGCCAGCGCTTTCAGCGACGTGCACGCACCCTCGCTGCCTCTGCAGCAATACTCGTTCAACAACCAGGTGATGTACGGGCCGGGGCCAATGTCGACGTGGAGACCAGGTGGAGTACCGAGTATGGGATCGGAGGGCAGCGCGTGGATCACCGAGACCAAGGTGACCGAGACGCGATCGGTGCACGCAGCCAAGGGCGACGAGTACTGGGCGAGCGGTGCATTCTCGACGGCCGAGATGTCGGCGTCGAGCTACAGCGAGATGTCGGTGCCGATGGCAATGCCTCAGATTGAATCGGGCTTTCGGCGGGCTGGACCAAACACGGGGCTGTCGGAATCGCTGCCGTCGAGCACGGCGGGCAAGGCATTTGGACGTGGGATGCCGCAGTACGCCCACACGCATACGCATGGCCGGACCATGTCGATGATGCCCATGAGCATGCTTTGTAAGTGGAACGCCGGCGAGGAAGAGAAGCGCGCGGGACAACACTGACGAGCGGGGCACTTTGATTCAATGACAGATCGACACAATGAAGGCGGACGCGAAGCTCACGGCACGGTGACGGGCGAGATGGACTCGTTCTTTGCGCAGTCTGAGGGCGGGATGGCCCAGACCGCTGGCGCCGTAGAAGGAGGCCGAAAGCGGGCGAGGGGCGAGCCTCATGCGATGCGACAGATCTATTCGGGGACCAAACCGGTGGCGAGCAGCAACAGCAGCAGCTGCAGCGGCGGCGCCAGCGCCAGCACCGGGACTGGTCGACGGACCGAGGCGGTCTGGGGCGCAACAACGGCGGAGGGAGAAGGACGGGCGATTCCCGCTGCAGCAGCGCTTGCGTCGATCCAGCGCGTCGAGCCGCTGACCGACCCTGCGTACGCGATCGCTGCGAGCGCAGAGTGGCCGCTCGAGATCAGGGAGCGGTCGATGAGCTGCAGCGACGGGTCGAGCTGCGCATCGTCGCGTTCCGAAGCGGACCATGGCTACGACACGGCCAACGACGCCTGAGGCATAGCCGAGTGCGCCAAGCTTCCAAGTCGCATTGGACGAGGACTAGACTAGGCACCGCACGGCTACGCATCGCCTCGCGTGGCAAGACCATGCAAACCCTGTGAAATGAGATTCCGAGACCGACGTGAATCTGACTGTGCAGCCTGATGTGTGTGGGTCTACCGTAGGTACGGCTGGCTAGTCGCCGGCTATTGACCGAGCGCGCCCGCGAACGTGGACCTAAAAGAGAGACACTGAGCAAGCAAGCCGGTGTGACCGGTGCGGAGGAGGTGACTCTGGTGAGGCAAAGGCACGCCGGCACAGTCTGACCGCCGCTGGTTGGCTGGGTGACATCGGGAATCTCTCGTACTGGAACCCATTTTGGACGGCAGGAACGCGTGGGCAGCAAGCAAAGCCAAAGGCAAAAGCCAGCAGGGCGTGGGATGCAACCGAGCGGAATTGCGGGCGAAGGAGGAGCAGAGTCGAAACACTGCGCAGCTGCAGGCGCATGCAGACTCGGAGTCGCCTTTCGGCAATCTCTGTGCGGTCTGATTGGCGCTCTCTTGTCTCGGTGCTTTCCCCCCCTTTCCCCCGCAGCCGGGCCATACGCTGCTGCTGCTGCTGCTGCTGTTGCCCCACGCTCGGTCGGTCTCGCCTGATTCTCCGTGAATCACGGCGGTCGAAGCTGCAATGCAACGCAGCCTGGCTCCGGGTGCGGCCAAGCCGAAGCATCGCCATCCGCTTCCCGCGCGCTTGTGCTCACGCCAACTTACACCACGCCTCTCTCAAATTCCGCTTCATCAGGCGGAACAAAGCCGAACCGGCCGTGGGATTTCCCTTTTTTCGTGTGGTGTTGCGGCTGGCCGTGAACCCCGTTTAGGGCTCATCCCAGGTCTGAGCGGAGGGGCCGACAAAGCGCGTGTGGGGTCAGAGAGTGAAAGAGAGAGAGAGAGAGAGAGAGAGAGAGAGAGAGAGAGAGAGAGAGAGAGAGAGAGCGAGCCGCCACCGAGATGAGTCCATCCGCGCTCAGCTGGGCTGCCATGCTCTACGCGCGACACTTCGCCGGCCTTTGCTGGGGCCCATCAATTGTCGTCGTCGCCAACAATGAGCTTGATCGTCTCTTTCCCTTCACCTTCATCATCCTGCCACACTCGTCACTCCGTTGACACGCCGAGCGTCCATCGATTCGGCGTCGCATCCGTCCCTACGTCCAACACGCCACGAACCCGGATCTTCCTTCACCGCCCGCCGCCCTAGCCGCCGGTCCGCCTCGACACGCAACAGCGATGGAGCTGTAGGCCCCGACACCGTTTCACCTCGCCTCCCTTCCGCAAACGCTCCCTCCATCATGCCATCCTCCGACATGATGGCGGCCGCCGAGACCCTGGCGTCCGTCGCCTCCGCTGGCCCATCCACACCGGCCCACGAAGCTCCTTCGTCTTCTCGATCCCAACCCAGGAACTCCACCGCCTCGTCTTCGGCCAACACCTCGGAACCAAAGAAGCGAACGCGTCCCGTCAGCGCATGCGAGGCCTGTCGCGCAAAGAAGGTGCGATGCCTCCTCTCGCCAGACGCTCCCGTCTGCCAGAACTGCCTCGCCTCGGGCAAGCAGTGTCTCTTCCGCGTCGACGACCTCGCGCCCGCTCTCCGCGCAGCCCGTTTCGCTCACTGCGGTCCACCAAGCGCAAATGCCAGAACCATAGCCTCCAAAAAGGGAAACAAGTCCGCAGCACGCAAGTCCATCGACGACTCCGACGATGCCGCCGCCCGCCCCAAACCAGCCAAGCGCAAAAAGTCCACCGAGGACTCCGAGTCGCCCATCCCCAAGGAAAAGGATGCTGCACACCAATCCACTCCGGCTGCCGCCTCTGCCGCCCCTGCCGCCGCCTCATCGTCTTCTGCCGCAGCCAAGCACAAGGCAAAGGCCGTCTTCCGCTCCTTCGCCAATCCCACCAACCTCGCCGCGCCTCTTCCCGTACCCATCACAAACACGCCCATGCAGCCTACCACCTCGGCATCGTCTTCCTCCAACATCATGGCCTCGCCCTCCAGGACTTCGCATCCCAACATCGTGCGCATGCATTCCTCCTCATCCTCCCGGCGCCGTTCAGAGACAACCTCCACACAGAACGACTTCTTCGATCGAGACTTTGCCTCATCCGCCGGCCCCTCGACTTCCTCCGCTATGGCCTATCACAAACAGCGATTCGATCATTCCGGCATGGTAGGGGCGCCCATCGACCCATTTGCACAATCCCACGACGCTTCCTACTATGGCCATCCCGTCGAGGTCGCCGCTGCGTCCGGAGTCAGCCCAGCCTCGGGAGCTCCTTCCGTCTTCCTCCAGCACCAGTCTCCAAGCGACGGCAGCGTCTTTTCCAATCGATCCGGTCGCTCTGCCACCATGTTTGCGGCGCCCAAGCCTCTTCATCCGCCATCCGTCGACCAGCACACATCGCGACGCAAGCTCTCGGCACCCGCCTCACATTCTCGCAGACCTCCAAGTCGACCCATCGACCCCATGTCGCTCGAGTACTACGGCCACCCCTCCGATTCCGCTTCAGTGCACAAGTTCGAGGATCCAGACCGACCGCTCGTAGATCGCAACATGCCCCACAACGAGTCTGGCTCTCCCGCTCGCGGTGTCTCCGCAGAGCTTCGCGACGGCATCGAGAGGTGGCAGCGCAGCGGTGCCAGCCGCCCAGGTGACGAGCACGACGAGTCTGCGGTCCAAGAGATCCTCGTCGCCCAGCCGCGCCCAAAGATCGTTCTGCCCTTCTTCCGATGGTTCGGCACTACGGCCAACACGCCTGGCTACCGAAAGATCAAGGTCGGCGTCCTCCAGGACTCGGAGGTGCCCGGCACCGACGAGCTCGCTCCAGCGCTCGAGGCCAACCAAGCCTCGGAAAACCCGCCCAACTTTGGCTTCACCATTCGCGACGACGACGACACCGCCGCTACGCCCGCCAAACCCTTGGACGACAGCGTGCTCTCCCCGCATCCAGCGCGCACTGCGAGCCCTGGCGCGCACCGCTTCGAGAACAAGGCATCGTCCTCGGTCACCCGCGAGCTCTTTGAGATCAACCGCCCAAGATATCCGCGCAAAGACATCCTCGAACACCTCGTCTCGCTCTTTCTCACCCACTTCAAGTCGTCCTGGTGCCCATGGATGGAGGACGACGAACTCAAAAACGGCGTCGACAACGGATCCATGCCCGCCATCCTCGCCAACGCCGTATGCGCTGTGGCTGCACGCTTCTCCAACCGACCCGAACTGCGCAAAGTGCCGCGCAAATCGTCGGGCGATCCGTTCAGCGAGATGGCCAAGATCCTCATCATCCCGCTCCTCTCTTTTCCCTCGATCGAGGTCATCGAGGCGCTCATCCTGCTCAGCTACGCCGAGTTTGCCGCCGGCAGCGACTCTGGCCTGTGGATGTACGTCGGCATGGCGCTCCGCATGGCGCAGGACCTCGGCCTGCAGCACGAGGTGAGCATCCAGAGCATCCCCAACGAAAAGCACCAGGAAAAGGCTCGCCTGCTCTTTTGGGCTGTCATTGCGCTCGACCGCATCACCACCTTCGGTACGGGCCGGCCCGTTTCGATCCGAGAAAACGAGATCGACATTGAACTGCCCAAGCTGACCGAGAGCAGCGACATGAAGGACGAGACGGTGGTATTTGGTCACGTGGTGCGCATCCTCATGCTCCGAGGACGCATGGGCGAGCTGCTCAACCGACGCGAGCGCGACGACTCGTCCATCTCGGCAGAGACCACCAAGCGCGACCTCACGCGCATGTGGTTCGAGCTCGCGCAGAGCTACTCCGATCTTCCGGCCAACTTGCACTTCAACGTGCAGACGTTCCAGAAGAGCGCCACGCACAATCAGAGCCCTGGCTTCGTGTATTTGCACGTGCTCTTCCAGTCGACGATCGGACTGCTCGATCGTCCGGCGCTCATGAAAAAGTTCACGGGCGATTCGGTGCCGCTGCTGCCGTCGTTTGCTCCCGCGGCCAGTGCGGCAGCTAGCAGAACGATCGCGGATATCCTCACGCTTGGCGACGCGTTCGACGATCGATGCATCACTGCTTCGCCTTATCTCGATCAGCTCGTGCTGCCGGCGGGCCGGTCGTTTGTGGCCGAGCGCGAGGCGGCAAGGGAGGCGCTGCGCAACATGGGCCACGGCACGACGCCGGCACCGAGTCGGCCTCCGTCACGCGGTGGGCCTGCGCAGCAGCAGCAACAGAGTCGCACGAGTGCGCTTGTTTCGACCAAGTCGTACGCCGAGATCAACCTGGGTGCGTGCCAGAGGATCCTGCAGAAGCTGCAGCAGTACTGGGCGGGTGCATCGTGGCCGCTGCGAGCGCTTGAACAGGAGGCGGCAGGTAACGGCAGCGAGGTGGATCCGCAGGCGTCGGACGAGGATGCGCAGAGCGCGCCCATCCGCGACATCGAGATGGTGCTCAAGTGGGCCAAGTCGCGCATCCGCTCCAAGAAGCGGCTGGCACGCTCGCTGCACGCCACGCCCAAGGCGGACGCTATGGCGCTCGACTCGATCGACGGCGTCAACGGCATCCTGGCCGCCAACACTACAGGCTCGGACGAGTTTGCTTCGACACACAGTGGCGACTCGCCGTTTGGACTGGGGATCTCGGCCGGGTTGACGTTTGATATCGATGCGCTTATGGGGAGCTGGCAGATGGACCAGTTTGATCCCGTGGCTTCGTTCCATGCGCCGATTTCCATGGCGCAGTTCGAGGCTACGCCTGCCCATGCGCAGCAAGAGCAGCACGAGCATCAACAGCCACAGCCACAGACGTATGGAGAGGGTGGCGGATATGTGTATGGTGGAGAGGCAGGTGGACGACGCACATCCATGTCGGGTCAGGCAGCGCAGCATTTGCATCCGTCAGCAGCGGGGGGCGTGATGGTATCGCCTAGCCGCACGCATTCGCATGCACGCACGGGGTCTATGGGCACAGCACTCACACCCTACGCCCATCCACCAACCCCAGGCCAGCTCGATACATCGTCATTCGCAGTCGCCGAGTTCTTTTCCCATGACCAGAGCGTCTGGCCCCTCGCGATTCAGAACGACGACTTTGACCAGGAGGCGGTCAACCTCATCGCCTCCGCCATGCAGTTACCCTCCTACCCACAGCAGTAGCCCTAGCCCACAACCACACTACGGTACAGCGTGAAAAAGTATAATTCAATGCGATTCGTGTTACAACAAAAAAGTGTCCAGGGGGTGAGGGGTCGTGTGATGCAAATCCCAGTGCGTGAGTTATCGTAAAGAGGATGGAGGAGGGGGGAATTTAGGGGTGCGAGTCGTCGGGGTTGGCGACGAACAGGGTGGGTCGGGGAACCATGGTGGTGTAGACGCTCTTGGATGTGCGCGAGGTGGTGGTGGGCGATGGCGAGGTGGTGCGCTGCGGGCTGGTCGAGGGCGCTTGGGCTTTGGACAGGCTTGCGCTCCATGCGGAGGGTGCCGGGTCGGCGGGCGAGTGCGACTCGAACGCCTTGACGCGCTCCTTTACGCTCGCCGTGTTGGCCGCCGGCAGAGCTGGCGCCGAGGCGTGCGGCGTACGCGACGGGAAGAGCGGCGACACCATGACCGGATTGAGCCTTGCGCGCTTCGTTGTGAGCGGCGTGATCGACGGTGTCTCCGACACGTTGGACGCCCGCAACCTCGCCCCCACGGGCGACAGCGCCTCGGCCCCGTTGGGCGTGTCGTGCTCCTCATCCACGTCCTGCAGCCGTGCGGCTCCGGACCACAACTCAGGCTTCCACACCACCTCGCCCGGCGTCTCCTCCTCGTCCACCGTATCGACTGCGTCGCTCGATGCAATGTTGCGTGGTCGCAGCAGTGTCGGTGCGCGGCTGAGGGCATGGTCGCTCTCGCCGTCGCTGGCGCTGCTGCGCGTGCGCGTCGAGTGCGTGCGTCGGCTGCTGCCCGTGCGCACGCGCTGGATCACATCCATCCCGCGCAAGCGCGACTCAAAGTGCGACGAAGCCCCCGTACGTGCCGACCCCACACTCGAGACCGAGCGCCCCTGCTCGTGCCCCACCTCGCCCATGCGGCGGCCGTGCTCGTCCAACCCAACTGCGTCTGCGAACGGGTTCTGCTCCGATACCTCGCGCGAGCGCGGCGACTCGCGGATCGCCTGCAGCCCGCTCACCGGCGGCGGCGCTGGATCGCGGATGGGCATCGCCGCGTTCGGCCCGGATAGGAAGCGACCCGATGCACTGCGTTCGGGTCGAGAGGAGCCCATGAAGCGGTCCCACCACGTCGGGCTGCGTTTCATCATGTTCCCGCTGTACCGCCCGTGGCTGGTGTCGGAGAAAGAGACAAGCCCGCCAGACGAGAGCGCGTCCGACGACTTGGACGAGCTCGGCACATCGCTGCGGCTCGCGGTGCTGTGCGACTGAAGTGACGGTCCCGACGATGCGCCGCCCTCTTGCGTGTCGATGTCCGACCGCCCGTCGTCTGATCGGGGCGACTCGTCGTATTCCTCGACCTCGCGATCGGCAAGTCGACCGTACCCACGTGCGCCTGCTGCAGCGGCGGCGAAGCCAAGAGCGCGCGACTCCTCGGGGCGGTCTTCGAACGGCGAGTATTCGTGCTCTGCCTCGTCGTCGTGCTGCAACTGGCCAATGTCGCCACTGGACAGATCGTGATCGCCAACGTGCACATATGAGTGCTCACGCATACGGCGGCCGTGCCACAGCTCCGCGTTTTCTTCGTCGTCGTCGTCATCGCCAAAGTTTGGCAGACGTTCCGCGGATGCAAGAGGACGGAAAAGGCTGTTGCCGTCGCCCTCGTCGGCGAGCATGTCGACGCGCGGCACGACGTGTGCATCGCGCTTACCTCGGCCAGCGAGGATGGCAATGCGCTCGCGGAAGTGCGGTCCAGATCCCTCCATCGCATGCCCCACGTTGCCCGCCGTCCAGGGCGATCCCTCGGTACGAGCGCGCTTGCGTCCATAAGCCATGCCGCCCGTGAGTGGCGCGCCGCCGTCGGTGCGATGGTAGGGTCGATCGTAGTCGCTCTGAATGAAGCCTTTCTCCATCAGATAGTCGTCGTCCGAGGGCCCACCGGTACGACGTGCGCCAAAGCCAAGCACGCCAGTCGAGCCTCGGCCATAACGGCGGTAGTTGTTGAGCGAACGACGGCGGTAGGCTGCGTAGCCGGCTCCTACCACCAGGCCGGCTCCAAGGAGTGCGCCGACGGCTGCACCAGCCTTGGCACCATCGCTAGCGCCGCTGCTGCCGCTGTCACCGTCGCCGTGCGCCGTGTTTCCGGAGGGGAAGCTGCCTGACGTCGAGGTGGTGCCGGCATCGCCCGAGTCAGAGCCAGCATCGGTGGAAGCGTTGCCGCCCGAGCTGGAGCTGGAGCCGTTGCCCGCGGATGAGGATCCGCTCGAGGATCCCTGGCCCCCCGAGGAGGAGGCGGGTCGCGACATCTGCGGGTCGGGTGTGTAAGTGGAGGAGGACCAGCTTCCGCCGGACCAGCTTCCCTTGAGCGAGGAGGAAGCGGTTAGCGACGACGCGTCAAAGACATGGACGCCGGTGGGTGCGGCATTGCCGCCTGCCCAGCCAAACGAGATGAGGACTTCCCTGCCATACGCCACCGCGGAATGGCCGTAGCGGGCGCCGGGTCCTGCGGTGGCGTCGAGCTGCGTCCATACGGGCGGGTTGACGCTCCAGTCGAGGATCCAAGCGTCACTGAAGGCAGTGGAGAGATCCTGGCTGGCGCCACCGTGGATAAAGATGCGCTGGTTGGGGAGAGAGACGGCGACGTGATCGCGGCGCGGTGCGGGAAAGGCAGGTGCGCGCCTCTGCGACGCGGCGTCGGTTGCGTTGGAAGCAGCCTGGGTAGCGGTTTGGGTCCATCTATTCGTTGCGCTCGAGTAGGAATAGATGTCCTCCATGGACTGAAGCTGGCCCGACGCATCGAGACCGCCGAGGAGGAGAAGCGTGCCGTCACTGAGCAAGGTGGACGTGGACCCGACGAGGCTGCCTGGGGGGGCAGCCGGTGCAAGCTCGAAGACGGGTGACGAGGCAGAGGAGTCGATGGACCATCGCTCGTCGAGGGTGAGGCCGGAGCCGTCTGCCTTTTGACCGCCGACGATCCAGACGGAGCCGCGACCGTTAGCTTCGCTGGTGTGGTAGATCCTGCGCATGGGCTGGTTCCAGGATGCGGGGACGGGCTGGTAGCTGACGGTATGATTGGAAGCGGGACCGGCGATGTTGACGATGAAGGCGGAATCGTTGTTGGTCTGGACGGGGACAGTCGGGCTACCATCGCCGCCGAAGAGGAGGAGCGATGTGGAGTTGAGGGGCGAGATGGTGTGGAAAGAGACAGCGGGTGCAGCTGCGGCTGGGTCCTGGAGCGAAATCGACTGCCATGGCGGGGAGGCTAGCGAGAAGGATGTTGAGAGGTCGAGAGCGTACATCTGCGCATCGCTGGGTGCTGAGCTGTATGTGAAGCCGCCGCCGGTACCCTGAGTCTTACCGCCTTGTACGACGAAGAGGGAGCCGACAAGTGCCGAGGCTTGACCCCATCGTGCTGGAATGGAATCTGCTGCCGACTGTGCCGAGGTGAGGTGCGCGAAGGGGAGACAGAGAGCCAGTAGCCAGAGGCCTCGAGGGGCGGAGCATCTTGCCGTTGGCGTGTGCGCGGATGGGCGGCGCATGGCGGGATGTGATGATGCAAAAAGGCTGACCATCTCGTGTACTTTGGACGTACGGCGGAGCTGCAGCTAGATGAAGACGGACGCGCTCTCCGCGGCGAGCACCGAGGCGGAACGCACCCGTATGAAGTCGCACACGGAGGCAAGGCGCCGGTGAAATCGGAAAAGGTGAAGGAAGGGTGTCGGATGGTGGATGGAGACGAAGCGATGGTTGGCGTTAGCTAGCGAGGGGTCGTGAGCGAAGACGTTGGCGAAGATGGTGTTGTTGAAAAAAGAGGGTCTTGTCGGAGTGAAGGGGCCAAAGAGCGGCAAGACGATGCTGTGAGCGAGACAGGGAGAGTTGGATGGAGGGCGGCGGGCCGTGGAGCTGCAGGTTGCTGCAGTGGTCGGACCTCGAGTCCAGAATCCCGACTTTTGGCGGCTTCCTCTGCAGCTGCAGATTGGATTCAATCACGGGCAGCAAGATGCTGCCGAGCGTGCCGAGAGAATGGGAAAGGGGCCACACCTCCTCCGCCGCCACTCTGGGTCAAGTAGACTGGATCGGGGCAGTGACTTGGTTTGAGACGTTATGATGCTTTGGCTCAATGTGAAGAAGAAGGTGGGAGGAGTAGCGAGGCGAAAGTGGGTTGCAGTTGCAGTCGCATCGGGCGTCGTTTGAGGTTGCTTGGCTGTGACACCAAATAGGGGTGGCATGCAGGCCAAGTGCTGTTTTTTTGCTTTTTGTTTTTGCTTCTCATCGGCACTTCCGGCGAGTTTGGTCGTCTCCCACCTCATGCTTTATCCGCTCGAGAATACATTTCGAGCCCGTCGCATGTATGCGGTCCGCAGACTGCATGATCCCAAGTGGAAGTATCGAAGCATCAAGACGCTGGGCATCGTGCCTGGATGGAGGAGCCAAATAGAACTTGAAGTGACTTTTGACAAGCAGGCCGTGCGAATGCGTCGAAAGTAACTTCTAAGCCACGCGTGCAGCGGAGTGCAGTTGACGCGTCTCTCTCGTTTTCCACCGCCTCGCCGAATTTGGAAACAAGGCGACGGGCCGTTGATTGCTCCCGGCCAGGAACTGTCGAGCTCCTTGCGCTCTTGGCTAGCCTAGCCCCTTTGATACTGTTGTGAGCCTGTGTGACTATACAAGCTCCTTTCCCAGCGAACGTTCACTTGGACACTGTGGCGCGTGCCATCCAAGACGGCTGCACAAGACAGGCTGAGCGTGGCTTTGGTGTTGGTGTGGAGGTTCGCTGCAGCAGCCTAGCCAAGAAGCAGGAAGATCGCCCTTCTTTGACGCGTGTCAGGGCGCGCCTCCAGAAGGCTCTGTGGGCAAGTGTGCCTTCCCGCCGGGCACCTCCCGACGAGCCCCTGTCAGGACGAAAAATAAATTTAAAAAATAAAATCAATTCCGAATTTGCCGAGACTGTTGGTCTCTGTGTGCGGAGTGAGTCGTTCGCTACCCCTGAGTGACGCAACAAGCAACGCACCGCCTTCATCCAGACGGCGCTCCTGCCGCCTGCTCATCGTTGGTATGAGGCTGGAGGACGTGTGTGGCGCCAATGACGACGACGCCAATGATGCAGGATGAGCCTGTTTTCGCAGCTTGCATTGATACCAGTCGGCAGTCTGCACCAACAAGGCTTGTCGCCGGCCGAAATAAGGCTCGTTGTGACGCTCAATCGCATCTTGCTATACAGTATCGTAGCAGAGCATGCTACGGTGCTGTCTCACGACAAGGTTAACGTTCCCACGCATGGCTCAGCTCTTTACGAGCTCGCAATCCATGGCTCCTTGCCCTCAGGAGAAGTCGGATCTTCCGAAGCTCAGCGTCCCGTGCCTCCGCGGCTTTACGCAGTTGCATCATCAGAGCGCGCAAGGTGGGTTTACCTTTTGCAGCGGAACGAGTGTGCCGGAGCCGATCGACGCTGCTCGATCCTTCTGTCGCTCTATCCAGCGGACTCAGCTTCTCTGCTCGATGCTCAAGATGAAGCACAGAACTTCGCCGTCCGCTTTGGGCCAACTGGGATTCTCGAAATTGGTCAATTTTGGCGGTTGGGATTTCAGTCTCCGCGACTGCCAACTTGGGGAGGGGGGTCGGGGCTGCTGCAGCTCTGCAGCCTTGCATGAGGAGCGGCCGCCCAAATGCAAAAAAAGAGGCACCAGGGTCCCATGCAAAATTGCGCTGACGTTGCTTCGCCCACCTGCCTTTTTCAACGCAACTCGCGAGCATCTCGCCCCTGACCAACACAGCCTAGCCAGCTCAACACGCTTCCTTGGCCGGGCGCCGTCCCCTCCTCGTCTCCTCCCTCTTGCCCTTCTTGTTGCACCTCTCCAGCTTGGCTCTGCTGCGCTTTCCCAGCTCCATATTTCTATCTCCGCCAACATCTCAAAAAGTTGTTACGAACCGCATCGGCCCAAGTTTGCGCGCTCTCTCTCCTCCCAAGTGCGCCTTGCCTTGCTACACCATCCCTCCCTCCGCCTTCCCAACCAGCTCCGCATCCGGTTCAGCCACGCTGCCAACGGTCGGTCTTTGCACTCAAGCTTGCCTGCCGTCTCGAGCCCTGATCATCTTCCTCGTCGGCCGCTTCTTTCGCTTCTTCCACCGACTCCGCCATCCGTCCGCATCCGATTCGGACTAAAGCGCACTCGACATCAAACACCACTCTGCACCACCGCCGGAGGCCTTCCCATCCCGCCACCATCCCGCTCATCTAATCTCGTTTCCCACCTCGTCCATCTCGCCGCTCTCGTAGATCCACAACCTTGTCCCAATCTCCGACACACGTCGATCCCATCCTTCCTCTCTTCTCCTCTCCGCATTCAGTCTCACCCCGTACTTTCGTAAGTCTTCGCTCCATCATCACCGGTCCATCCGGCTTCTTGACGTCCCGCCCGTCCATTCGCCGCATCTCCACCACATATACATACCTGCCACGCGGATCCTACATCATTGGACCCTGTCCCTTCCCGTCTCTCCCGTTCCATCTCTTCCCGCTATCAAGCTCCTCTGAACTGACACCATCCTTCCAATCACCACCATCCTCGATACTAGCATCAAGCACACCTAGTCTCAACAACATCGAGCTTGCGCTGCCGTTCACCCCGGTCGCCTCGCCCAGCCCTCCTCCTCTAGCACACACGACTCGCCAGCCATGGACAGGTTCGACGTCATCAACTTTGCCGACCTCTCCGGCCCCAACGGCGGCGACTGGGTCCGCATCGGCGGTGGCAGCTTCGGCGTCGTCTTCAAGGGCGAATACCTCGGAACAGAAGTTGCCATCAAAGAGGTCCTCCCAAACAACACCTACGACGTCGAAAAGTACTTTGAGCGCGAATGCGTCCTCATGAAGGAGGCTCGCCACCCCAACATCGTCCAGTACATCGGCCTCACAAAAAGCCCAGGCCCCGACGGCAGGATCTACATCATCTCGGAATTCGTCGGCGCCAACGTCCGCTCCTACATCGCAGATCACTCCAAGCCCTTCCCATGGCGCCTCCGCATGAGCTTCGCCATGGACATGGCCAGAGCGCTCGCCTACCTCCACGCACGCAACTGCATGCATCGCGACCTCAAGGGCGAAAACCTCCTCATCACCGCAAACGAGCGAATCAAGGTCTGCGACTTTGGCTTTGCCCGCATCGCCGCACGCAACGAAGACGAGATGCGCAGAATCAGCTACTGCGGCACCGACGGCTACATGTCGCCCGAGATCCTCCTCGGCGTCGACTTCAGCCTCCCCTCCGACGTCTTTTCCCTCGGCGTCATCTTTGCCGAGATCGCTTCGCGCCACCTCGTCGACTCGCACACCTTCAAGCGCACCATGCCCAGCTTCGGCCTCGACGCAGACGAGGTGCGCGAAATGGCTTCCGAAGGCTGCCCTCCCGCCTTCATCCAGCTCGCCCTCGACTGTGTCGAAGAGGACCCTCGCGACCGTCCCGAGATGCGCCAGGTCGTCTCGAGGCTCCGCGACATTGAGCGCGAGGTGCTCCTGCGCGAAGAAGCCGAAAACCGCTACGCCATCGGAAGCGTCCGAGGCGCCACCATCCAGTCCATCATGGGCACAAAACTCAAGCGCGCCGCTCCTCCACGCCTCCCAAGCTTCAACGGCGCCCTCAAGCTCGGCAGCCGCTCCCATCCCGGCTCAGACGACAGCGGCGACGAGATCGAAGAGGCGCTAGCCGCGCTCGAAAAGATCGGCGTCGACCCCGACGATGCCAGGTCGCCCGGCACCATCAAGGGCTCCAACCCGAGCACCCTCAAGGTCTCGGGCCACGGCAACCCATGGTGGAGCGACGATGCCACCGAGGGGCTTCCCAGCATCAACCGCAGCTGGCTCGCCTCGCCCGGCGCCGCCGCCGAGCGCATTCGCCAGGAATCCGAGGCGGCTCTGCTCGACAATGCCGACTACGCCGAGAGCGACTACAGCACCTCGGTCGTGCGCTCCTCCAAAATGACCCAGCGACATGCGCCGCTGGCCATGCTCGACGAACGCGCATCCACGCTCTCGGTTCGCACGCTGCGTCAGAGCGACTCGCCGCTCCTCATCCCGGCGCGCAGAGGCTCCGCCGACGCATCGGCCATGCAGTCGTTCATGACCGCACGCACGCACCGTCCCGACCCGTCCATGGCGCTCGCCACCATCGCTTCGGTCAGCTCCGGCGTGATCGAGCCCGTTCCGATTTGCCATCGATTCACGCTCGTCAAGAACGGCACGCGCCGACCAGCCTCGGTCACTGCAGCGGCGCAGCAGGCGGTCTCGGGCTCGAGCCACCAGCACGCCAGCGCCTACCCGAGCCTGCTCCCACCCGCTGTCATGCTTGCTAACGCCCTCGCCAAGTGCTGGGTGTGCGGCAAGCGTATCGGCTGGAAGCCCTTTATGGACTGCGATGACTGCCCCTACAAAACACACGTCGCTTGTGCCGAGCTCGCGCCACCCACGTGCCAGGACGTCACCATCCCGCTCGCTCCGGGCGGCAGCAGCGTCCAGCCCGTGCTGTCGCCGCACAATGCCTCGCGCCGCAACTCCAAGGCCACCGACGTGGGCGACCAGCGCGAGATCTCGGCGGCTGCAGCCGCGCTCCGCCGCGCGTCGCTCAAGGACGACACGGACGACCCAGCGTCGCCGGCGATGGCCAAGCCAAAGACCAAGAAGAAGCTCTTTGGCGGCTCGGCGGTGAACAAGAGCGCCGTCCGGGCTTGAACACACGCGGCCCCAGTCCGACTTTAATAGACTTTCACGACCCCGATACGAACGATCCCCTTCTCATCCGGCATACCTTCTCACGCTTTGTCCACGCCTCGCTCCTGGTTTCGGTTTCTGGTTTCGCGCACTTTCTCACGCATCTGTACTCTTTGCTCAATCCTTCATTCAGTTTTTGCATCTTGAATGCGCGCGTGCATGTGTCAGTCAGACGTTGTGGATGAGAAAGAGAATTGCAATTCGAAACGATGGGAGAATGGATGGGGAAAGATGGGGAAGTTCTAGAAGCAGTGTGGGAAGACTTAGTGACCGGCACGACGGGCTTTACCTGGTCTCTTTGCCGCGCCCGATTTTTGCTTTGGTCGAAATCCAGCCTTGCCGGAGATCTTTGGCTTTGACCCCCTTGCACCTCTGGTGGGACCGGAGCTGAAATCATTGGTCGATTCGGCGGTATTGCTTTTCGAGTACTTCTTCTTGCCTCCAAATCCGTACTTTGCATCTCTTGCTGTTCGGGGCATTTTGGCTTTGCCACTGGCCTCCCTACCCTTCCTCTGCTGTTGCGGCTTGCCAGACTTGGGTTGGTCACCAATAGCTTCTTCCAACCTCACGTCGAATTGGTCCTCGTCATCGTCAACATCGCCGTGTTTGCGCTTGAGACCGGCAATGCGTTCGTTGAGTTGCTTCTTGTTGCGAATGCGCTCCTGCAGTTTCTCCACCTGCACCTTTTTACCGAACTTCTTGAGCTCGCGTTGCTTCTTGGCCGCTTCGGACGCTTTGATCGCCGCGGACTCGTCGAGAAGCTTCTGTCGGATGCGCTCCATGTGCTCGTCCGTCTTGACCATTTCGGCAAAGTAGTCCGACGGTCGAGAGAATGCAACGCCCGCTGATTCGACAAGCTTACGGCCCTCGACAGCAGCGTGAAGCGCTTGCTTGTAGAACGCAAGCTCGCGCTCGAGGTCATTCTCCACATCCGTAACCGTCGAGGAGATGGTGGACGGGTAGACGATGCGCATCGTCTCGATCCACGGAAGCTTCGAGGTGGCCGTGTCGAGAGAGATGTCCGAAGTGATGCGCCGCAGTGCTGCCTCGTTGTTCACCTTGATGCGCTGCACGCGTGACGCCTTGGCCGCTTCCGACAGCTCAACGTCGTCCGGAAGATCTTCGTATGCGATCGCTTCTTCTTCGTCTTCCTCCTCCTCTTCCTCTTCTTCCTCCTCGTTGGCGGAATCGGAGTCAGACTCCTCGACGGGCACGAGACCACTGCGTGCGATCGAGGCAGCGAGCGTGTCGCCGTTTGCGTTGGGCTTGACGCGCGGGATGTCATCATCCACCTCCTCGGCGGCGTCCTCTTCGTCGTCCTCCTTTGCTTCCTCCTCGAGATCGTCCTCATCCTCCTCGTCTTCCTCCTCGTCTTCGTCACCAGCAAGCTCGTCGAGAGCGGCCATGTCGACCTCATCGAGGCCGTCGTCGCCGAGTGCAGCCATGAGACGCTGCATGCCCTTCTCCGACACATCCTGTCCGTCCTCGAGATCGGACTCCTCCTCGTCTTCCTCCTCCTGCAGCTCCACATCACTGTCCTCCTCCTCGTCCTCCGAGTCCTCAGCATTGATCGGCTGGGCGGTAGCGAGTGCCGAGGTGGGCTTACGCGCGAGCTTGGCGTGGCTCGCAGGCACCTTGCCCGGCGACGCCTTTGCGGGCGACGGCGACTTCTTGGGCGACACCTTGCGGGGCGAGCTGGTCTTACTGGGGCTCTCAACCTCCTGGGCCTTGGACGCCTTGGGTGTCTTGGGCGTCTTGGGCGTTCTGGGGGTCGAGGAGCTCTTGAGTGGCGAGGGGGTCTTGACCTTGACGCCCGATGCGCGTGCCTGTGCGCGCGTCATGCGGCTCGGGGTGGACGTGGATGGCGAGCCGGCGGGCGTCGAGGCCGCAGCCTTCTTCGGTGTGGATTTGGGCGTGCCCGGCATCGTTGCGATCTCAAGCAGTGTCCCCAAATGTGGTCGAGATGGATGGAGGGATGGAGAAAGCGCGTGGTCGAGGCTGCTGGGTGGAGCGTGGAAGTTTCGCGCTTCTCCACGCAGAAAAAAAAAGTCGGCTGTCGAGAAAATTTCCACGCATTTGAGCCACGCCGGGTGTCCGAAAAAAAGTTGCTTACGAACCTTCCTGTCAGCACATACTCGACTGTGACAGTTTGATCGATGTAACAAAAGAGAAAATTTCGGCTGAACTCTGAGCCGATGAATCAGCGTCGCATGTCGGCACCATGTGGCGCTGACAGGCGCTGCAGCCAGGATGAGTGAGCGTACCGCTGCGAGGTGCATTCGGGATGGCTACGAGCCGAATCCTGACGTCAAACAGCGCCGTGACCGAATCCGCCGAGACTGGTCCTCGGTCAGATTGCAAGCTATATAAACCTCCTTCTAAGATCAGCTCGGGTTGGGAGAGATTCATCATCATCACGACAAAGACAAACCAAGATGGAGAAGACATTCAACGACTCGCTTCCTACCGGCGCCCAGCGCGACCAGGACAACCAGCAGCGCGCACAGCAGGGCGAGCCCCAGATCCCCCATGCTGCCGGCCGCGAACAGGTCGCTTCCAAGGATCCCAAAGGTAAGCTTCGCCCCTAAAACGACAGGTGAATACCGTATCGTGAGGGACAGCGGCTGATAATGTGGTGCTCGGTCTCATGGACAGAATACGACGTTCGTGGAGGTCCCGGATCGGAGGGCAACAAGCCTGTTCAAGAGCCCACTATCTAAAGCTCCAGGGGCGCAAATGGCACACGCTAGCAATCTAATGAACGTGTATTCCAGCCAAAGCCGAAATTTTCTAACGAGTGCGAGTGAAGGGCTGCGAGTGAAGGGTGTGGTCTAGCGTCGTTCGCGCATCCTCCAGGTGACTGCGCAGGCCAGGAGGATGAACAAGCCCAGCACAAAGCCCAGCGCAAGCACGAGCAGGTCCCTATAGAACGCGTCGGCCTTGAACGCAAACAGGTTGCCCGAGAAGACGGATACGCTGGCCGTGATCGACACGCCGCCTACGGTATCGACGAGCTGGAGTCCGCTGAGCTCGTGACTCGCCACTGCCTCGAGCGCGTACTTCATGGGACAGATCCACTGGAGCCATCTAAACACCTGCGGCAGCTCGTTGAGGTTGAGCAAGAAGCCGCCGAATCCAATGTTGAACAGGATGAACAATCCGCCCAGCAGGATGCTTACGGATACATCCTCCACCACCGCCGCCAGCAGCATGTTGTACAGCGCCATGGCCACGGCGAAGAGTACGGCGATGAGGACGAATTCGAAAAAGGCGCTCGCACGCGCGCGGAGTCCAACCATCCAGTACATGATGATGCTGAGGATGAGCGCGGGGGCGATCCGAAGCAGCGACAGATCATACACGAGGTAGCTGACAAGCCACGACAGAGAGCCGTACATGCCGTTGGCACGTTCGCGCATCATGAGCGGACGTGCTTTGGCCAGCGCCGTAGCTGCCGACAGCGCCGAGAACGAAAGAAGGATGAACAGAAAGTACATCGATCCTACGCGGTTCTGGAACCCGGCGATCGTAAGCTTGACCTTGTAGAAGCATCCGCCCACAATCAGACCCACTGCAACCGCACCCACAATATGCGCCAGCGCTCCACCGGGGTCGCGTCGCGCAGTGATGAAGTTGCGTCGACAGAGCGTGGTGAACTGCGTCATGAAGCACGCCATCGACTCGCTACCCACCGCCTTCTCCCACGGTGTGCCTGCCTCGACCGAGCCCCTGTCGGCATCGCTGGTAGCGCCGTCCGAAAGACTGCTCGACTTTTCGTGCAGCGGTGTCTCGGTACTCGTGTGCGGCGCCGAGGCGATCCGGAGCAGGTGGTCGGCGACGTTGTGTCCCGGCGGACATCTTTCGCCCATCTTCTGGCACCACTCGAGCGAATCCGCCGGCGAGCCATGGTACAGCACCGCACCGCGCGACATGAGCATCACCTGGTCAAAGCTGTAGTAGATCTCCGACGATGGCTGGTGAACCGTGACGACGACCGTGGTCGAGCCAGCACCTGCGCCGTGCGCCAGCTCGCGGAACGCCGCCACGACGCGTGAGGCGGAGAAGGCGTCCAGGCCCGAAAGCGGTTCGTCGGCAACGAGCAGACGCGGGCGCGAGACGAGTGCACATCCAATCGACACTCGTCTTCGCTCGCCGCCCGACAGGCCGCGTCGGGTAGAATCGCCAATGCGCTTGTCGGCCACGCGCTCCAGCTCAAGCTGTGCAATGGTCGTGCCGACGATCTCGCTCTTCTCGGCAGGCGACACGTTGTCCGGCAGCGAGAGGTCGGCAGCCATCTGCAGAGCCTCACGCACCGTCGAGAAGGCAGGCAGTGCGTCTTCCTGATCGACAAAGCCGATGGAGCGTCGCGATGGCCCCGCCTCGAATGCCTCGGTGGCGGCGGGATCGAGTGCTTGGATGGCGCCCGAGACGCGGCCGATCTTGTGGCGGCCTGCCAGGATCTCGACGAGACTCGTCTTACCGGCGCCCGAAGGGCCTAGCACGGCGACCATGCAGCCGGGCTCGATACGGCCCGAGCTGTTGCGCAGCACGGTCAGATCGCCACCCGAAGCGGACGATGCGTGGAACGACGTGGAGGGCACGATCTCGGCGAGCTGCTCGGCGCTTGGTGTGGACTTGCGCCTGCGCAGACCGACGCTGGTGTCTGGCACGGCATAGGTTAGGTTGTGCCACTGCAGGCCAATCGGCTCGGCGATGGCGCCCTTTGGCAGCCGCCTAGCCTTCCTCTGTTGCCAGAGGCCGATCAGGAGCAGCGCCGCGATGGCGGCGACTGCCACGCCGAGGATGACAAGACCGGCAATGACAGCATTGCTGAGTCCTGAGCCGCTGCCGTTGCTACTCGACTCGCCCGAACCGGTGGCCCAAAAAGTGTCGAGCTCGGCCTGGGTGACGCAAGAGCCGAACTGACACTGGTCGAGCGGAAGACCCTCTGGACCGAGGAAGTTGTTGAGCAGCTCGCCACGGAAGGCGCAGTGGGAGGCGGCGGTCGGATTGGTGGGGTCGAGGTAGTCGCAAGGCATGGTGAGCGTGCCGTTGAGCTGGTTGATGACGGGCGAGAGGTCGAGCTGACCCTTGCCGCACATGGTCGTGCCGGGGATGCAGTAGCATTGGAGCGAGTTGCATGTCCAGAGCGAGCTGCCGAATCGTGCTTGCGGGTCGAGAGTCTCTGTCGAGTTGCGGGCGGTGCATCCGGCCGCCTGGCAGTAGAACTGCTCCACGCCGTCGAGCCATACCTGGGAGAGGGCGGTGTTGGGCTGCTCGGACCAGGTGGCGAGGCCGGTGCGGGCAAAGTCGTCGGTCTGGTAAGTCTTGGAGAGGGTCATGCGCAGCTCGCCCGGATAGACGCCGTTGACTGTGGTCTGGTTGACGTTGCAGTCGATGTAGGTGGTGCGAACGGCCGAGGGCTGCTTGTGGCACACGAGCGTGTCGTTGGTGCCAAAGAGGGAGGAGGAGGAGCCGAGACCGAGCGACGATTTGCGTGCCTGACAGGCGGCGGGCGACTGGCATACATTGCAGTTGATGCCCCCGAAGCCGGCGTCGCATGAGCTGCACTGCTTGTCGGCAGTGGGCTTGGGTGTGCGTGCGTCTGGCGCGACGAAGGGGGAGCTGCACGTGGCGGTGTTGCAAGCTGTGCCATTGGAGGAGGTGAGACCCGGCGGACAGCTCTTGTACATGGAGAGAGCACTGACCGACATGCTGTTGGAGCGGCCAAGCGTAGGCGAGGGACGAAAGGTGCGGGTGTTTGAAGCCGAGAAGGGGGGGCAACAGGAGGTGTTGCGATCTTATACTCTGCACTGGCCTCGAGTGGCCCAGCAACGGCGGTGTGCGATCGGTTGAGTCTAATGAGGTGGGTTGGCTCTGATTTTGATCAGTCTATGATGTTTGGTGGGGGCGACTGTTGTTGAATGAGGTGGCGGGAGCCAGAGGGTGTCGTCGCTCGCTTGGGTGGAGCCGGTATGCAATCGTGCAGGAACCTGCGTGCTCCGAAATGAAGGATGTGGGGTGCGTCAGTTTTCAATGCGGACGCCGCTGTCGCCAAAGTTGCGGAGGCAACCCGATGAGATGAAGGAGGCGACGAGGAAAGGAAGGAAGAACGGCGGCTGCCAATCGACGGCGGAGCGACTCGGCGTGGCCGAGCTGGGCAGTTGCTGCTCAGAAGCTGTGAGGCAGTGAGTAGGGTGGCGGCGCATGGCAGTGCCGCTTTCTTCGAGTGGAGTGCAGCGGCAGCGGCAGCGCCTGCGCCTGCGCGGATGGGGGCGTGGGCCAAGCGAGAGAGGCTGCAGGGCGGTCAGGGTGCAGCGCGGGTCCAGCTATTTTCTTGTTCGGATTTTGGCAGCTTTCCTCACCGATTCGACCAACACGCGCCCCGTCTGTCCGGCACGGGCAAGGCGACACGGTCCCGTGTCACGGCACCAAGCTCGCAGCTCGCGCTTGCCGCCGATTCGACGATTGTGACACTCTTGCGCTGTCTCCGCACAGATGGAGGTATTGGCTGCAAGGTGCGCTCGCCGGCGATACATCCATCGATCGACGAAAGCAACGGATGGTATCGGGTCAAGTAGCGCAGGACTGCAACCTCTGTCGCCACGTGTGAAGCAGGTCGAGCAGGTGTGGGTTGCATCTTGGATCATCTTGTGAGAGAACAGGGAATTGATTTGGATTTTTGGCATTTTTTGCGGGCGAAGAAATTCGCTGCCAAAAAACAAGGCTTCGAAACGGGCCCTATGGAAACCCGGTCTTTTTTTTCTTTCTTTTTCTTTTTTCTCTCTTTTCCGAAGTGCGGGGCCTTGTCAGGTCCCTGCATCTTGGCGCCCGTCAGCTCTGTCGAGGGCGGATCGAAAAAAAAACGAGCATAATTCGGGCTCGCTTATGCGAAGGCGCACGAAACAGGAAAGCGATGCGTCTCAGCCAGCATCCTGCCCTTCAGATTCGGGCTCCGGGCCAGTCATCCAACCGCGTCTGGAGCAGAGCCAGGCGCCAGGAACGCTGGTCGGAACGCCTTTCGGCTCGGCCGTAATGGGATGACTGCGGTAGGGCGCACTGCTGCCGCAAGCAAGCTCAGACTCCACACCAAGACGCTTAAGCTCTCGAAAGCGCGACAACGCCTCAAACCAACAGCGACGACTGCCCAGGAGCGCGATCAGAGCCAGTTCCAGCTGGGAGGCATGCACGTCGGATCGAAATTGCGTCTGACTTGCACCATGAGCTTTGCACCGCTCTCGCCTGGCAGGCAGGACAGCCCACCTGACAGACTCAGAACCAAGACCCTGGCGAGAGCGTTAAGAGATCGAACGCAGAGGTTGGAGCCGATGCGGAAAGCTCAAGTTAAAGCTCTGGTACTCCATCTCGAGAGATGCAGATCGCCATCTACGCCAGCATCTGGCTGCTGGCTGGCCTTCAAAATTTTCGCGGCCCAGGCGCGCGCACCGCGCTCGATGGCGGGTGTCATCGACTCTACAAGGCTTGCACGCCCGCGCTCTCGCGTCGTGCAAAGGCCAAGGCGGGAAGGCGAGCAAGCTGCAGCTGGGCGCGTCCTTTTCGAATTGAATTCAGAGCTCGCCTTCGCAGCTCAGGACAGGCAGGCAGGCAGGCAGACAGACAGACAGACGGCCTGCATCATCGACTCGCGTCCAGCCTGGTTCAATTCTATTCGCGCCTCGACAGACAAGCTTTGCTTGCAACGCGAAGGCTCACCATCCCTCTGTATCCCTCTGTGGACGTAGCCATGCCTCACTGATCCGCTCCATGGCCCTCTCTCTCTCTCTCTCTCTCTCGCCAGCTTGCGATATTACGTCCGAAGTGAGAGCTCAAAGTAGTGTGGTAGAAATGTGTCGAGGCCACGATGCTGTGGAGTGGAAATTGGGATCGGATGCGGGTCCAGGCCAGCAGCAGTGCCTGGTTGGCGCAGCGGGGTCGACACTGGGCTGGTGCCGGATTTTTGGAATTTCGCGTCCGCTGGCCTGGCACGGCTTAGGTTTTGACTGCTGAGCTGCCTCTGGACGAGTTAAACTGTCGCTGCAACTGACGCACTTGCTCGCCTTGCTTTTTTGGCTGCGATGGGCTGCGCTGGGCTGGCTCACTCACTTCCGGCTCTCGCTCGCCCTGTGGATTTCGAGTGGCCTCGACGGGAGGCAGCAGAGTGGCAAGACGACGCAATGTAGCGACGCCAGACGCCCTGGCAGACACCGTTGCCGCTTGCCGTCCGCTCGGTTCTGGTCCTGGTTCTGGTTCTGGGCCCACTCCGCCCGTCCGCCCTCGCACCGCTGGGCCTGATCACCACCTCCCGCTTCTCCCTTCGCGCCCTCGCCATCCCCTACACCATCCCTTCCGCAACCGCTACCCCTCCCTCTGGGCTCGTCGCTCCTCATCACCAAGCGACTGTCCTCCATCCCTCTCGTCTTGGCTCGTGCTGCCTTCGTCGTCTCTGCCACCGTCGCCACCGTCACCTTGGCCGGCCCGTCTCTCTAGGCGCAATCCATTCGACCTTGACTGCTGGCGCGTAAGCCACACTGCCATCCGCCTCGTCGCGACGCGTGCACCCTCTCCCCTCCGCCGCTTCTCGGACGGTCGTACGTACGCAGTCACTCGGCCATCCATCCTCCACTCTCCGGGCCAGGATCTGTCTGCGCGCAATCTCAGCACGCCGCATAGCTGTTCCATCACCACGCTTGCAGCTTCTTCCATCCGTCCCTCTGCCAGAGAAAAAAAAAGACAAGAGCCGCCGATACCCTTCCGTCTTTCGATCACGCAGTCGCTCAACAGAGCCTGACCATCGCCTCACCACCTGATACCCACCTCGGCCATCATCTTGGCTTCCTTGCATCGGTTCCACTCCTTCATCGCGCCCTTCGACAGCCTTTTGCTCGGCGTTGTTATACCTCGTTTCGACGCCACCTCGATTCTTGAGCATCGCGCGTCCGCTCCGCTCAAGCTCCAACGAGCTTCGGCATTCCATCAGCTAGCTCCACGCTATCGCTGCTTCACCCACGCGATTCGCAAGTGCTCACCATCGCCCGACGCCGCCTTGCTTCACCTGCTGCTGCCCGGCATAAAATCTCCGCGACCCTCTTTAGGTCTCAGCGTCCTCCTAGCGTCGCCTCTTGCGTCTGGACATCCGCCTGACTCTCTTCCTTGGCCTACTTGGATGTCGGCCCTCCACTGCCTCGCATCTTGATCGCCATCCATAGAGCCAATCGAGCTCAGCATCGGCTCAGCCCCGCTCACGTCCTTGTCGTCGTGCAGCAACCGAGCCCAAGCTCGAGCTCTCCCGGCTCAACCCCTCTCCTCCGCCCCACATCGGCTTGCATCCATCTGCAGCCGTTCGAGTGATCCACTCTAGCTGGCCACTCGCCACCCACTGCCGCAACCATGTCGGGCTTCGACCAGACGCACAACAATGCGTTCTTCAACTTTAACAACCTCACTCCACAGCAGCTCAACATGCTGCGCCAACAAAATCAGATGCAGCAGGCCGTACAGATGTCTCAGCACCAGCAGCCACAGCCACAGCCGCCACCCGGGTCGCAGCCGCAGCAGATGCAGCAGCACAACCCCATGATGCCCCAGCTCGGTCTGCCCGCCGGCTTCAACCAGCAGCAGCTCCAGGCGCTCATGGCCCAGCAGCAGTCCCAGCTCGCCAACGGCCTCATGCCCAACAACCAGAACCCGCTCATGCAGATGATGCGTCCGCAGTCCATGGTCCAGCAACAGGCTCAGCAGATGCAACAGCAGCAGCCGCAGCAGCAGCTCCAGATGCAGCAACAACAGCAGCAGCAGCAGCAACAACAACAACAGCAGCAGCAGCAGCATGCTCAGTTGCAGGGTCAGATGCCTCATCAGCAGGCCAGCCCTTCCCAGCCGGCCCATCTCCAGCAGCAGCAACAACAGCAGCAGCAACAAAACGCCAACATGGGCTCGACTCCCCAGGTCGGCGGCGTTGCAGGCCCAACACCGACCTTTGCGCAGTTGTCACACGCCATCGAGCAGGCCAAGAAGGGCAACCTCACACAAGAGCAGATGATTCAGGTACGTTCCTCTCACCGCGTCGTCACGCGCATATAGTCGCAAGCGACTCTTACTGACATCGCCATCTGCGTCCCGCTGCCATCCACACCGGGCTCGCCTTGTTTCAATCGCACCAGTTACGCCAGCTGATTACCCGCCAACAGGCCATGCAGGCCCAGCAGCAAGCTGCTCAGAATCAGAATGCCGGTGCAAGGCCGCTGCAGCCGGGCCAGCCCATGATCAATATGTCCGTGCCCAACGGTCAGAATTTCGCCAACGCTCTGCAGAGGACGCCCCAGATGCAGGCCCAGGCACAGATGATGGCCGGCCTTCAGCAGGTCCGTCCTGGCGGACCTCAGTCCACGCCCACCATGGGCTCGCAGCCCTTCCTCCAGCCTGGCCAGCAGCAGCAGCAGCAGCAGCAATCGCCCGCCCAACCGCAACAACAGATGCAGCAACAAGGCCAGCAGCAGCAGCAAGCGCAGCAGCCCAACCAGCAGCAGCAAGTGGGCCTCCAAGGCCCTGCGCAAATGAGCCAACAGCAGCAACAGCAGCAACAGATGGCACGCGGCCAGCCTCCACAACAGGTCGCCGGTCACCCGCAAAATGCGCAGCCGCAGCAGCAGATCATGGGTCAGCAGCCCGGCCAGCCTGGGCAACAAAGGCCAGTGCCCGGCCGCACCGACACGGCCACCGACGCGCGCAATCAGCAGAACCCGCTCAATTTCCTGCGTCTCCTCCACCAGCGAGTCACCGACATCGAGAGCAAGCTCAGCTCGGATCTCAGCGCCGAGGAGCGCCAGGCAGTACAGCAGCAGCACGCCGAGGCAAAGAGGCTCCAGTCCGCCTTGCTACAGCGTCTCAATGTGCAGAATGCACAGCAATTCGCTGCGCTCATGCAACAGGGACAGCAGCAGGCGCAAAATCCACAGGCAAACCAGGCCCAGCCGAACCAGCCATCGCAGTCGCAGCAACCGCAGCAGCCACAGACGCAGCACCAGCAGATGCAGCACCCGCAAGGTCTCGGCGTCATGGGCACCGGCATGATGGGCAACAACCCGGCCGCACAGCCGCAAGCTTCGCCCGTCATCCGACCGCCCAACAGGCCAGGTTCGGCGCGTCCCCCCCCGGGCCAGTTCGGAAGTCCCATGCTCAACCAACCCGGTCTGCAGAACCAGAACGCCCAGCAGACGCAGCCGCACCAGTCGCCTCAAGTGCGCCCCTCGCCACAGATGGGTGCCATCAACGTCGGCGGCCAGCCGGGCATGTCTGGCCTGCAAGGTGTTCCTTCCTTGCGGCCCGAGCAGTTCATGAAGGCGCTGGTGGATCTCATGAAGAAGCGTGGCACGCCCATCACATCGCTTCCAAAGGTGGGCGGTCGCGAACTCGATCTCTACCGCTTCTATCAGATCGTGCAGGCGCACGGCGGCAGCGAAGGTGCGCACCAGAAGGGTGCGTGGCCCGCTATCGCCATGTCGCTCGAACTCGCCCCGCTAGGTTCGCCCCAGACGCAGGCTCTCGGTCAGGCGCTAGCTACCGAGTACCGCAACTACCTAGCGCCGTTCGAAGAGACATGGCAGCGCGCCATGCAGCATCAGTACCAGATGTCCATGGCAG